CAAGGCGGTTTTATCAAGTTTCCCTGCTATCTTTGCCTTTGGAACAGCAGGGACACCAAGGCGCACTACCACAGGCGGGAATGGCCACAGCGGGACCGAGTTCTCTGTGGGGAGGAACAACGTCAAGTGAGAGCCACTGATGGACCTCCAGATGGTGCTGATACCACCACTGCACATCAAATTGGGCCTTATGAAACAATTTGTCAGAGCTGTAGATAAGGAGGCGGCAGCCTTCAAGTACCTTCAAGACTTCTTCCCTAAGCTGTCTGAGGCAAAGTTCAAAGCCGGTGTCTTCGTCGGACCACAGATAAAGAAGATCCTGGAGTGCAATGAATTCCCCAAGAAGCTCACTAGTAAGGAGAAAGCGACTTGGGACAGCTTTGTCGCAGTGGTTCATGGCTTCCTGGGCAATCACAAGGTCGAAAACTTTGTGGAGCTGGTTAAGACTCTGGTGAAGAACTACGGCACAATGGGCTGTAGGATGTCCCTCAAAGTTCATATCCTTGATGCTCATCTTGATAAATTCAAGGAGAACATGGGAGCATACTCGGAGGAGCAAGGTGAGCGTTTCCACCAGGATATACTGGACTTTGAACGCCGCTACCAAGAACATGATTGGAGACTACATTTGGGGGCTAATTCGTGATAAATGATTTACAGTATAATCGTAAATCTCGAAAAACTACTCACTTCTAAATCTTTTGTAGTCATTTTTGTATTACTTTAGCATAAATACATGTGAATTTTGATTCATGTTATTTTTTTCTGACTTTATGTGAACGAAAAGACACAAATTCGCCCGTTTTCTCATTGAAAATAGGTAAATTTCAAAACATCACTGTCCTGGTCACAAAAGTAAAGTTTAAAGGGAATAGTAGCCAATTTATATACTTTTTAGGCATAAGCAATTACGAAATAACAATTACTACCCAGGAACAAAAATTGTGTTACATAGTGGAATCATAGAAAGGCCTCTCAAGCAGTCGGTGTGGATTTCCGAAAGTCTGGAAATCGTTTGCTATAGTCACTAATAACACGATGTAACACGATTTTTGTCCCTGGGTAGTAAGTGTTAATTTCATAATTGCTTATGCCTGAAAGTATAGAAAATGGCTATTATTCCCCACAAACTTTGCTTTTCTGACCAGGACTATATTTGAAGGAATGACACAAATGCACACCACATTTTCTCATTGAAAATAGGTACATTTAAAAACATCACTGTCCTGGTCAGAAAAGCAAAGTTTGTGGGGAATAATAGCCATTTTCTGTACTTCTGAGGCATAAGCAATTAGGAAATAACACTTACTACCCAGAAACAACATTTTTTTGTTACAGTGTAATATGCAGAACGTAAAGTTTATTTTTGATAATTAGACGTGTGCAAGGCACTCTACCCCCCCCCCCCCCCCCAATCAGTGTGACTCCTCATTCTGCCGTGTCATTTATGACTTTACCAAGCAAGGTAGTCTACTTCAAGTAGCCATGTTTCATCTGTGTCCACAAAGTTGGAATCGTTGCTCATGACTTGGAAAAATACCTCAAAGTGTTTGCAGAGACGAATCACTACAAATTATTCCCCTTGATGGCATCTTGATTAGCAGTGGCTCGTTTTGGAATGTTCTACCCCACCTTCTTCTTGAAAGACTTCCAAGCATGTTGTGCTTCCTTTCGAGACCGAGTCTCCTGTCGAAGAAAGCAAGAACCACCAGCTCTTCTCCGAGGTTCCAGAGGTCCAGTAAATGTAATGTTGGCATTAACACTTGTGATCTGTCTTGTAATTCTTCTTTGGTTCTTTCGGCAAAGTCACGTAGGTGAAGAAGGCTACTTGTGTTGTGGCCGAAACGTCGTGAGAATTTTATTGTCTTATTTTATTATTTTATTCTCATTCTACATGACTTTGCCGAAAGAACCAAAGAAGATGAATCCTTGCAGTCACGAAAGCTTTAAATCGAAATGTCTTGTAATTGTCAAGCTTCTTCAAGAACTGCGAGTCATTTTCAGGTGCCGTTGTGGGACAGGAGCTTAAAGCCATGCCTTCAGGTAGTAACGTGCCACAAGCACACTATAGTTATCGTTGATTACTGAAGCAGGGCCTTTTACACCCGCGCCCAGCAACACGTTTTTAATAACATGTTCTGGACAACCCTAGAGGAAAGCTCTCGGAGGAATGTTCTGCGGTGAATTTCTCTAGTGTTCATAAACATTCAAGATTACATTCCAAATTATTCCACGGAATTCCCACCTATTCCAGAAACGTACAGGTTATATAAATTCAAGGTATATGCCAGAAGTTCCAGAACTTTGTAAAATTGTCAAGATTGCTTCAGAAATCCACAAAAAATTTACAATTTCAATTAAGCCAGAGTGAAACTTAATTACTTTGGAGCAACTCCTAAGCATCCTTCGATTAAGCAAAAAATTCACGCTTATGCATAATTTAATTAAATAAAAACGATCCACAGGGTGCCCCAATTATAAAATACTAGCAGGAAGTACCCAGCTTTGCCCGGGGCAAATATATATTTCAAAACTTGTCTTCTCTTAAAAACATAACATATACACACAAATACTAAGCTATTGTGAAAGGCCGGCATTCCGGTTGTCTGTCCATTTGTTCATCAAAAAAATTATAAGAGGCTTGCAGAAGTCATGAATCAAAAAGTTATAGCAAGGGGGAGTAAATAGTTGATCTAAAAGGTTTCCAAATATTGTCGACCCCCCCAGCCAATTTTTGTTTTGTAGGCATATATACCTACACACCCTACATACAATAGTCAGTAGTATCTAGTGACTCTATAGTAGTACCTACTGACTCTAAAGTAGCATCTAGTGATTCTTCAGTAGTATCAAGTGACTCTACAGTAGTATCTGGCTCTACAGTATCTACTGAATCTATAGTAGTATCCACTGACTCTACAGTAGTATCTACTTACAGAAGTAGTATCTACTGACTATAGTAGTATCTACTGACCGTAGTAGTATCTACTGACTCTACAGTAGAATCTGGCTCGATAGTATCTACTGACTCTAGTCATATCTACCGACTGTATAGTAGTATCTACTGACTTTAGTATTTGTTGACAGTAGTATCTACTGACTCTATAGTAGTGTAGTGACACAGCGCCGACTGTTGTACAACAGCAGCAACTGTAGTGGACACTTAGCGCACACGCCGTTGAGCAGAAACACGGGTGTGCCGGCAGGGCGGAGGAACTGGGGCAAGGGTCACGGTAGACCTTTTTGGGAGGCCCCTGGAACCCTCCGGTGGGTTCGAGAAGGGAGGCGCGGCTAGGGCGGAGCCAAGCCACGCCAAGGGGAATATAAGCAGTGGAGAGCGAGAGCTCCGGGGTGCCGGTTCTGGGAGTGGACTCGTCTCGTCGTCGCTGTCGTCGTCATCGCCGCCTTCGTCGCTGCCGCCGTCGCCCGATCATTGCGTGGCCGGACAGAAGTTGGCTGTCTCGGTTGACACCGTTGGTGCAACGGGGACAGGGTCGTGTCTGGGCCGGGCTGTACGGCAGCGTGGTCATGAGAGAGGAAGCTGGCTTTGGTGGAGTTGAACGAGATAATAGAGACGGTGCCTCCTGCAACTACCTCGTCTCCGACTGAGTGTGTGCGCACGCCTCGGACACTACAGTAGTATTTACTGACTGTAGTAGTATCTACTGACCGTAGTAGTAACTTCTGACTGTATAGTAGTATCTACTAACTGTACTATCTACTGACTGTAGTAGTATCTACAGCCTCAATAGTATTGACCGACTCTATAGTAGTATCAACCGACTCTCGAGTAGTAGTACACTTGCACTGTTTTTTTATTCTGGTGTTTTGTATACAACTGTTAAATACCTCGTTTGTTATTGTGCCATATTCTTTTAGGATCCTTTAACTCATTCTCTGCAATATTGACGTTTTTGTCTGTGTTTTTGTTAATGTGCTCATGCACCACAGATCTCCCTTGTAAAATAGCTGGGCAAGTGGCTTGGCTATGTACGGTGTAAAAGAAGTTCAACACATATACATATATTCTTTGGGTCTTTTGGTAAAGCCACGTAGATAGGTTTAACCTATCTGCAGTCACGGAAGCTTTAAGTTAAAATATACATATATAAATAAATGTAACACGCAATGTAAGCACCATTATTGATGCAAGTCAGTGCTGTAAAATTTTACGTTAAATAAAAAAAATGCTTTGGCCAGTCACACCATGGCTTTCCTGTGAACGGTGCCATGGAATATTGGTACATTTCCACACTTCTCTTGTGAGCCCACGAGTCCTCGAGCCAAGAATATTAATTTCGTATCGACACAGCCTCCGTGAGGCAGATTAAAACTAGGTGCTTGGGCCAATCCATGTCCACAGATTATACTTGCATCAACAAGTGGTCTTGTGAACATTCAGCCAAGCTCTTGCACGGTAATTAGAAAAGACGTCTACCCAAAATGTTTCTCATAACTTTTCTTGTTTACTATGACGCTTGTTTAAACCAGGACAGCCTGAGTTTCACGACTCTTTTTAGGAAGGTCCTGCCCGGTTGTTGCAGTAGGGGGGCAATGCTGCTACGTGTAATTGAGTAATTTGCAGGTCATTTCCAAATCTGGCAAATTTTGACCGTAAAGTCGGCACGCAATTGCCTCCTCTTATGACCAACACGATGGGATCTTTCACGTCGATTTTAAAGCAGGCGGTGCATATTTTTACGGTTAATACACATGTCGCAGTATTAATCAGAACGGCTGCTAAGACTCAAACAGTGAACCCTCTGCAATAAACGGCAAACATGTTACCGCTATGGCCATGTCATAACCAACTTCATCCCGTGGTAAAAATATACCAAGGAAATTTTAATAATTCAGAACCGGGTGATTTTAAGCAAACATGAGACCTGATGACTAATTCACTTGACATTTTATAACAAAAATATGAATCTGAAAATAAAACCACTTGGGTGGTGATTTCCCAGATGCAATCACAACTAAGCTTATGACAAAGAAGATAATTAGGTGTTATATTTGTTAACTTTATTTAGCAACTGTTCAATCAACATATTCACAAAAGTGGTATGCATAAACGAGAATAGCAAAGATTGAACTGTATTGAAAAATTAAAATAATGAACTGACATCCCTCAGGATAAAACACAAACACTGCTGTGCTTCCACAACTGGTAGTTAAGTGAGCAGTGTGTGCTAGGGCAGAATGTTCAGCTGGAAAGTAAGAGTGGGTGGGCACACTGGCAACAAGAAACAACCTTGGCAATCGAATAAGGTTGACCTTGGCTTGTTGCATTGTGCCTGCGGGTGGAGCGAGGGTTTACGCGATAAGACGTGGCCAGGTTACAGAACGGATGCTTCGTAAATGGGTGTAACAGCTTCACACGTCAACCGAGTGAGATGTGTCCAATGCTAACTCCGAATTGGGACTTCTCCACGTACCACACGAAGTTAATAGGTAAACTAAGATTTCTGCTTTAGAGAAAGAGAGCAGAGATCTAAGCCCTCTCCCCTCCCACGCTGAGATGTGCTGCTGTCGCCTCTCTTGTTCATGTTTCTTCCAAGCAACACATACAAAACTTCAGTGAGCACCAATGGGTTCTTGCCACTTCCCCTTGCCAGGAATGGCTAACACAGAGGCAGCTAGTGCTCCGCGCCGGCTGCTGTTACATTCAGGCTGAAACCCTCAACAAAGGCTTGTGTAGAAAGTGGCAAAGCTCACAGGCAAGCTTCATGGCCCTGTTAAACAACGGACACTACCTTATTCATTCTCACGTGACAAAAACAGGCTGCACCAAACTCTTTGGTTCTTTCGGTAAAATCACGTAGGTAGAAAAATAATAGATCGCGACGTTTCGATTGCAACACAAGCAATCGTCATTAGGTGGGACAACCACAGCAAGAACATCTGCTGAAGTAGGTGAGAGATCTGCCATGGCACGAGGTTATATAGGTTATATAGGTCTCGGCAGTAGGGGGTAGGAGGTGGGGGGAGAAAGGCGTTTCCTCCCCCCCCTTCTCTCTCCCCCCCTGCAGCCGATCTCTCAGATCTCTCCCCCGTTGACTCAAGTGCTGCCGCGGGGTCCACTTTCTGCCCCGCCCCATCTCTCCCCCCACCTTCTACCCCCTACTGCCGAGACCTATGTAACCTCGTGCCACGGCAGATCTCCCGGCTACTATAGCAGTTTTTCTTGCTGTGGTTGTCCCACCTGATGATGATTGCTTGTGTTGCAATCGAAACGTCGTGATAAATTATTTTTCAACCTACGTGACTTTACCGAAAGAACCAAAGAGTATGGATTCCTGCAGTCACGAAAGCTTCAAATCAAGGCTGCACCAAGTAAGACTCAGACACTTTGGCCAACCCAGGTCACGTTTGGGAAGTCATTGTGTGCCAGACGTGGCCACGTTGTAGTTGCATCGCATCAGCACAGCTGCAGAAGTTGAGGATCTTGCTTGATTCTCTCTCCATCGGGCATGGGGAGCGATGCCGTTTGTTTGTGGGTGGCCAAGGCCGGGTTGCAGGGAACAAGGGCGTTTCATAAAGATGGTGCTCATCGCCGCGCCATTGCCTGAGCGACGTGCACCAGTGCGGAGAGAAGTTCACCGTGCGCCTGCAGTAGCAGGGGCAGCGGTGTGACCCTCAGCTCTTCGCTAGGATTATGGTGCGTCAGCGCTGACACCGCCGTCAAGAACCCCGTGCCCCCTGCAGAGACAGGAGCACCTGGGGCTTCAGCTCTGCTAGCCTCCTCGCTCAGCCCATTCACCAGCGCCTTGCAGTCTACTATGTTGGAAGCAACATAGAAAAAGACACAACGCGAACATCCTCAGTCAAGAACTAGCTAAACATCTCAGGTGCAGGCTCCGAAAGTGGTTCACAAAAAACGTAACTTATTTGTCGAAAACAATATTTAACTCAGTGAGGATTATATATATTTAAAAAACACTGACATGGTGCTGGTGGCACGCATGATAATTATAAATACTTTTATGCTTTTGATTTGTGTCAGGGATAATATTTCTGCATTTTCAATCAGCTTAAACTCAGGTTTACTTTGCATCAGAGAAAATCTCAGCAAGTTCTCCTAGGTAGAGAATTCTAAGTGGAATTTGAACTGATTATTCTTATATATTAATAAGGATTCGGAGAATGGAAACAAGAAAACGTTGCATAAGACACGAGCTCTGTATATCACGAAATGATAGCAATGCTTTAACACGAAGGCTTTCGCGACCAATATCATCCATAAGAGTTTTTTTGGGTTAGATCGCGTAAATATATGAGTCATTAAAACCCGCCACCACCCGAGCCAACTCGTAAGGGTTGTCACGTAAACAGAACGTGACAATTCGTCACTAGTACAGCACACTGGTGTGTTGGAGAGCCAAGCCACAACATTTACAAACTGAGTACGATGTTTCGCCAGGAATTACAACTAGCTTCATCAGGCGACAGCCAGATTTGTCGCCGGATGAAGCTAGTTGTAATTACTGGCAAAAACATTTAAATGATTAAGACGATTTACATTAGGTGGCTGCTACCGTTTTTCTCATATGGCCTCAATACAAAAACTTTTTTGACTGTCCCCTCATCAGGGTTGAGAGAGGAGATAAACACTGGCTTCAGGGAGAGGTCACCTTGGTCGTCGGGAGGCAGCACCAGCGCCATCTCCTGCTCCGTGGCCCCTGGCCCCTTCTACAAACCACAATAACATCAACCACCACCATCATCCTGTTTAGAATGCAGATCTCTGGGGTAAGCACTGAAAGCGAGCTCAAGTTAAAGTCACATCATTTGGTGATACAGCCTGTTCTCCTATAATGGCGTTTTAATATTTTAATATATAATATAGGGATGAACAAAGACTAAGGCGTGTGGTGGGTAGCATCTAGAAGCATCCGGCAGCATCCCGCCTTGTGTGATGCTATATCGAGGCAGCCGTACAACCGCTTATTCCTACTCGCGCGACATATTTCCATTCACAGGATTGTGTTCCCGAATATATTCATCGCGTTCTATCCGATTAGTGTGATGAAAACACGTGTTATAGGACAGGGGTGGGAAACATTTTTTCTGCCAAGGGCCATTTGGATATTTATAACATCATTCGCAGGCCCATACAAAATTATCAACTTAAAAATTGGCCTGTTATATTTGGTCAAACATTTAATTAACTCGCCCCTAATGTGATGGCTGGAACTGCTTCTCTTTGGTAAGAGGCGTGTGATGATGTTAGCTGGTAGATGATGTTGCTACTCGCAACGGCTTTTCCAGGTTTGCTCCTAGATTATTGAATTTCGAGTCCCGCCTGCGGTTGCCTTGGCAGGGCCAGATCAAATGATTTCGCGGGCCTCACACGGTCCGCATGCCGGACGTTCCCCACCCGTTATAGGAGAACAGACTGTACTGCGTTTGCAGTGGTGCACGAGCATATATAACAAAACACAAAATATTTATTAGTAACTTTTAAAAGTCCCTTCGGTCCTTATATTTATTGAGAGCTTATCTAATTCGGTTGAAATTATCATTTGGCCCAGCAATACATCACGAAGCAGATGATGTTAATGATGGTTCTGTTGGCCTCACTATAACAGCATACCCAAAACGCAATGTGCCAGGAACACAAACATTTACTTTCAATCCAAATTAGCTTATTGAGTAACACATTTTTGATCATTGCAGAGTTTGTCTGTTCCTCAAAAGCTACTGATAAGTACCTATTCAAGTGCTAACTAAAAAAAGATACTGTTCAATAAGAAACACTATTCTAATTTTATTATCATCATGCCCCACGGTGTAAAGTGCAGTTTCCAACAGTTATCGACTATCTCCCTGGCCTCTCTATGTTCCATGAAGAAATTCCATAGTCTGAAACGTCGCCTGTAATATATTTATTCCTATTAAGGTCAGCACAGTGGGGTGGTGGTAGTGAAAGCAGAAACAACACCAGTCCAACTCCCCCATCCCCAAAGTACTTATTTTACATATAATTAACCTTGAGGAGCTTAAAGCCCGAATAAGACACTGATCATTGCTGCTAACCCTGTGTGTGGAAAATGAAGCCCGGCCACTGGAGTCATGGTAACGTTGTTGCTGACCCACCCACAGGTCTGCCCTTCACGCCCACACGTGCATAGTATTTAAACCATACAAACTATATTTTACCAGGTAAGGCCCACTTTAACTATAGAGATCTTTTTCAGAAGCGACCTGGCCACAAATAATAGCTCAACAAAGTGGCGTATCATGTGGAAATGTATACCAGCCAAATACTCTAAACGCATGTGACTAAATGTGGTAGGTAAAACTGGAGGACCTGGAGAAAAATACACACGACCATGGGGAGAACATGCAAACTCCAAATATACAGGCGTCAGGGTTGGGTTTGAAGCCACAACCTCCTGTATCCCAGGAGAGGTAGTTAACATCTCGCCACCATGGCATACACACACATCACTGTCTGCTTCACCCGTTTTGCTTAATTCCCTGAATCTATATTGCACAGGGGAATAAAGAGCCAATTAGCACTTATGTACACTTTAATTTATTCAAGCAATGAAAACAAAACAAAGGAAGCCAATTATAGCATTTCGAGTAATGTCCCCATTATCAACCCTCGAAGAGATTTTACAAACTAATGTATTGTATGATTGCCATGGCTGATGATGCTGCGAGGACTACTCCTGCAGTGATTGGGCATATCCAATTTAAAGCCAAGAGTGACAAATATGTCGAGAGACAAGGATACGTGAATTAGAAATATAACGTTATTTATATATCAGTACAATAGGCACTACATAGCTGTTTAATGTTGCTGTACCTTAATTGTAATTGTACTATGATTAGCTTAAACATAACCTGCCATAGTCAACTTATGCTTATGCCAATTTGTTATTTAACACCGATGCACATTTGTGCAATATTTCCAATTTCTCATGTGAAAAGGTTGTTTTTGCAGGGTTTTCTTCATTGATGTACTTTGTCTTGCTTTTGTCATTTTGGTGACACAGATCACTCTCGCAAACTGGACTATCCTGGTCTCTTGAGCTCTCAATTGCTTAAACAAACAAAATTAAATGTGTCTGGCGATGGGACACCGACTAGCTCCATGTAGTCTATACACCATCGTTGTAAAGCCGAATCATTATCCCATCACTAGTTAGCTTCTGCAGTGGTTAACATAATGCACTTTGAACCCGGTGACTGAAATGCAATTCCCGGTAAGTAATTTGGAGTGTATTTTTCAAATTTGGCAACGTTTTACCATGGTGCCAGCACTAAAATGGCCTACTTTTTATTCCAATGTCACAGGATCTTTAATATCCATTGTGGAGCAGACCGGGGGGGGGGGGGGGGGCTATTATACGGTTAATTGGGCAGAAGGATGGCACAGTGGTAACACTTGTCTCAAAGGACGAATTTTCTACGTTCGATTCCGGACTTGGGGCCTGTGTGGAATTTGTATATTCTCCCTCTATTCTGGATCTTCTGATTTCCTCCAATAGAAAAAATAAGTAAGTGGTATTGGCCAAACAGCCCTCTGCTTAGACATTTCCTGACAATTAATCAATTGGCAACATTGCCTCCTCCTGAGAAAACTTGGTAGGTCTATGCTGAAAAGAGTGTTGATACTCGGTAAGGCTTTCCTGGGAAAGCTTACAGAATGCATCCACAAAATTTATCAGAGTTGCGGCTAGGTTCCAACCACAAACCTGTGCAAATCAGCGGATGTGCAACCGCTGGGCCATGTCACCAAAATACTGGCCATCCCGTCTCCCTCTAAATGCCCACGAGACGATGGGCTGCAGCAAGAGCAGTCTCATCAACATCACCACCACCTATAATAGGAAAAAAACAAGGTTGCACCTGCTCATGGAAAATCTTCAGGACCCTGTGCAGCGTGTGAAACTTGGGTGAGCGGATGGGTAGGGAGTGCAGGTCTGCGGAATTCAGTGCCGCCAGATCACCCACGGTGCTGATGGAGCGCGCTCGCACCAAGTGGCCAAGCCCACGGGCCCTGGACACAACACACACAGGCGCACGTGTCAAGACAAAAAAATATCCTGGGTGTAGCTGTTCACACCATTGGGGGAAACTATAACTATAAAGCCTCATTGAGTTTCACGACTATGTTTCAGGAAGGATCCTGCCATGTCGCAGTAGGGAGCGATGGTTGCCATGTATGAATAAAATTGATTTATTTAATGCAAAATAATATTGGTCTGCCTCAGTCCACTGAGCAGAAGGTTCAACACAGTCAGTTCTGAATCCCCGCTGGTCTGAGATCACATCTCGTGAAGTTTCAAACCAACGCCCACTTATTCATATTCTTGGTTTTTTCGGCTTAGCAATCATTGAAAGGATTTGATAAACCATTTCGGGTCTTAATTGATTGTTCACGCTTACGGTGGCTTTCAGACTGCATCCATTATTTTCGTCTCCCCCCTCCTCTTTTCCGAACATAGATGGACTCGTCCATCTGAATAACTGCCAAATTGCTCTCCGTGGTGCTACCGTTAAAAAAAAGGCAACTTTTTTCAAATTTTCTTGCTGTGGTTTTCACACCTGATGATGATTGCTTGTGTTGCAGTCGAAACGCCGTGAGAATTGTATTGTTTTATATTATTATTTTATTGTTTCCCTTCTACGTGACTTTACCGAAAGAACCAAAAATATGAATCCCTGCAGTCACGAAAGCTTTAAATCAAAATTCAACGCCCACTTGTTGAGAATGCAGAACTAACTGAAATGGAAACTAAACGATAAAATATTTTTCTTTTACCAGGTAAGGCCCACTGTGTTATATATCTCTTTTTCAGAAGTGACCTGGCCACAAATAATAGCTCAACAAAGTGGATTATCACATGGAAATTTATATCAGCCAAATACTCTAATAAAGGCATGTTTATAAATATGGAGGGGAAAACCAGAAAATCTGCAGAAATATCCACGCAACCACGGAGAGAGAAATGCAAATTCCAAACATACAGGCATCAAGGTAGGGATCGAAATCACAGCTTCCTGTATAGCAGGCGTAGTAGTTATCTTGCCACCGCGGCGCTCTGTGATACACATGGTTGTGGCACAGTGTGCGATTGTGTATGTTTAACAGGGCTGTGCTGTGCATGTGGCTGTGCCAATAGTTAACACTGGCCTCACCATATCGCCGGCGTGAGCTGGTGCAGCACGGCCTCCACTGGAGTTTTACAGCCGATGAGCGCGGGGAAAATGGGGCCCACGCTCTGCACGGGAACCACTTCCAGTGGCTGGGGCAACATGGTGCACAGCTGTTCCTGCTGAGGATGCACGGAGCAGTGAAAGCGTGGCAAGTCATACTGCGCAACGCACATAGCAGCAGCACAGCCAGCCTGGCTGTAACTCGAAACCCGACAAGACTTGGCACATCAGAATAAGGTAGGGGGGCAAGTAAGGGAGCAACAAAAATGCTTTCGACACAGCTTGGCACAAGGATGTGGCACTAATCTCTAAGGTCGTCTTCATGAACCATAAATCAAAGCCCCACATGCCTAGCGACTAGCAATGTTACTTGCTGTAATAATTGGACACTTGGTTATCAAGTCAAGTTTAGTCATTTTACTCGGTAAGAACTCAAGAGACCATGATAGTCTCAGTTGCAAGTCACGACAATGACAAAAGCAATGCAAATGAAGTACAGTAGCGAAATAAAAAATAAGTCAGGGGAAAAATAACGGCAACAGGGGAATCGAAAAATATTGCCAACATAAATCAATGTTAAATAAAATATTTCCTGTAATGTAAGTTGGTTCAGGCAGATAATTTTAATCATTATAAGAATTACAATTAAGTTACAGACACATACCTACTAATCACCCAGGAATGTCCTTAATGCATGTGACGTCACTCCAAATCGACCATCCCTCATTAATATTCATGAGCAGGTGACGTCCTCCAAATGGACTACCCCCCTCCATTAATAATAATTAGCGGCTGACGTCACTCCACATGGGGGGCCGAGGCGCCTCCTACCCCCTCCTCAGCGTCAACTTACAACCCTCACTACAAAGGCAGAACCCTCATGTCATGCGATCTCCGTAACGCTATTGAGACATCAAAGTAAAAATGACGTCATGATGAACAAAGGATTATAACCTTAAAATGAAACAGGTCTGTGTCACCGCGACCTTATAAATTGCACACGCATTAATGCAATTAATATCACGTCGCGGTCTGCTTTTCGCTTGCAAGTTTCAGATTTACTGCAATACACCCGTCCTTGGACAGGCAAAAGGCTAGTTAAACAGAAATAGCGTTACTATTGTACACATATGTAAACAATCCGCCACTCCTACTGGGCGACGATTTTTTCGTGTAATTTACAATGCCTCTAGTACTTCGTCGAAATGTGCTTTATAAATGTAATTCATATTTATTACACACGAGCTCTCTCGTCGATCGTTCACTCCGCTGTTAATTTGCGCACTCACTCGCCTGCTGTATTCCCTAACACTCCCTGCCACCACACTACCGCCCCTGGCACTCCCTTGCTCTCTCTATTGCCACTGCCACTCCTCCACTCACCAGCCGCTTCTTGGGTGGGGTGTTTCCGAGAGCACGACGAGAAAGGGGCCGCCGGCTCATCGGGGAGATCCGCGTCGGAGTCAAAAGGTGCTGTGCAACACACACACACAGACGCACAGCTGTCACCATGGATGGGGGCTCACAACCACCTGTGTGCTGGTGTGGAGACTGCCTGGTGTGTGCGCAGGGGTGCGTGTGTGTGTGTGTGTGCGTGTCAATGCGCATTGGTGTGCGTGCGTGAGTGTTTGACCGCACACGTGTAAGATATACAGAGCATGCACATTTAGCGCCCGATCACAAACCACTCTCTAATTCCATCAAAAAAGTAACTTGCAGTGCCACAACTATTAAAATGCATAAGGGAAAGAACAGGTTTGCTAAGCATTTCTGTGAGAACTTGGGGGAGGTGTAACCCCTCAGCTCAGATAACATCATGGGGAAAAGTGGGGTTTGGGGCTGTTGTGCCTTAAATATTTGGAGGAAGTAACATCTCCCTGTGAGTGAACAGGCTCATGTGCCATCTCTTAAGGAAGCATGAAAGGTGATCCAGAGCCTGAGATAAGGTAAAGTGTCAGGCAGAGATGACCTCTCAAGTGAACTGCTGAGAGAGAATGGCATTTGTATTACATCAGGATGGGTTCCACAAGATTGTAATAATTCCTTGGTGGTTCCCATTAACACGAAGAGTAACTACAATGATTCTAACAACTTTAAGGGCATCTCTCTCGTCAGTGTGCCAGGAACGATCCTGGCAAGGACATTTCAACATCGCCTTACCAGGCACACTGAGGAAGATGCTTGCGGAGCCGGAATATGGTTTCAGATCGGGTCTGTCCTGTATGGACGTTATATTCACTGTCCATCTGCTACAGGAGAGGTGTAGAGAATTTCAGCAGGACCTAGATCTCTGCTTTACTGACCTGGTCAAGGCCTATTATACCATCAACAGGCAAGCGCTCTGGGTTATTTTTCGTGCCCATTTTCTGTTTACCTTGGGGTGCAACAGGGATGTCCTCTGGCCCCTAAACTATGTAACATATATTTTTGACCATGTTTTCCATGGATGTACTGGAGGAATTTCCATATGGTTCAGAAACAATGGGAGGATGATCGATAACCAGGTGCGGTCAAGGAATGGCTCCCTATAGGTCAACCATGTTATGTATGTGGATGACCTCGTAAGTGCTGCTCACTCTTAGGAGTTGGAGATGCTGCGACTGAACCGGGAGCATACTACTAAGAAATGGAGCCTTACCATCAGCCCCAAAAAACACAAAGCACATGCCTGGGTACTTTGTCAATGAATGTTCCACTTCCTCTGCTCCCCATAAAGTGATGGAGGATTTGTGGAGAGAGTGGATACATTTCTGTACCTGGCTTATGGCCAACTCTGATTTAGCAGCAGAGGTCTCGCTCTGAATCAGTAGAACAGAAATATAGTTTTATCAGTTGCGTCACACTGTGTTGAAGATACCTTGCCTATAACTTCAAATTAAGCTCCGGGGCTTCTCGGTCACAGTTATACCCTTCCTTCTCAACGCTTGCGAAACGTCAGGCCCTTAAAAAGGAAAATCTACGCCGGTTTGGAACTTTCAGACTGGCCCACTAATGTTCCATCCTGGGTTTAACAAGAATGGATGTGTGCTCACAGAACCCTGAAAGATCTGGACAGTCCCATTAGTGAACTCCCCCAGAAGGTGAGACTGGGTCATGTAGCCCGCATTCCCAGCCAACCTAATGCCCAAGCAGCTTTTGTTTGGCTGGATAGAGGGGGTTAATGGACTAGAAAAGATATTGACTGATGCAGTAGGGAAAAATGAAGAGCGGAAAAGACTTGCAGGGGTGTGAAGATTGGCCTCTGTGGAGGAGACTCGTGAAGGAAGCTACTGGGCAGTTGGAAGAAGTTGCCCTCTAACAACAACGGAGAGCAGAAGAGTGCAGATCACAACAACGAGTGGAGTTGGAGCACTGGGCGGCAAAAATACAACAAAGTTGACACAGTAAGGGGCAAAGGTGGTGCATCTACCAGTCATCTCAGTCAACCCATGGCACCTGGGTCTGTCCCGTGACCTCCTGCCTGCGAGCCTTCCATTCTTCACGTGGTTTCAAAGTGTACCTCGTCTGGCACAAGCGTCATGGTGACATCACCACCACTGAGTGGCGAATAGCGGTTGTTATTATCCGTGTTCGTACGTACCTGTGTGATCGTGCGGGACTGGCTGCGGCTGGGACTGCGGCGGTCGATGTCATCTGCCAGCGTTTCGTGCCGGATGGGGTTAGCAAATGACACGCGTCGTGCCTGTACACATACACACAGAGACATGCTGCCATGTTTCAACTAAAGTAAACAAGTCAAAGTGTCTCCCTGTTGAAACAAGCGTCGTGCAAAGCACATCTCTGTTAGCGATCCTGAGATGCTGGAAATTCCACATAAATGGTGCACCAAATTCTCCTTATAACAACCACTGTTGGGCATTCCACATTTTAATGACCATGGAAAAGTAATGGACTGAGTCGATGCATAAGCAGGATCTGAATATTCAATTCTCTTAACTGCCAGTACTACCTGGCAGGATTTTTTTTGTGACGCAGGTCTCACCTTGTTTGGTGGAGAGTCTGACGGCAGCTGCTCAGCCTCCGACTTCCTGCCCGCTGCCTTCTTGAGGATGCTGGGAGATGGGGATGCAGCTGGAGACCACGTGCCTCTTGGTGCGACCGGTGGAGGGCTGCCTGCTCTCTGGGCGATGTCTCCGTTCAACCGCATAAGAGTGCTGCACCCTGGTGAGGCTGGAGCCTCTGTAGTCTGGGCTGCCATGTCCTTTTTTTTCTCCTCCTCCTCCTCCTGTTGCCCCTCCTCCATCTTGCTGTCACCCATGTTCCTCTTATTCTCCTCCCCTGGCACTTTCTGCTCTCCTCCTGCCACTGCCTCAGTCACAGTAACCATCACCTCCTCGCATACGGCACTGACCAAGGGCTCTGCTGGGGAGGCCCCGCTGGAGTTGATGATCTCCAGCTCGCTGCCGTCCTCTCCAGGACACACCTCCTGGCCCTTGGGATTGCTCTCTTCTGCTGGGTTCTCCTGAGCGGTCAAGATTGGCGATGCTATCTCCTTGCTCATCCCACTTGAAACGACACCAAATTCTTCCTCCTCAAATCCGCCTTTGGTTGGCACGGCATGAGATGCGGTGGTGATTGTATCAATTCTGCCGGGATCCGCTCCACATGAAAGAGAGGTGGAGGCAGCGCAGTCACTCCCTCTGGAGACCAGCAGCGAGGGAGAGGGGGGCAGCATCACATTACCCGGCTGTTCCCTATCTACAACATGAGACGTTTTTACATCGTTATCTCCTGCACTGACAAACTCTGTTTCGGGGTCGTGCTCCTTGGCTTTAAAATCAGTCGTGATGATATCGTTCAAATCTATAACCAATTGTTCCTGAGCAGCGCATTCTATGGTGTTTTTTGTTTCGTTGAGCCGTGGAGATTCTTCAGGCCCCACCGGATCACTCACATTATACTCCTCCTCCCCAACCTCCTCGGCAGTCCCTTCCTCCACCTCATCCTCAACATTCTTTAGCAACTTTCTACCCTTCCCTCTTCCTCTTCCTCCTTTAACTGTTCTTTGCGACAGTTTCTCTAACGGTGTCTTCAATGGCTGCAGTGGCGAATCTGACTCGGTGATGGCATCTCCACAAAGCCTGGGGCAAGGTTTGCCCTCCAATTCACAATCGTCTTTGTCGCTCACAGCGGCTCCGCCAGTTGCTGGGGCGGACGCCTCGGGCATCGAGCGTCTCCTCTTCATGTAGACATTCTCCCAACTGTACCTTCCGCAGCCCCAGCTCTTCCTCTTCCTCTTTGACCGCCTCAGCAAGTTACTCAAGCCGAGCTTGGGCTCCAAATGTGAGCTACCTGATAGGACGAGCTCCAAGCACAAAACACTTGTTTCTGCAGATGCCGATGTCTCCGTGGGTTGCGGGTTGGTGTCGAAAGCTGTGTTTTCTCTGTCCAAGATTCCGGCTGCGCCATTGTCCCTCGTCACACCTGCACTCTGCTCACTCCTCTCGAATGCAGGAAGCGCCAACGCTCTCTCCCCATTCGTTGGCGTGCGCACCACATCGCGTACAGAAATGCGGACACTCCCGTTTGCCCAGCCAGAGTTTGCCTGCCCACCTGGGATGCTCACCAAATTCACCCTCCTCTTCTTCGGCTCTCCACTTGCATGGATCCGACTGTCAGAACTAGTCGGTCTGCTGGGGCTGGCCTGTGGACTGAACACAGTACTCTCACCGCTGGTGCCATTAATCTCCTCTTCCGCTGCCACCGCTGCAGTGTCACGTGTTTCGGTTAAATCATCTCCAACATTTGAGCTGGAGGAGCCGTCCCTTGCTTGACTACTAGACTGTTCATCAGATTTGAAGGCCTTGAGCAGGGTCAGTGCAACTATTTGTGGTGGAGATGAGGACTCTTCAACCGCAGATGAGATCGTGGGGGATTCTGTCATCGTAGGAGTGGATGGCTTTGCCACTGCAGAGAAATATTTGGAGGTTTCTACCATTTTAGAAGAAATCATAGGGAATTGTTCAACTGGAGCAGCAACAGGTAACTGTGCCACGACAGGAGAGGTTGTGGCAGGTTGTGAAACCACGAGGGAAGACACAGGAGATTGTTCTGCTGTAGGGGAGGGTGTGCTGTTGTTGGTGCTTAGCAGGGAGATCTGAGACAGCTTTAGCTGTCGCCCCCGGATTGCTTTGCTGCGAGGAGTGTTGAGGTCGTTGCTGCATCCTGGGATTGCTGCATCTGCTACTGCAACACCAAAATTAGCATTCCCTTTCAGACTGCTGTCGGCCATTAAGCCTTTGCAAGAACCATGCTCTTGAAAAGAAGCGCTATCTGAGAGAGATCCAAGTCTGTGCTTATCAGAACTAGATTCTGCTTTCGTCACTTCCACCTCTGAATCTCCCATGTACATGCCGGGCTCGCAAGAAAGCAGCTTCCTGCGGGACTTGCTTGCGCTCAACATCTGCCCCTTTTGAGATGCTCTCCGTTGGTTAGCTGCCCTACCATCGGTTCCGGGTGTTGGCTGTGGAATGTCGCTCTCCATGACCAACTTACTCCTTGGGGTCACGACAGGAGCTGCATGATCACTGCTCTTTATGCGGCACTGCCTGCGGCCGCGTCGAGGCTGTAAAGCGCCCTCTGGTGGGAGTTCCTCCTGGCTGTCGACCATTACGTTCCGTTCTGCCGCCAACTTCCCATCCGACCCCGAGCTCAGGCCCTCACGCGCAGCGTTTTCCCGACTCTTACTGCGGCGGGTTCTCGGTTGTGCCACCGGCTTGACCGGCAGCTCCCTGGAGGCATCCTCCTGCTCCTGCTGCTGCTCCTCCATTTCAAGATCGACTGCCAACTCCTGAAACATCTTTTTCGATTGGCTGCCAAGAGTAGGGAGGGTTCGCTCTCCCGGAGTGTGCCTTGGCGGGGTACCAGCCACCATCTCTATCGACTCATTGCTGCTGTTGGCAGGGCCCACAGCCACATTCTCTTCACTGGCTCCCTCCGTGTCGCCTGCAAGCCCCATTGCCTTCCCATCCAAATCCAGGTTCGCTCCATCTCTATCTGTGCTGCCATTACAGCCCAGCAGCTCCGGTTCGGCCTCTCTGTTCTGAGCGTCGCATTCTGGAGCATCGTTTCCACTCTGAGGGGCCTGAGCTTTGTCGTCCACGCATGAGGAACTTACTTCAATCTCTTTGCTGCTGGCACTATTGATGATCTCGTCTTTACCACATGTTGTTGTCTGCACCACCTCCTTAGCGTTGTCGGCGCTTCCATTCAAGTGCCCGCTTGACACCAGTGCAGTGCGGTTATTTTCATCCAATGTTGTCCCCGTTGACTCAATTTTTGCAATGGCTTCCGTCTCCACCACCCTCTTCACAGCCATCTCATCCGCATTCATCTGACCGGCGAATATCGGAGTCTTGTGTGTGAGAGGGCTCAATGCGGAGGACCCACTGCTCCTGCAGAACCAGTCATGGAACACGCAAGTCAAGCGAATGTTTATCACACTCAACAACAGCCACCGGTTAAAACACACCTACTACCGTAAGGTCAAAACAACTACAGGCAGGGTATCAATAGCCATTTATCAATTCCAGTCCTCAAGCCCCAACCACAGCACAGGCTTCAGTGTTTATTAATCATCAGCTGGGTACCATGTTTAACTATTTATTTTGGTTCTGAACAATAAATTATTTATTTGGTGATGCTGCGTTTTAGGTGGTACACAAGCACAAAAACTCACATTCATCACTAACACCGTCTATTCTGGGCACTGACGGCGCACACCTGTAATCCAGCAAGATGGCAAATTATTACCTACATCGCCTGGTATGCAGGACATCGTAGTTTCAATCCCAACCCTGACGCCTGTATATGTGGAGTTTACATGTTCTCCCCATGGTCATGTAGATTTTTCTCCGGGTTCTCCGGTTTTTACCTCCACATTTAGAAACATGCGTTTAGAGTATTTGGCTGCGATACATTTCCACATTATGATAAGCCACTTCGTTGAGCTATCAATTGTGGCCAGGTTGCTTCTGAAAATAAGCTATATAGCTCAGTAGACCTTACCTGGTAAAAAATATTATTTTATAGTTTAAATAGTATGCATGGTAACATAAATATAGTTTTAGTTCAAGTGTTGGTGGATCTGATATATTGTGAAACTCCCTTCCAGTGGGCATCGAGGTGCCATACCATGGCTGTCAAGAAGGCAGTAGAGCAAGTGGAATAATCGCCCCCTCTTTCCATGTGTAATAGGATGGTGTTGCACCATCGCATGCGTGGGTTTTCTCCGGGTTGCTCCAGTTTCCTCTCGCATGTATAAACACTCACCATTAATTGGCTGTAAACATCTTAAAATAAAATATAAACCCAAAACAGGACCCTCCTAAAAAAAAAGTCCTATAATTCAGTGTGGCCTTCCTGAAAAAATAAGTAAAGTCAAAAAGGAAAAACATATAAAAGGTGACGTATTATGTTAATATATTTAAAAAAATTTATGCATATATTATCAGAGCATGTTTGTTTGCATGTTTTGCCACAAGTATATGTGGTTAATGCAGACTTGATGCCTTGCAAAGGGTATCTGACATTTGCTGCTATCACTTCTCCCAATGCTAAACGGATCTTGTTCAGGGCCGGCCTAGCCCTGATCTCAGAGAGAATATTATTGCTCTTTTTTGAACGAGACAATTTAGACAAGACTCTCTTGCAATTCCACACTTAACATTGACGGAAAAAATGTCTACACCTGATTGGGACCATGTAGATAACATGACAGCCTCTTCAGCTGCGTCAATGTCAGCTAAATGCAAAGATAACCTGATTTCCAAGTTCAACCTCTTTTCCAAGAAGAAGCCAGATCCACATATTAAAAAGTAAGATGGTGACAAGAATGTTATTAATCAGAGTAAAAGCCCAATTTCCGACAGCCTAAAATCGGTTCTAGCTAAAGGGTTGAATTTCACAGTCACCCCTAAACACAAACCCCTATTAGATGATATCATTGCCCAGGTCGACGTAGCCCTTAAGGGTTTGGGACACATTCCTGCAGACGTGGCAAGATCGGAAATCGCTGCAGTCCTCAAAAACGCTAAGACACCTATTAGCAACATCAGCAAAGATGAGCGCTTTGAGCTTTCTTAACTAAAAAAGAGAGATGACATAGTCATCCTCTCAGCCGATAAGGGCAATGCCACTGTCATCATGAACAAAACCTCATACAATAACAAAATTCAGGACCTACTAAATGATGGCAGCTATGCCAAAATCAAGAGATCCTACCAACCGCCTGGTTACGAAAACCAACAACATCAACAACTGATTCGACATCTTTAATCAAACCAACCAAGCGGCTTTCCTTAAAACCCTCTGCTGCTAGACCACCCAGATTTTATGGCCTACTAAAAATCCATAAAGAAGGTACACCACTCCGGCCTATCGTCTCCACCATTAACTCACCCACCTACAAACTGGCCCGATTTCTGTCTGAGACCTTACAACCATTCACTGGTAAGACCACCTCAGCTGTACTTAACTCAGCTCACTTGGTATCTCTCATTAAGGACATCTCACTGTCTCCAGGTGATATGCTTGTCAGTTTCGATGTAGTATCTTTGTTTACCAAAGTTCCTGTGCCTGACACCATTGCAATCATTTAAGATTTCGTCCAACAAGGACTGAATGCTGATGTACCGGCCCTGGTTAGACACTGCCTCACCAACACTTACTTCACCTGGAATGGAACATTCTACAAACAAGTTGAGGGTACCTCAATGGGTTCGACCTTGTCTCCAGGCATCCACCCTACGTCCTTCCTTGTGGAAAAGATACGTAGATGACACGTTCGTCATCTGGCCACATGGCCTACCAGCGCTGGGCCAATTCTTCAACCACATCAATTCCATACACCCAGCCATCAAATTCACCATGGAGGTGGAAAAGGATGGCAAGTTACCATTCTTGGATGTTTTAATCGAAAAGAAACCAGATGGCTCAATGCGACACTGCCGACAGGAAAGCCACCCATACAGATGCCTACCTAAAACCTGACTCCCACCACCATCGATCCCAGAAGAATTCCCTCATCAAAACTCTACACCATAGAGCTCATTGTATTTCCGACCATCACCACCTAGCCAGTGAACTGGAGAACGTACACCAAGCTCTCAAGATGAATGGATATTCAGACTACACAGTCCGTAAAGCCATCACCCCAACAGTTGGGAAAGAACCATCTGAGGACCCATACAATCCATCACCTTGCCATACATAGCAGGGGTTACCAAAAAATATTTCCAAAATCATGAGCAAACACAAGATCTAGGTTCGAATCAACAGAGTACATAAAATTAGTGATCTGATCCCATCTGTGAAGGATGTGATCCCTGACATGCAATACCCCGGTGTCTACAAGCTAAATTGTGTCTGTGACAGTAGTTACATTGGGGAAACTAAGTGACATGTCTTGGATCATGTTCGTGAACATAAGGCAGATCTGAAACACGGAAGGACCAATACCTTAGCCGTGGCTGATCATTGTTGTAACACTGTAGGCACGCACGAAATGGATTTTTCCAAGACAAAGGTACTCTGCAAACCCACTGGCTATCAACGAAGATTAGTTCATGAAGCCATCCAGATATATAAACACAGACACAATTTCAACCGAGAAGATGGGTACAAACTGAGCAATCATTGGAAGGACGTTATTAACCAATTTAAGTCATAAATGGCTGTGATGTTTCCATCCTACCTGCCGATGTTAGCAGTTATTTCCGACTCTCTGAGTTACATACACGCTAAATATCTCACTAACACAGCCACCGTTGCTTCTTACCCTCGAGTTGGCGGTGTCCCTCGTTTTTTAACGAGCTGGATGTCTCACTGGCACAGCCACCGTTGTGGTGGTCCGCTTACATTGACATGCTAATCTCTCACAATACAATATGCCACCTCCACAGCTACGTCGTCGTGGTGATATATCAGCGCTCCGATCTTACATTTACATGCAAATTCCATCTCTAGCCACGCCCACTTACCCTTGGGCTACACCCATCTCTAGCCCCGCCCACTTACCCTTGGGCTACACCCATCTCAAACCTATATAACATCCTGCTTCAGCAGCTCTGCCGCTTTATGTTTTTCACCTGATACAAAGAATAATCTATTTGGTGTTAACACCTCCTGTTTCATTGCCAGTAAGGGTAAAACCTATTCTTATTGTTAATCAATTTGGATACTCGCAAATAGGCTCCATAGATATTTAATATTTTTATATTCTTTGGTTCTATTCGGTAAAGTCACGTAGGTAAAAAATAAAACAACAAAAATCACGACGTTTCAGCCACAACACAAGCGGCCTTCATCAGGTGAAGGGACCAGGCTGTCTCGAGGACAGCGCTGGAGTGAAACACAGCCACGCTCAGACCACGACCTTTAAGCTGTGTGCGAGGAAACAATTTTGCTAATTCCTTTGTCAAGACACCTTGTTTCCTCGCACACAGCTTAAAGGTCGAAACGTCGTGATTTTTGTTGGATCCTTGCAGTCACGAAAGCTTCAAATCTAGAATTAATATTTTTATATCGCCCATTATAGATTTGTTCCATTTCAGGCAGTGTTTCAATTTCTAAATGCTAAAGATCAGTGAATTGTAAAAGCAGGCAGTGGGCAAGATAATGCTTACAATTTTAGGGTTAGGATTAAAAAAAAATACTACTATAATTGAGATTAACACCTTGTCATGGATATATCTAGTCTAATAGGCAGGGTAAGTAGTGTTTAAGATGTGTGGTGATGATCATAATAATGACTATGGGCTGTGCGGTGAGCGTGTGGACGTAGGGGTATAGTACTCACTCAGAGTCCTGCGTGCCAGACAGCTGAGAAAACACGGTGGAGTCCTGAGAGGCATCCAGTGTGTTGTACATGGTCGGTATGTCCACCCTGCTCGCCAATGGTGGGACATGGGCGGTGGGGGAGGGAACGTAGTCAGAGGCAAGGGTGAGAAGAGACAGGCAGAGGCAGAGAATGTTATGCCATGCATTGCGTAGCACGCGCTCTCACACCATACGCTTGGACTGGTGGCCTTGAAGTCAGTGCATTCCAGTTCACGTGTGGTCGGTTAGGCATCGTTCATGCAGATAGCCGGTTATGTCAGCGAGGAATTGGCAAAGCGCGCAATCATCTACAAGGTCGACTTGTATGAGCCAAAGCATTTCCCATTCCCAAGACTAGGCACCTGTGCCCATATCCCAAACGATATTTCAAATTGAATTGTTGTGATACGCAGAACTGATTGGTATAGTATGATGAACCTGTATCATGACACACGGTATGCTAAACTGTGTATTATCCACAATATAGGTTTTTGGGTTCGATCGCGAAATGTTAAACCCGCCACCACCCGACACACCCAATTAGTAAGGTTTGTCACGTAAAGAAAACATGCCAATTGGTTACTAGTTCAGCACACCGGTGTGTTGGAGAGTAATCCCACAACATTTACAAGTCGAGTATGACATTTCACCGGTAATTACAACCAGCCTCATCAGGCAACAGCTAGAATTGTAGATAAATCCTCCTGTTTTGGTCTTAAAAAGGGGGAAAAACCCTGCCAGAAAAAAGGAGAAAAACCCAATTATTATAGGTGTGATGTCGTCACTTGCAAGCGGGGACAAGGGGGGGGAGATTAATGTATTCATATAAATTACAATCGATATCTATTTTTTCGGTTGGGTTATTCACAGTTAATCAACAACAATGTATGTACATCATGTATGGCCATTATGCATATACACTATATGGGTCAGTCAGCACCTCTTGGTCCGCAGCACCTCCTTCTGGTGCTCTGTGAGCACACGGGATCGGCTGGCGGCTGTAGCAGGCGGGGGGATGAACACAAAGTCCTGGGAGCTCTCCTCCTCGAGCTGAACAAATTGGCGTGTGCGCACTGTCCTGGGCGACCGCAGGCTGCTTGCCTGTTGTGCAGCACAGCGCGCGTGGCACAGCAACGGTCCATTTTTACCAATTAAAACGTTTTCAAAGAGCCTAAAAAAAAATCACGGGCTCGAACGGAGTCCAACGCTGTTAAAAAAAAAACACTGACATTTTCAAAACAGCACGTGTAAATCATAACCGACAACTTGACAAGTTATATTTTGTAACATTTTTGTCTGCTGCACAGCAGTTCCTGCAGTGTGTGGAAGGGCTTGCATATACCACTATATGCATATACCCAGCAGTACATGTTTAACAAACCAAATTCTGCTTAAGAAGCTTAGAAAGTTTTAACAAAGTTAGAGTTTGCCCACGTAAACAAATGCTGCTGAAAAGACCTAAAGATGCAAATATTGTTGGTTTCTTGCAGTTAAAAGGATCATTGTCATTATCTTAACGTATTGGCTATTATCTATTTTCGTGGTACATTTGTAATGACAAAACCAGAACAGGACTGACACTAACAAGACAAAAATAACCTATTTTTGAACAGACTCGTGACCTCAAAATGCGGCAGTTCAAACTGTCGTGAAGGTTCATTGTTAAATGGCTTGTAAGAATTCCTCGTGGCAAACAAGTGGGCGTTTGCCAGGCTGCAACAACAAAAACTGGTATTCGCCTCCAAGTGACATCACCACAGCGCTTGTGCCAGGCTACGTGCACTTTTGAGGCTAAGTGAACTGTCAACGGCTCGCTAACAGGTCAGAGGACGGACGCAGGTACCATGGTTTGACTGAGATGACTGACAGATGCACCATCTGTGTGTCCCCACAGTGCAAACCTGCTGAGTTTTAGCTGCCCGACCATCTGCTCATTGTTGTGAGCGTCACCCCTCTGCCTTCCGCTGTTGATAAGAGGACAACTGCCTCTAACTGCCAAGTAGCGTCCTTCACAAGCCTTCTACACAGAGGCGGATCTTGACCCTGCTTATACCAGTTTTCAGCAAGTCCACTGAGCTCCAGATCCTTCTGTACAATATCGGCCCATCTCTTCTCTCGCCTGTGCCGTGCTGGTTTAGCGCCCTCTATCCATAAAAACAGAAGCTGCTTGGGCATGCCAAGCTGCACACAAATACACACGTACGCACGTGTGCGTGAACGAGCGTGTACCTTTGGCGTGGTTGCCTTTTCCACATGCTGGCATGGAGAGGCCCAGGTAGCTATGGCGGTCTTATTATGGGTTGGGGTAACAGGTGTGGGAATGGTTGGCTGTGACTCCTTGTGGATCGCTTGTGCCTTCTTTACGCTGGTCCCCGTGGGATGCCGACCATCCTGGACTGTGGCTTCCTGCTGTCAGAGTGTGCAAATGAGATGATGCAATGCCAATGTCTTGAAATCAGCTTCACAAGCAACCGACAGAACAATTCAAGCGACATTTTATGAAAGGTTCACAATGGGCAGATTTCCTTTGACTAACCATTGGTCATAATACACGGTTGTGTAATGTGGTGTGTCATGGGGTATGTGTGTAATGGCCTGGCACAAGCATCGTGGTGACGTCACCGCCACTTAGTGGCGAATGGCAGTTGTTGTTGTGTAATGTGGTGTGTGAGGAGCTATGGGCACAGTGATTAGCGCATTGCGCTACGAACCCAATGTACCGGGTTCGATTCCCGCTCACGGCCAATATAGGTGACGAATATCTGAACTGGTCCTGGGCCTCCCCTAGGTCGACTCAGCCTCAGATGAGTACCTGGTGGTGTGTGTAAACATTGCCACCTCTTGTGCTGTGTCAGCCATCATTGGTACTACTCGCTAACAGCACTTGCCCCAACAGTTTGTTAAGACTATACGGGGGATATTTGTCTTCGTCTTTATCAAGGGGTGTGTGTCGGAGTGGTGAAGCAGTGATTTGTGCATTGCACAATCCCCGTGACTGTGGAAAGATTCCCAACCATGCCCATCAGTGTCAAGTGGTATTTGGCTTTGTCTTGTGTACCGGTGTATTACACAAAGGGTAGTCAGGCATGGCACTGACAACACCATTCCCTCTTGTGTAGGGCTCGGCAGCATTTCTGCAAAAGATAATTTTCTCCAATAGGCTGGAAGGATAATTTTTTACTTGAAGATGTGTTTGTATTTATATACGTATGTTGAAATTATTTCACACCGTACATAGCTTACCGTGCTAATCGGAGGTGCATCCTTCACAGTACAGTTAAGAACACCCATGTCTCCCCATAGCGTGGGCCCATCCCACAGTAGATTGACAAAAAAGGGCTCTACATGGGCCAAAAATTTAATTCTGGCTGCTGCACCTTGACAGCGAAGCAATTGGAGTCCCCTTTGTCAGCAACAGCGTCGTTGTCGTCATCATTCGAGTCGTCAAGAAAAGGGGCGGTGCGTGCCTCCTCGTCTGTGAGCTCCACACCAGGCAACGCAAGCGGAGTTCGCTGGCGCTGCATCACCAACCTGCGCAGCAGCCACGTAAGCACACAGAATATTTATACCGGAGGACTCCGAGGAGCTATAAAGCTCTTTTTCAAAGAATGTCCAGTCGGGGCACGGAGTAAGAACGTCACAACAAACAATACAAAAACACAATAGTCATGCCAAGTACAGGAAAGTACAAGAAAGGCAAACAAATCACCAAAATACATACAAATAAAACTAAACCGTCCCCAGCCTACCATGCAAAGCCCAGAGGTATTAACTTACTTTTCAGAAGCGACCTGGCCACAAATGATCACTCAACAAATTGGCTCATCATGCGGAAATGGATAGGAGCAACATAATCTAAACAATCTCCATGCATGTTTCTAAATGTGCTATGCCCCTTGGGTCAGAGTAGGTGGTTGCACACTTCCTGTCCCTCTCCCCTCAGTTCAACGACTAACAAAGCCAACAAATAGAAACTAAACTATGTTTAATTTTACCAGGTAAGGCCCACTGACCTATTAGCAGTTTTCATGAGTGACCTGGCCGCAAATGATAGCTCAATGAAGTGACTTATCACGTGGAAATTTATAGCAGCCAAACACTCAAAACGCATATTTAGGAGGGAAAAACCAGAGGACCCAGATAAAAATCCACGCAACCAGAGGGCGAACATGCAAACTCCAAATATACAGCAAGCATGCACACATATCGTTAGCCTTATCAAGGCGTCAAGGATTTATCTATGAATGATGTCCTGCATTAACAAGTCTATGTAATTACGTGAATTATTAATGTGATAAATATATAATAAGAGACGGCACTGCAACAGGATTGCCGATAATATAATGTGCCAACAAAATGTTTTCATATTACTACAAATGAGTTTGTAGGAATACCTTTTTGATTATCGGAGGGATTTTCTGTTACACAATATCTCGTAATAGGTAACTACATACGTCATTTTAAAACTTAATCAGAAAATATTTGTAAAATGCAATTCTTATCAGGCCCCATTGTGTATCGTGTAGTCTCCAACTACTCTTCACCATGGCTCTTTGGCCTCTCTATATGTGGTACGAAGAAGGACCATTGCCCGAAACCTCGCCCAGTACATATTTTTCCTCTTAAGGACGCAGTCTTCTTGACAAAGAGGATGTCGTTTGAGACGAGGCTCAAAAGAAAGCTGTCTCTGGTGTGGACCAATCAGTTTCAACGACAATGCATATATTATCAGATTGTTTTTTTGCATTCTGACCACAAGCATTGTGGTTAATGCAGACATGATTCCTTGTAAAAGGTTTCAGTTTGGTGTTTTAACATCTTAACATCTGTTTTGTTGCCAGAAAAAAGGGGAAAACCTATTATTATATCCACATCTATCAGCCACACGGGGCTTCTTTGAGTGCAAAATTTGAGAAGCATTGATTCAACACGAGCAAACTCTGGACCAGTTTCAACACGCAGTCTCATCGGCAGTCAGGATTGCTTGAACCAATGCTGGTCAACTGCCAAATGTTAAAGGCAAGGACTCTCTTTTTAATATATGAGTCTTAGTTTTATGCAAAATCACATAAGCAACTCCAAATAATGTTTTGTGTAAAGCATAATTTATTTTTATAGATATGTGAAGGAGACACTGTCTGCTTATGTATTTTGTTATTTATATTCTCCACACTGGCTAATGATTATTTTTAATTAATAATCAAACTGAATGCTTAAAGAAACCCTGAGCAAGAAAATGGAGAAATATTTCACAGCAAGGCACATTCAAGTACAGACAAGATATGCACACACTCGCAGACACACAAATCGCAGCTGTTCACACAAGCAATGAACAACATACACAAAATATATAATGAGCGCAGATGTCACACATTTAAGCGGCAGCTGCTATTTCAGAACAGTGCACAGCAGGGTTCCCATAAACACGTTGCAAGCGCATGACAGCGGCACAAATGAACTTTAAAACAATGAACAGACAAGCTGCCGCATTCAGACAGCCTATACCCTCATAATAAGCTCGTGCATGTGCACTGAAGCAACGGAAATGTGGTGGCTCTGCTACGAACACTGGCGAGACAAATGTGAACAGGTATGCCAAAAACTTGCGTTTGGCCGACGCAACCAGTCCCCTAAAGCAGGGGTCCCCCAACCCCCGGGCCGCGGACCGGTACCGGTCCGTGGCCTGTTAGGAACCGGGCCGCACAGGAGCAGGAGGTGAGCGGTGAGTCCGCGCGTGGCCCGCCCATTATTTTATTGACCACTTCCGTCCGCGCCTCTTTCCTGCACTGCGCACTTGTCTCAGTCACAGCGTTTGGTAAGCCCACAAGCTCTAACCCCTTGTAGCCACAATGAGTAAAACACAAACGACGCTGGAGAGCTTCTTTGAAAAGGGGAAAAGACCCGATGATGAAACCCCCCTCCCCCCCCAGTCCGTGAAAAAATTGTCTTCCACGAAACCAGTCCCTGGTGCTAAAAAGGTTGGAGACCGCTGCCCTAAAGAAGTTAAATGGGCTCCATGGTGGCGAGATGATAACTACCTCACCTGGTACGCAAGAAGGCATGGGATCGATCCCAACCCTGATGCCTGTATATTTGGGGTTTGCATATCTCTCCCTGTGGCCACGTGGATTTTTGTCCAGGTCCTCGGGTTTTTCCCTCCACATCTAGAAACATGTGTTTAAGAGTATTTGGCTGCTATACATTTCCATATGACGGGCCACTTCATTGGGCAATCATTTGTGGCCAGGTCACTTCTGAAAAAGAGCTACATAGTTCAGTGGGTCTTACTTGGTAAAATAAAAAGTTAATCGTTTTTTTGTTTTTCATCTGGAAAGTATTTGTGAGAAGCCACACAGTACCGTGTCACACCATCTTCCCTTGTGTCACACGAACACATCCCCTGCGTCACACCACACGTGTCCCAGTTTCACAACACATGCACGAGAACGCACACGCTCCCAGCACCTGAGCTGCTCAGGGTAGTTCAAAGGCGCTTTCGTCCTCCCGAAGGTGGCGTCCCAAAATTGCGCAGCCCGCGATCGCACAGCAGGGGTCCGATGAGGCAGTGTGTGGCACAGCAGCGGTGACAGGAGCTGCAGCAGCGAGTCGTCGTGAGGTCCCGCCGACGGGCCCTCCAGGAGGCCTGCCACACCCTCCCACAGCTCAGGCAGCTATTCGACACACGTGGGGCCGAACGAGACGGCGCAATTAGCAACTCGGCGTTTCTTGTTCCTCGCCACAATTAAGCATGTATCACGTTCTCTGTATTGTTGGAAACGAAGAGGGACTTGCTCGAGAGCATCGCTTCAAATTAAAGTGGTTGGGTAGCTTTGGAGGGTGTTGGTACTGAAACAGCAAAACTGAGATGCGGATTTTTTTTTAACCAAATGTGGCTTATTTTGCAGCAATGAAATCTTCAATTTTCAGTTTGAATCAAATCGAATGAGGTCAACATATAGAAACTAAACTATTTTTTTATTTTATCAGGTAAGGCCCACTGACCTATTAGCAGTTTTCATGAGTGACCTGGCCACAAATCATAGCTCAATGAAGTGACTTATCACGTGGAAATTTATAGCAGCCAAACACTCAAAATGCATATTTAGGAGGGAAAAACCGGAGGACCCGTATAAAAATCCACGCAACCAGAGGGAGAATATGCAAACTCCAAATATACAGCAGGCGTCAGGGTCGGACGACAACACATCACTTTGAACTAAAGCAGGTTAAGCGGATGGGTGCCGAGCCGGGATGATACATGGTAAAACCAGGATTAAGGCAAGCCTTGACTCACATCCTAATTTATACCCTCAGTAGTTTCATCGCGGCTGCGAGTTGGTACGTAGTGAACTAGTGCCAGAGCTGTTCACCACTGGAGGTGGGTAAGTTTAAGACCACCCACCCTTACCAGAAATACATTACTGGGTTGACAGTGCAGCCCTATCAAAACGTCTGTCCTGAGGACTGCAATTCAAGGTGGTAATGCCGTGCAAATTTATGAAGTGCCCCACACCGCTGCTTGACAGACCTCATCCAGAAACACTCCGACCATGCTGGATCAGGATGCTGCTACAGCCTTGTTACGCAGGAAGGCGTGGGATCGATCCCAACCCTGACACCTGTATATTTGGAGTTTGCATATCTCTCTCCCCGTGGTCATTTGTGCCCAGGTCACTTCTGAAAAAGAGCTACATAGCTCAGTGGGCTTTACCTGGTAAAATACAAATATATATTTTTAAGGCAGTCAGGCATGGTGCTGTTCCACCCCCGTTTCCCCTGCTGGCCGTCATTTATGCTCGTGAACAGCACTTGCCTTCACAGTGCGCTAGAGGCTATATTATGACACTACGGTACTGATGATGCTGGTACTGCGGCTGATGATAGGCCGATTATGCACTCTGTTGATGCTGCTTCTGCTATGATCCTATTGATCAGCTTTCAAACAACAAGTTTTACTTTCGAGTAATAGCCGTCCCTTACACCTGTATAGCCCCTCTTTTGAAAGCCATACAACACGAACAGCCATTAGGATGCGCGCACCAAGGCCGGGTGTGCTTGAAATAAAACTGCACGCGCGGACCAGGTCCAGCGAGTGCAGTCTCGCCTCCTTTGCCGACCAACAAGGACATGGACAATCGGATGGCAACACCATCTTTTGGGCTGCATGAAAAGGGGATAACACCTGAGGGAGGAGCTTAGAAGTCCGTAGGGACTGCCTTTTGTTTTGTTACCACCATCAAGGGTGGGTGAGCATCAAGGGCGTGAACCTCACATACCCTACACGCCATTGTAATAGCCACCAGGAACACTGTCTTCCAGATAAGGAACTTTTCCACGGACAACGCTAGTGGCTCAAAGGAGGTTGGTTGCACAGCACATTCAGCGTGAGGTGCAGATTCCACGGGAAACTATTTTTCGGTGCGGCAGGCGCTCCAGGCGCATGGCCGGAGAAGTATGGATTTCACTTAGGATGCCACAACCGATTTCCCCTAATACTTATCGTGAAAATTTGTCATCGTAACAGCTCTCACTTTTGAGTGGGGGAATTCAGAGCCCTTTCTGTAACTGGTCTACCCTGCACTGGGCTACCCAGTCAAGGCCACATGTCACCGGGTGAACCCTGTGGGAGTTGCACCAAAAGTCAGAATTGTCGCCAATAGGAGTTATACCCTTGCCACATTGACTGATGTCGAGATTTCAAGAGTAAATCTTGCACTGACTTGCTTAGCCCTAGAGCCGAAAAGCATGCCCTCTCAACAGCCATACTGTCAAATTCAATTCCGGCAAATCCTGGCACCAAACGCCCTTCTAGAACAATAGGTTTGGGCAACTTTGTAGGCACCACGTTTGGCCCTACCTGCACAGCCAGAAGGTCCAAGAACCAAACATGAGTTTATAGAGTGTTTGGCTGCTATAGATTTCCAAATGATAAGCCACTTCATTGAGCTGTAATTTGTGGCCAGGTTGCTTCTAGAAAGAGCAATATAGCTCAGTGGGCCTTACCAGGAGAAAAAAATTGTTTATAGCTGCCGCCATGTGTCCCAGTACCACGGGGACCGCCCTGGAGGTGTACCCGCCATGTGAGAGCATAGTTTCCTTATCTCGTGCACCAGCTGTTCCCACTTTTCCTCTCGCACAAACAATGGCATTCCACTTCGTATCCCACACCAATCCGAGGTGTATGATGCGTTGGGAGGGCTGAATGTTGCACTTCGGTTCGTTAAGCATGAACCCAGAACGCTGGAGGCCATGCACCACCAGACATATCGAACCCTGCAGCGCCACTGCCGATGATGAAGACGCTCGGAAAAACCGAGAGGTCAAATAGCAGGAGGAGGCAATAAAGTCCAGTTTGGGTTTTCCAGTCTCAGTTGATAATATGGCTGTGCAGGTGAACTAATTGATCATTTAAACACAAAGGCTGCGTGTGGTAGTGGGGATTCCTGGGAACATGCGTGGGTTATGGATGCCTGCCTGTTGAAGAAAGCGGTGCTGATGAAGCCACTGCCAGACCATTTAAGTTTTTGCATGTGTCATCTTAGACTGGAAAACCCAAGAGTATAGACTTTGTTGGCTCCTCACCCTGAAGCCACAAACCGGCACTGACACATGCACGCACACGTGATCATAGTGTGACGTCTTACCTTGCCCATCAGCAGGGGGCTGTAACGATGGCCCTTTCTCCCACTCCTAGAAAAGGGACACAGTTGAGTGCATTAACACAAAACAGCAACTCGAAAACTCGCAGCATAAAAAAAAATCACCCCAAATACCCCGTAATTGCGATCATCCTCGAGATGCTCACTGTGCGTAAAGGCTGGCAATGGGAGGCACCATCATGGTCATAGCCGCCCGGATCTCAGACGACGCCTGCAATCGGCGAAGCAGCGTGGCCGCCGCATCCACCAACTTCGCGCCTGTCGCCCAAAGCTTGGTCTGCGCTGTCTCCACTGTCGCCGCCGTTGCTGCAGTGCCAAACGCCTCAATGGCCCTTGCGAGCAAAGAGGTCAGCGAGCTCAGGTTTCCCAGGGAGTCCTTCCTCACCCGGCGAGGACAAACGGGGCTCAGGCACCCTGGCGTTTGGGGGGGGAGTGGAACACGGTGGGCATGCCATGATTCCCTATTGCAACGATTAAATTCATTCCGATTATTGAGAGCTACAATTTTAATTTAATAAATTTATTTTGTTGTCCAGCGTATACTGTCGCGTTTAAATCGTCTGTTTCTTCTGTTCAGTGTCATTTTTCCTGTCTTGTTTTGTTTCATTATCAGAAAAAAGTTAAAGTTGCATATCTGGAATGCAGTTTTTTCAAATTCAGAGGCACAAAAACAATTTCCCAAGCTCTATGGGCCTAAATTTGGATGTCTGGCCAACTTCATGAATATGGGAGAAAACCGGAGCACTCTGAGAAAACACACACATATGAGAGGGCAACAAAACTCTATCCTTGCAGAGAGGCAATAGATGGAGATTGGTCCACATTTGCCAGACTGCTTTATGAGGCAAGACAGGGTATGGCACCTCAGCACTCATGGGAAGGGAGTTTCACAACATTTGCGCTATCTACAAACCCCTCGCCACCTAGCCAACAACACCTCCTGGCAGAAATCTAACATTTGCATAACTTTAACAATGCATTCTTATACCCACCATTGTAAACATTCAACCCAAGTGTAGCAATGAATTTGAATCCAAGAATTGATGAACAATTACATGCCGTGCGCCAATCTCCACGCGATTGAGGGGAAATCCGTGGGGGGGGATGGGGCGCGCAACCCCTATGGGCAGGGTAGCAAGCTCACCTTTGGAACTGTCCGTGCCAGCCCGATTCTGCGCCAGAGCGGTGAAGTCGAAGTTGGCGAGCATCACGCTCACCAGGTGAGCCGTTGCACGCAGAGAGTGGCAGTGCTGTGGAGGGAGAGGTGAGGAGGGTGATGATACGGAGTCCACAATGGAGTGACCACACTGCTCAGGGGATGTGAGGTGATGAAATTATTATAAACTACACGAAAAAATACTTGTAAAGTGAAAATATTATCAATACGCCAAATGTAAAGGTGTATTTCCTTGGCAATTTTTTTTCAAAACATTGTGGTCACTCATCCAAAGACCCAACCAGGCATATATCCTTTTGAGTGTAGGATGGAACTCTGAAGCGGAGTTCCAAATTGAGTAATGAGATGCGGTGCATGGGCCATGTATACACAAACCATTAATGGGATTATAATGCAGTGCATCACAGCGGAGTGTAGAACAAGCGATATATGGCTTTTCTGATGACATGATGGGATCTACTTAAGGATTAGGCCTCGGCAAGGTAAGGTAAAAACAACGAGCCTACCTTTACCCTACCTTTTACCTTACCACAATACAATCACTCTACCCTACCTTTTACCCTTCAGCAGGTAAGGTAAAAGGTTAAAAGCAACGAACCTACCTTTACCCTACCTTTTACCCTTACCCCATACAAATTACCCAATTACAGGGTAATTACTGGGGTACTACACATGAAAAAGGTTTATAACAGGTAAATGCTAGGTAGAGCGCTTTATTCACATAGAATACTCTCGATGATTCCAATTTTACATGTTTTCTTTTAACTCACTGTCTGTTCTTGTTGTCGTTGTTGTATCCTCAAATCTTATAACTAAATTTGTACCCACTTCCCAATGTGGTATCGACTGCAAACTTGGTATACTGATGTCATACTCATGACAATACTATATTCTATCATTACAAATAAAAATATATATATATTTTTAAACATTCTTCTTTATATGTTATGTTTCGGCTTGGGTCTAATTGTCCACGGTAAACTGACGTTGGCTGTAATTGCTCACGGCCCCCTTACGTTGTGGCAAGCTTCGGGGCCACTTCCTGAAGTCGTGGAGTTCTGCCATTACTAGTACATTTCATAAAAACGTGTTTAAAAAAAGTTTTGTTTAAAATATTACTTATTAAATGGAGGCCACGGACTGCGCCACGGAGCTTTTGGCAGTAAACAAGGTACTGTAATTACCGGGTAATACTTCATGCTACTTTTACCCTACCGGGTAATTCTTCCAAGCTACCTTTACCTTACCCTTTACCTTACCCCTTGGCATGTCGACACCTTTACCCTTTTACCCGGTAAAAAGGGTAAATTACCTTACCTTGCCGAGGCCTATTATGGATCCAGATCAGGAAGCGCAATCAATTAAGATCTGAGCTCTTGCTAATTATGCTGTGCTTGTTTTTCAACATTGCAGTTTGCTGAAAAACTATTGTTGGCACATTTGCCCACGTGACAACTTTCTTTGGTTGGCTTTGTTGGTTGGCTCTAAGCGACATTACACCTACACAATTTATCCCAAAAGAAACCCATTGTGAATCAAACTTCACCACACTGGTCAGTGTGGGTTGGCGACAGTCAGGAGCCAAGACTGGTTCAGATATTACTCTCCACCAGTGTTAGCCGCAGCCTAGAATTTAACCCAAGGTTGCCGAGTTCAACGTGCATGTTATTGGGTTTACGACTGCGCTAACTCTCCACCTGAACAGCAGAGCATAGTGCAGTAGAGTGAGGCTCAGCAACACGGGGCTCAGCAACATTGGGCGTCGAACGGCGTGGTGAGCTGGGATGCTCACCGCGAGCTGGTCAACATGCAGGTGCGGCAGTGCAAGGGCGCACAGCTCCTCGCACCACACGTTTGCCTCGGCGGTGCACACGAGGGAGGCACAGCACGAGAAGGCCTGGTATAGCTGCTTCCAGCTGTGGAGCACCGCCGTCAAGCTGGCCTGTTGACGCACACGCAATGTAATCACCAACAAAATACCGGAAAAAACCATCGCTGGTCCAGCCTGGCTCTGAAGCACTTTCCTTCGTACACAGACATCGAGAAAAACAATGTGCTCCTCTGCACCAGTAAATAAAATTGTTGAGATGCTACATTAAAAGACACCTTTTCAGGATGTCAGGTGTAGACGCAAGCATTGAACCTATCAGTTAACCACTTCTGGAAACATATTTTGGGTGCCATGTATTTCATCTAGATTTTAATATAATTAAGGGGGAGACTGGCAGTAATATACTATGCAAGTGTGGGTGTGGTACCGGACGTAGGCTGGCCGCTGGGAAGATGAACTGGATGGGCAAAAGCAAGGCCTTGTAAAGTGCCGTGAAGTTGTGCTCCAGCGTATCTCCCTGGTTCACCTCCTTGGTCTGAGACGAAACCACACAAGTAAACACGCACTTCATACTCACCCCTTTCCCCTGCCACCCTTAGCACCATCCGAGTGTTCACACACAAGGCAAAGATCTCCAATGTTGCCGACACAGTCTGTTGGGGCAAATGCTGTTGGCGAGGGGGTGGTGTGGCCAGTACCACATCCTGCCACCTCTTGTTTCCCTAGCGCTGATGTTTTAAACAGCACACCAGGTATTCACATATGGGAAAGTTAACCTAGGGGAGACCCAGACCGAGTTAAGATATCACATACCTGTCAACCCATATGGTTTACCAGTATTCTTGTACTAAATTGAGTTTTCAGGTCCATATGGCGGACAGCCGTTTCAATACGGGCAAAAAAAGTCTATTTGTTTTTCTCCCTTATGATGAGACTTTGTAGGATGAACGTTCAGATTTATAAGGGCACGCGGTGACCAATAAGGTCTGAATTGGTCTGTAATCAGGTAGGCATTGCTGATAAGGGGTTCACAGGTATGATATCACTTGCTACTCACGTTAGCCATGGCTGGGAATCGAACCCAGGTTGCTGGGTACATACCGCAGCGTGCTAATACATACACATGCACGTCTGCACATGCCGAGATCACTTAACAGGAAGCCCACAACAAATTGGAAAACAATCAAACTTCAGTGGATGGGATTCTCGCGAAACAATGCATCTCTACAAGAGGTAGAATTACGTTTCAAGGATATTTTCAAACGCCAGAACAGCACAGTAGAGCAAGTCGGATTTTTTATCCATTGGTGCATTACCTGACAAGCTTAAATTAGTAGTTCTCCAATTACTCAATAGGAAATTGGTCAAACATTGCATGTGTAGCACATCGAACTGTAGAGCGTATGTCCAGTTCAGTGGCTGCACGTTCATTGTTTAAAAATAAAGAAAATTAGTCAATTCAGGTGTCAACGGGCACACAAAAATGGACGTAGAGACTTCTTGGAGGTTTTTTTTTTTATCTGGAACTTCAGCTCGAACCTCCTGTATGCAAAAAGTAACACTTTCACTTTAGCCCGTTTCTCCCTACCTCACTCACAGGTTGACAACATCACTGCTGTGAATCTGATATTACTTTTCTATCTACCCACTATTTCATATAAATAACAATATCATTACTGACATTCAACAGTATTAACACATTTAAAATATTAAACACTAAAACAATAACATAAAATCAAAACCACCAAGCAAATTAAATAAACTCTTTAACAATAACTACAGTACAGCATTCATTTACGCAGCAGCTGACAGCATACAGTGAGTAAATTACCACACACATGAATCGAGCAATTCTCTTAAGGCTCTTTTAACCTCTTTCATGGACTAATTAATCATATAAATGAATACACCAGTCGACTGTCATAAAATAAACATTTCACAAGTTAAATTTTGATTTGAAGCTTTCGTGACTGCAGGGATTCATATTCTTGGTTCTTTCGGTAAAGTCACGTAGAAGGGAAAAAATAAAATAATAAAAATATAAAACAATAAAATTCTCACGTTTCGACTGCAACACAACCAATCATCATCAGGTGTCAAAACCACAGCAAAAAAATGTGAAAAAGTGGCAGTTTTTTTTTACGTTAGCACCACGGAGAGCGATATGGCAGTTATTCAGATGGACGAGTCCATCTATGTTCGGAAAAGAGGGGGGAGACGAAAATAATGGATGCGGTCTGAAAGCCACCGTAAGCGTGAACAATCAATTAAGACCCGAAATGGTTGATCAAATCCTTCCAATGATTGCTAAGCCAGAATCCATCTTCTCGGTTGAAATAGTCTCTGTGTTTGTATATGTGGATAGCCTCATGAACGAATCTCTCATGGTAGCCAGATGGCTTGCAGAGAACCTCTGTCTTGGAGAAGTCAATGTCATGTGAGCCTACTGAATTATAACAGTGATCTGCCACGGCCGAGGTGTTGGTCCTACCGTGTTTTAGGTCTGCTTTGTGTTCACGAATGCGGTCCGAGACATGTCGTTTGGTTTCTCCAATGTAACTACTACCACAGAGGCAACTTAGTTTGTAGACGCCAGGGTACTGTATGTCCGGAATCATATCTTTTACAGACGGAACCAGATCACGGATTTTATGTAATGTGTTGAATCGGATCTGGAACTTGTGTTTATTCAAGATTTTGGAGATATTTTTTTGTGATCCCCGCAATGTAGGGTAAAGTGATGGTTTTGAAAGGCTCCTCAAGAGGGTCTTTCTTCATGGTTTGGTGTGATAGCTTTGCGGATTGTGTAGTCGGAGTAACCATTAGCCTTAAGAGCTTGGTGTACGTGCTTGAGTTCACTGGCTATGTGTTCCTGGTCGGATACGCATTGGGCTCTATGGTGCAGAGTCTTGATGAGGGAATTCTTCTGGGATGGATGGTGGGAATCCGGTTTCAGGTAAGCATCTGTATGGGTAGCTTTCCTGTGGCTCATTGAACCATCAGGTCTCTTTTTTATTAGGATATCCAAAAAAGGTAGCTTGCCATCTTTTTCGACTTCCATGGTAAATCTGATGGCTGGGTGTATGGAATTGATGTGGTCGAGGAATTGGTCTAGAGCAGGCCGGCCATGTGGCCAGATGACAAAAGTGTCACCCACGTACCTCTTCCATAAGGTTAGGCGTAGAGAGGCAGTCTGGATGGCGTCAGTCTCAAATTTCTCCATGAAAATGTTGGCTACAACCGGAGATTGGGGGAGCCCATTGGGGTGCCCTCAGTTGTTTGTAGAAAGTTCCATTCCAAGTGAAGTATGTGTTGGTTAAGCAGTGTCTCACCAGGGGGGTACCTCAGTGTTTAGTCCTTGATGAACCAAGTCTTCAATGATTGCGATAGTGTGGGGTACAGGAACTTTGGTGAATAAGGAAACTACATCAAAACTTTTGATTTAAAGCTTTCGTGACTGCAGGGATTCATATTCTTGGTTCTTTCAGTAAAGTCACGTAGAAGGGAAACAATAAAATAATAAGCAGCAGGAGCGTTATAAAAGAAAACTGTAATTTTTTTCCGAGAATACCATCATCTGGAATGGCCCTGGTCTCATCAAACCTCACAAGTTAAGCAGGGTTGGGTTAGCAGAGTCCTTAGATGGGTGACCACCATGCACAAACAGGTTGTCACTGGGCTGAGGGGCCATGTTGTGGGTAGCATAGGACAGTGCAGCAAGTACCACAAGACTACAATTCTGCGCTCTCCGCCGTGACCAACCACACTAATAAACGTGCTGAAGTATGGTCAAATAAATCTTCCATGACCTGCACGGTGTGAGCAGACCCTAATCCATCAGTGGATTAATTTATTTCATTTACTTGCAGCAGACACAACAAAGGTCTTTCAGTGTCGTAGAGTAATAATGTCTCCATAAAACAGACACATCTCCAGTTTACCTTGCATATACTAGGAAATAAGAACGTTTTCAGTGTCTTTCTAAATTGGAGAATCTCGGCAGTCAGGTGCAGTTCAACAGGCAAAAAAAATCCAAATCTGAGGGCCAAGGACTGAAAAAGGCGGAGCTCCAAAACATGAAAGCGTAGTTGACGAGGAGAGCATGGTGCGTGAGGACCTCAAACTCCTACAAGGGGTGTAAAGCTGCAGTTTATCGGTCAAATACTGAGGCTATTGCTGAAAGAGTGGATGGACAAAAGGGTTGCCCATGTACATTAATATTCAAAATATAGGTTTATTGGGTTAGATCACGTAAATATAAAGCATGTTAAAGAAGCGCTGCAAATTAATGGTTACAATCAAGCACAAATCCACACGGCAAATCAAATAACACGAGCATTGAAACTGCCCAAGTAATTCAAACGATCAAAATACCGTACATTGTGGAAGTAACTGATAAACTAGCCAGATGTTTGGAAAAACAAAACATCCGAGTCAGATTTGGCACGGTACATAAACAGAAATTTATATCTGGTACAAAAGATGTATGACCGAAGCTATCAACAGAAGGTGTGTCCAGGATTAACTGCACGTGTGGTAAATGTTGGGCAAACAGGACGAATGATCAGCACGAGACTAAAAGAACATCAGAGAAATATTAAATTCTCCCAAATACAACGGTCAACAGCAGCAGAACACACGTGCCAACAAGGACACTGAAAACTAGCGACGAGACAAGACTAATTAGACCATCACTTGTGAGACGATCTGGTACGAAGACCAGAGGGGGGGGCTGGTTAATGTATTCATCATGAGACCTCCACCAATGCCAGTACCAAAATATAAGAATAGGGTTTTCACCTAATGCATTTATATTAATGGATATCTATTCTTGGTTGGGTTATTCACAGTGAATCATTAACATTGTTACACTCTTGATTTAAAGCTTTCGTGACTGCAGTAATTCATATTCTTAGTTTTTTCGGTAAAGTCACGTTGAAGAGAAACAACAAAATAACAAAATATATATAAAACAATAAAAAAATTCTCACGACGTTTCGACCATAACTCAAACGGTCATCATCAGGTTTGTCGGATGACCGTTTGAGTTATGGTCGAAACGTCGTGAGAATTTTTTTATTGTTTTATATATATTTTGTTATTTTGTTGTTTCTCTTCAACGTGACTTTACCAAAAAAACTAAGAATATAATATATATTGTTACACTCGCCCGTTTTATTTTTGTGATTTTTTTGTTGTTTTATTTTTTACCTACGTGACTTTACCGAATAGAACCAAAGAGTATGGATCCTTGCAGTCACGAAAGCTTTAAATCTAGAAACAATAACCGCCATTCGCCAAAAAGTGGCCGTGACATCACCACGGCGCTTGTGCCAGGCTATGTGCACTTAAGGCCACGTGAAGTGTCGAACGCCCGCTGGCAGATCACGGGACAGACCCAGGTGCCATGGATTGACTGACTGAGATGACTGGCCAATGCATCACCCGTGCCCCCTACTAAGCCACTGTGCTGTGTTTAAGCCACCCGGCACTCCGCTCGTTGTAGTGAGCGTTGGTCTTCTGCCCTCCGGTGCTTGCTGGAGGGCGACTGCCTCCAATTGCCGAATAACGTCCTTCATGAGCCTCCTCCACAGAGACCAATTCTTGACACCACCGCTATCAGTCATTGGCAAGTCCACTCAGCTCCACATCCTCTTGTACCAAATAACTCAATCTCTTCTCTAGTTCGTACCGTGCCCGTTTAGCCCCCTCTATCTGGCCGTACAAAAGCTGTTTAGGCATGCAGTGACTGGGCATGTGGGCTAAATGACCCAGCCAACGGAGCCTTGCCTGCTAGAGAAGCTCACCGATGGGAATCCAGCCGAAATAATTCTAAGCAACAAAAATGTTCCATTATTAGGGGGGTCCACGTTTCGCAAGCATAAAGTATGGAGGGCATTACCGTGGCTGAGAAGACCCAAAGCTTCGTATGGCATGACAGACCAGGTAGCTTCCACGCGGCGTTATGCAGCCGATGAAAAGATAATGCCGCTCGACTGATTCGGGGCGAGATCTCTGCTGTCAAATCGGAGCTGGCCATAAGCACACTGCCCAGGCATGGAACTCTCCACTCTCTCCACAACTGGCCCATCACCAATGGGGAGTTGAGGGGTGTTTCATGGCACAAAATATCCCAAGCAGGCGCTTGTTTTGGTGGGGCTAATGGTAAGGCCTCACCTCTGAGTGGCATGCTCCAGGTCGATCAGCAGCGATTCCAACTCCTCCTCTGATTGAGCAGCAATCACCAAATCATCACCATACGTTAAATGATTGACTAATTGGGAGCCATCCCTTGACTGCACTCAGGAATCGATCAGCCTCCCATTGTATCTGTACCAGATTGAAATATTCCTCCAGTACAGCCATCAAAGGCTTCACGAACTACGTGGTCGAAATAAATGTTTAACAATGTGGGAGCCAGAGGACAACCCTGTCATACCTCAAGGTGAACAGGGAATGGCTCCAACCGTAGTTTTACTCAGGCTTGCCCACCATCATGTAGGTCCTTAATGCATGTGAGCAGAGTCAGGGATTTTGTAAGTATGAAGAACAAGCCAGAGCCCAGGTCTATTGATAGTATCATAGGCCTTGACCAGATAAATAAAGCAGATGTAAGTGCTGCTAGAATTCCCTACACCTCTGCTGTAGCAGACGGACATAAAATATGGCATCTGTGCAGGACCGACTTAGCCTGAGACCACAAACACACACGCACCTGCTGAATGCGGGCCGTCAGAGGGTGCACCACCAACTCCCAAATGGTGCACAGGCGCTGGCAGGGCAGGGTGGCGCCCACCGCGGCTTGCTCAAGCAGCCCCAGCACCACTGCGCTGAAGCCGAGGGGGGATGCCGGCCCGTCCAGTACGCAGCCAACAAGCGTGTGCAGGAGCGACTCCAGCCTGCGCCCGCAACCCACGTGTAGGCGCACTTGGCATGTAACGATTCACACACTCCTGCCACCAACCATCGATACGATAATGTGTCATGATTTCGGGATACAATTCAGTTGAAAAGAAAAATGTGTCTATTTTGACCAATATGATCCATAATAGAGGTTTTTTTTTGGTTAGATCGCGTAAATATAGAACATGTTAAAGAAGCGCTGCAAATTAATGGTTACAATCAAGCACAAATCCACAGGGCAAATCAAATAACACGAGCATTGAAACTGCCCAAGTAATTAAAACGATCAAAATACCGTACATTGTGGAAGTAACTGATAAACTAGCCAGATGTTTGGAAAAACAAAACATCCGAGTCAGATTTGGCACGGTACATAAAGAGAAATTTATATCTGGTACAAAAGATGTATGACCGAAGCTATCAACAGAAGGTGTGTCCAGGATTAACTGTACGTGTGGTAAATATTATGTTGGGCAAACAGGACGAATGATCAGCACGAGACTAAAAGAACATCAGAGAAATAATAAATTCTCCCAAATACAATGGTCAACAGTAGCAGAACACACGTGCCAACAAGGACACTGAAAACTAGCGACGAGACAAGACTAATAAGATAATCTATAGAAATTGAAAGAAATAAAAATAATTTTAACCGTTCAGATAGCTACCGCCTTAGTGCTGCGTGGAAGCGAATCATCAAATAATACATTATTTAAATGAATGCCTATAAAGGGCAGAATACTTCAATAGGGATTACCGTTGGTACGGATATTTTAATACACAATCGACAGGAAGGACGAGATCAAAGGACTCACATAATGCACGTTGACTCGGTAATCACCCCCCCCCCCACTTGGCGCAAAGCGCAGAAGCATGGTCACCAACATCTACGCCTCTATATAAGGAACTAAACAGTTAGACTTCTCCACAAATCTGGCTGTCACCTGATGAAGCTAGTTGTAATTACTGGCGAAACGTCGTACTCAGATTGTAAATGTTGTGGCTTGGCTCTCCAACACACTGGTGTGCTGTACTAGTGACGAATTGGCACGTTCTGTTTACGTGACAACCCTTACAAGTTTGGCTGTGTCAGGTGCTGGCAGGTTCTAACGACACTTTTATATATTTACGCGATCTAACCAAAAAAAACCTCTTATGCATCTAATTTGTATTGCTTGGTCTATCTCGTTTCGACCCCTTTGTCTGTATCTTTAGCTGAAGTGTTACACGAAATAAAAAAATTGTATACCTTGCATCAATCATAAATAACCAATTCTTACAAGCACGAATCAATGCAGGTATCATATGTACGAATACATTTTAATCAATGCATTGTTACAATGAAAAGCAACATATATGAGCAGGCAAGTCTCCTTCATGTATGGGTCTCTCAACCTAAAAGCCCCATGGCTTTCTGAGTCTGCATAAATTCAGCAGTGTTGATTTAATACGAGTGTGACTTTTGTTCAGGAGGGTCCTGATAATTTTTTGCAGGAGGTTCTGCTGATTGCTATGTATAGTAAGTCCTCTATGTTTCTCCTATTTTAAAACTGAAATCAATCAAAAAAATGTTTTACCAGGTAAGGCTCACTAAGCCATATATCTCTTTGTCAGAAGCAACCTGGACACAAATGATAGCTCAATGAAGTGGCTCATCGTGTGGAAATTTATAGCAGCCAAATACTCTAAAATGCATGTTGATTGAAAACGTGGAGGGAAAAACCGCAGGACCCGGAGAAAAAATTCCACGCAATCACGGGGGGAACATGCAAACTAAAAATACAGGTTGAGATCAAACCCACGACCTACCGAACAGGCAAGGGAGTTAACATCTCGCCACCACGGTGCCTTGAGAGCATAAGTGCAGACAGCCTTGCCCCCCTTATACATGACCACTACTGGTTTTACCTTTATTCGAGATCATCCGTGAAGCAGAGACATATGATACATAGCCGTTGTGTACTGGATTCACTCGTTTCGTATTATCAAGGCAGTACGGTATTGTTTTGCCACTCTGCATATGACCTCTATACTGTATAATGGTTTTGCTATGAAGAGCCGGGTAGTGGTGGTGGCTGCTGCCCGTCGTGATCGTGCGCTGTGGAGGCGGCAGCGAAGGTTGGTGGATTATCGCACTGATGGTGTGAAACTCCCTTCTACTCCTGGGCGTCAAGGAGTTGCCGTACCGCGGGCTAGCCAGGAGGCGGTATAGCAAGTGGACTTATCGCCATCTGTGTCCATCTATACAGGGATAGAGTGCTGCCCCCTCGCACAAGACGTGAGTTTTCTCCGGGTGCTCTAGTTACCATCCACGTGTATCACAAACACTGTTCGTTAATTGGCTGAAAACATTTTAACATAAAACCCCAATGTAGGATCAGGACCCTCCTGAAAATAGTCCTACGACTTAGTGTGGTTTTCCTGGATAAATAAGTAAATTACAGTATTATTTAATTGCACTAAAAATTAGTAAGGAAAAATGGAGAGGCAGTGCCACCAGGTTAGTATATTTTGAATCGACAGCTCAGTGTGCTCGTAAAAGATGTGAGGCTCATGTGCTAAGCGTAAGCGAGTGCATGTGCGTTTGTGCATGTTCGCGTGTTTACCGTTGCTCTGCTGAGTCAAGTTGCAGTAGGCTGTCATGGAAAAGAATCTGAATGAGGAATAGTGCAGAGGTGCCCTGCACACACACACACAAACGAACAGCAAAAACTACTGCACCAGCTGCAAAGCAATCACAGTGAAAAAAAACTAATGTCACCTGATGACGATTGCTCGTGTTGCGATCGAAACGTCGTGATATATATTTTTTTCTATCTACGCGGCTTTACCGAAAGACCCAAAGAATATGAATTCCTGCAGTCACGAAAGCTTTAAGTCAAGATTTATCTTGGTTAAATCCGCTAAATACTTCATGGATATATTTTTCCCCAAAGGAAAATAAAGAAAGCAAAGTCAACGCTTAATACGAGTTAATAAAAGTTCAACAATCTCCACATCCACCCTCCTACACACACATCCACCAGTCTCCTGCCAGCCTAGCCCCTTCCCCTCTATGTCCACCGGTCTCCAATCCATCTCTACCCGTCATCTCCTTGCCCACAGCTGTCCACATCCCGGGGCAAAGCGCTCACCTGCATAACGTCCATGCTAGCCACATGGTACGCTGGAGAGCCCAGAACCTTCTTGGGTAGCCCGGCCACCGTGGCCTCCAGTAAGGACTGCAGAGAGGAGCAAGGCGAGTGCACGGGCACACATTTACGACATGTAAACTTAAGACACCACTTGACGAGACCAGGGTGGTGACATGGCCCAAGGTGACACATCTAGTGGCCACCCAGGTTTAACACCGTTTGAGATGAGGCTCAAAAGAAAGCTGTCTCTGGTGTGAACCAATTGGTTTCAAAGACAATGCATATATTATCAGTGTTTTTTTTGCATTCTGACCAAAAGCATTGTGGTTAATGTAGACATGATTCCTTGTAAAAGGTTTCAGTTTGGTGTTTTAACATTTTAACACCTGTTTTGTTGCCAGAAAAAATGGGAAAACCTATTCTCATATTTTGGTACTGGCAAAGGAGGTCCCATGTGTATCCATGCTTGGAATGATGGAAGACAGAAAGAGAAACACATGAATTGGGGAACATACACAGGTGACGTGGGTTATTTGTGCTCACCATGGAGAGGGAGGCAGGCAGGTTCTCCGATCGCACCAGATGCTGCAGGCTCATCAGCAGTAGCGCGAAATTGTCTGTTCCATGCCGCTCTTTGCGGTTACCAGCTAGCCATGCCGCATATGTACGCAAGCACAGGGATGCACACACGCACACAGGGAGAATTCACACACCAACAGCCACCTGAGTAAGCACAATTACACAATTGCATTTCGGGGAGAGGGCAGCTGACGCATACCCGACATCCTCTCGCTGCCAAACATAAGGGAACCTTCTCCTTAACCCCTTCCCCCCCCTTCATTCATGTGGTCCAGGAGCAGATGCTGGCACGGCAGCTGCAGTGCCACTGTGCCCACCGGTGTGTGGACATTCCTGAATCTCAGCAACGGCTCCCTCAACTCCGAGGTTAAAGGGGAAACTGAGTAGCCATCATAAGGGAATCCAACATCAGCATCCCCTAGCAATCTACCCTGGTCCTGTCGGCAAGAGAACAGTTGGAGGTTGAATGCTGAGAATTCCCCACGAGTCACACTACTAAGTGTACCTTCGCATCGCATCGTTCGTCACACGTGTTAACGAGGAAGGCGTAGCCTGGATTTCCAGCTCTGATAAGCATGCTAGAAGTGAACAAGACAAACCTCAACATGCGCAAACCAATGCGTGTTGGAAGACAGAACATCAGAACGTTTTTCCAACCAGGTGCAACGCACATCCTCTCAAAGTAACTCCAAACGGCAGGAATGAGCATCATGGGACTCCATAAGGTGTGATGGCTTGGTGTTGGTGAAACCACCAGAAGTAATGACACCATCCTGTGGTCAGGACCCCCTGGACGACTCTCCCTGGCTTGCGGAGGTGGCCATTGCTCTTGATCTGGCCGCCAAATCAGCCCTCATAAAATGGCACCCAGTGGACGACAGGCTACTGGTTGCCAGATTCCTGCACACCCACGTGGTGGGCCACTTTGTTGGGCTGTCATTTGTGGCTTCTGAGAAAACAGTTCATACCTCAGTGGGCTTCATGTGGTACGATAAAAAATAGTTTTGTTATATTCGTATCTTTCTTTAAGTTATTTGTTTGCCTTTCCTGTACTTTGCACTCATATTGTGTTTTTGCATTGTTTGTTATTGTGGTGTTCTGACTGGCCCATCCTGGACTTCTGTGAAAAATAACTTTATAGCTCATCGGATTTCTCCAGTATAAATATTCAGATTCTGACATATTTGTAGCTATGGCACACACGCCAACTAACGAAGCACCCGACATGAAAGGGTATTTCTACCAGTCACTGGAGCAGACACTGGAGCAGACACTGAACCTGAAAAAACCTCCGGACCTCATCATGTGCCTCTGGACCGTGATCGATCCGCACAGCAGCGGCATCCCCTAATGACAACTGAGAAAGACTCATACATTTCTATGCAGAAAATGGGCTCAGAATAAGTGGCACGTGATTCCAGTGCTGCAACATTCACAGGCATTAAACGATGGCCACATGCAGAAATTGACGATTTACTTTTCAACTCCAGATGGAAAGCTATAAAACATTTTAGAGTGTACCATAGCTTGGAGTACAACACAGACCAACTTCAGGCAGCTCTGGAGAACCTATTGCAACATTTCCAACCGAATAATGAATGCTAGTGACCACCTGGTCAGCAATGAGGCAGAACCGAAACATGCTGGATACAATTCTACTCCTAGCTGCTGATTCGCTCAACGTTATCCCCCTCTGAAGAGCTCGTTCAAGCCACAGCAACAGCAACCCAAGACCCAAACATCGCCTTCTCCGAGCCATCTGAGGATGAAGTGAGGGGGCTGCCCTTCGAAAAATGGTGGGGCACCCGGAATTTCTAACATCATGTAAAAAATGCTGAAGCCCGCAGGCCCAGCTGTCATATGGTAAACTAGGCTCCTTCAGCTCACGTAGAGGACAGGCTTAAATACTACAAGGGCAAGGCGAGCAGCGGCCATTCGCCACAAAGTGGCTGTGACATTACCAAGGCACTTGTGCCAGGCCAGGTGCACTTTGAGGCCATGTGAATTCTAGATTTAAAGCTTTCGTGACTGCAAGGATCCATACTCTTTGGTTCTATTCGGTAAAGTCACGTAAAAAAACAACAAAAAATTATTTTTTGTTGTTTCTTACGTCACTTTACCGAATAGAACCAAAGAGTATGGAGCCATGTGAATTGTCAAACGCTCGCTGGCAGGAGGTCACGGGACAGACCCAGGTGTCATAGGTTGACTGAGATGACTGGCAGAATGTACCACCTGTGCTCTCTACTGTGCCAACTTGCTGTACTTTAGCTGTCTGGTGCTCCTCTTGTTGCGAGCGTTGCATCTCTGACTATGCTGTTGTTGGAGGGCGACTATTGCTACTATCCAGACAAACAGAAGCTGCTCCGGCAGCACACACGTACAAACACACAAAGACACGCGCACACACAAAGGAATACACAGACACGCACAGCAACACGTACACACAGGCCCTCTTCTAGAAACTGCTGCAAGTACCCATCACACACGACGCCTCAACCTCACCCATCCCGCCACTGCACTCAACCCAGTAAGTAAGCACATGCATGTGCTTATGTGTGGGGCGGTGACGTGGCCGAGCGGTAGCACATTTGCCGCTTGTTGCAGGAGTTCACGGTTAGTATCCAGCGTCTACCACGGCTAATATTGGCGGGTACGTAAAAATACGCGGTCAGCTTCACAGTGGATGTTGAAGATCCGGTGACATCATTTGTAAGAGTAGGCCAATTACGTTGCAGTGTTTTGGGATCAAATAAGCCAGAAAAAAATTTTCACCAAAAATACCCCATTGGAATGTGTATCGGTTATCGCCACCCCCCTTCTGTGAAAACTTGGCAAGACCCTGCTGAAAAAGTCATGAAACTCAAGTGAGGCTTTCCTAGGTACACAAGCATAATAACAATCATGTCTGCCTTTACCTGACTCGATGCCTGCTGCCACGTGGCTCAGGAGCTTATGCCACACCGGCAACACCAGCGAACCTGGCAATGACAACAGCAAGGATTGCGGAAATGAGGTGTGGTAACGATGATGACGATACATTGTCGAGCGAAAGGTGTCTAAGTATGTGCAGACGGGCAGAAATAGTCACCCATAAATTCCACTACCCTGTTTGCAACGGTTCAGGAATTTAAAATAGATGAAAGACCCTTTGATCCTAACATATAGTGAATGCCTCTCCTATCACATTGAACTCATAATGATAATTGGGACAAAGAATGTATTATTAAGTGGATTGTGCCAATTCTGGTTTGTTAACCTCAATGTGCGAGCAACATTTTTTTATTTTACTTTTGATAAAAATGAGTTTATTTAGTAATATTTTTTTATTATTGAAGGGTTTGTCTGTTACTCAGTAGCTACTAGTATAATTTTTTTTGTATTCTTATCGGGCCCAAACGTGTATGGCATAGCCTCCAAATCTATCTATGGCCTCCATACGTACGTGTTATGAAGAAGGTCCATTGCCTGAAATGTCCCCTATAATACATTTCCTTTTAAGGCAGTGTTTTTGATGAATGTGTTGAATTTTTTTCACGAAGACAAGTCATCTACCTCCTTGCTATTCCATCACCTGCTGGTGGCCACAACATAGCCCTGTATGTTGGACACGTCAAACAGAATGAATTCTGCACGTGCTATTACAACTCCACCACTGACTTCATTACAGTCGTGCATTACCACAATTACGATTTAAAACATTTTTTATCACTGCGTATATGTGAGAGCATGTGTGTTGCGTATATGTTGTGTGTGCGCTGCGTGTGTTGCGTGTGTTATATTGTGCTGCATGTGTTGTGTTTTACGTGTTTGGGTGTGTTGTGTGTGCTGTATGTGCTGCGTGTGCATGTGTGTTGTGTTCGCTGCATGTGTTGCATGTGTGCAGGCGGTGCTCACTTTGCACGTCACTGCCGGCAATGCTGAGGGCGTTGTGTGTGGCCATAATCAGAGTGGGGGCCAGGCGTGTAAACGAGCTCCCCGCCGTGATCGGCACGCTAGCCAGCGGCGCTGCAAAGAGATCGACAAAAACATCACGCAACAAAAAAAGAAAAAGCAAAACTTTTGATAAACCTAAATCAAAAACCTGCGTACAAAAATTCACAATAACAAATCAGTAAACGTAATAGGCTGCTTCGAGGACACACTTTTGTCACAACATAGATACGTATCTACGAGTTAAGTTTATTTTCTTTAACCAGGTGAGAACTCAAGGGACCAGGATGGTCTCATTTGCAAGAGTGATACGGGTCACCAAAACGACAAAAGCCAAACAAAGAAAATAAATCGCAATAATGACGCAGCTAGGCAGGCCTGGGAACACTTGGGAATTCCCCAGGGAGAGCTTGAGTTTTGTTGCCAGGGAAAGGGAGGTCTGGACCGTCTTACTCAACATGCTACCGCCGCGACCCTCACCAGGCAAAGCTGATTGAGAAACGAACGAACAATTAAGCAAACAGAACTCAGAACTAAAACAAATATAACACATGAAAAATCTAAATTGATCAATAAATATAAATAGATGTCAAATAACAAATTCCCTGCAGCATAAATTGGCTCTGGCAGATTACTTTTCTATTCGTCATCATACAATAACAATTAAGTTACATAAACGATGCAAGAGATATAGGGTGACTGTTGCACTAATATGTAAACAGATACAAGTCAAATGCATTTGCAGGTTGAAGCTAAGGAATGATTGTTTTCTGCCGGTTAGATGTCTTCCATTTAAGGCGTACGTACCCAAGGTCAGCGGGAGGCCAAGCACTGCAATGTCAGGACCCAGGAGCAGATGTCCAATCAGCTCACAGCCTCGTAGCTGCATGGCACGGGAGGACACGCGCGCCGACCCCGAGCCCGTACCCAGTGACAGTCGGAAATTGGGCGTCAAGGTCACTGGCAAGCCTGGACAAATGCACAAAACATCATCTCATCAACCACATGGGTGAAAGGTCGTGACGTGGCCTAGAGGTATCGAGTTTTCCGATTGCTGCAGAGGTTCACGGTTCAAATCGAGTGGCTGCCCTAGTTAATACTGTGGGTGTCATAGCCATAAAACACTACCCACCTGCTGGACAATCGACATTAAAACTCTGTGACGTCATTCACAAGAGTTGGCAAATAAAAAAAGAATCCCCGCAAATTACTCGAGTAGATTCGACATCGCGATCATCGCCCACGACTGCAAAAACTTGGCAGGACCCTCCTGAAAAACACGATTCAATGAAATTTTCCTGGGTAAATAAGTGTAGTAGGAATAATAATTGAAATGAACCACATGACCACATTCTTAATTGAAGCTGAATTATTTAACCCGGTGAGAACTCGAGACCAGGATAGTGCTACCCCCTGGTGGTAATACAATTGCAAGGCAAGTATGATGCACATCGTTACCGGGCTTCAGTGACCCAGTTGGGGTGGAAGCAGCGGTCAGCGTTGTCTCGTTCAGTGGTGAGCCCAGGACAAACTGCAGCAGTGGAACACACACCTGGGCATCGTCCGGGGAGAGCAGACAAGGGGTGAGGTTGGCAGATGACGTTCTTAGGGTGGTGCCAAATTAATTTGTTTAACCAGATGAAAACTCAAAGAGACGCTGATAGTCTCCAAGACCACCAAAATAAATCAAAAATAAAGTACAGCAATGAAGCAAAGAGAAGTCGGCACAAAACAACTGTTGTCACAAGAGAAGTGTAAAATATTGCACAAATATGAAACAATTTGAAATTATACATTCCCTGGAGCGGATTATTCTTATACCGATTATAATGCAATCACAATTAAGTTACAAAAATAATAAACAGACATAGGGTGACTTGTACTGATATGTAAACAAACAAGACTACATGTCAATTGCAGTGATCAAAGATCCTGGCACTGCTAATTCCACAGGTGAGATACAATCAAGGCAAAACCTCATGGGAAAAAATTAACATAAGAATATTCCACTCAAGTGAATGTTAGGATTAATTCTGCAGTTGCTGCAACACTTCACCATTGCTTCCTTCCGCTAGATCCCGTAGATGTTATCAAGTATATCCCCGATCTCAAAATAATCATCAGCGTAGTTGTGGAGAATATAACATAAATAACCAGACACTAAGTCCCCTTCGTATATCTGTCTTTCCATCTAAAAGAGAAAAGTATGTGTTACACATCCCATAATATGTTGCTGTTTATACTCTTCAAAACCGTGATGATCATTTTGAGTTGCGTATTATAGAATTTTACATGAAACTAGGACCCATGTCTTAAAGAAAGGGTCCTTGCCTGTAACCTATGGTCGTTCAACCCTAACGATCCCCTAGTGTCAATCCCCAGATAAGGCCATTGTGTGCTTGCAACAGGGTCCAAATTTGTCAAGTAAAAAAATTACCCAAAAATTATTCAATTGGTATTTTACATAGCAATCACTGCCCCCTTCTCAGACTTATGCCCCTTTGTGTGCTGTACTAGTAACGAATTGGCATGTTCTGATTACATGACAAACCTTCATAATTGGCTGTGTCGGGTGGTGGCGGGTTTAACGACACGTTTATATTTACGCGATCTAACCCAAGAAACCTGTATATCAGGCCAGGTGTTGAGTCAACCTGAATCAACAGAGACAGATGCCACTTGGGGTGACCTTTGAAATATTTGAGATGAGATGTAAGTACTCTGAGACGCTTATGGTGCTTTACCCAAAAGCAAATAATTATTCAATACTTTAAAGATGGTGATGACCGATAACGAAAATGGACCGAAGGCAACTGGAAGGTGAAACCTTGAGGTTAAGACTTACCTGCTCAAAGCTGCTCGCCACCTGCTCTTTGAGGCGGCCAACCAGGTGCCACCACGTACGAAGCATGGCCAGGGCCAGCACCTCGACCCGCACCGTCGTCACCAATAGTGGCTGCAGCAATAGACGCAGACGCTTCCCGTTGCTCAGGAGCTCTGCAGCCGGTCGCACACAGCGCGATGAGCAACAAGCACGCAAAGGCCGTCTCAAGAGGCGAGGCTAAGCCACGTGCCTTCACCGCGACTCGTCGTAATGACTTTAATCCACGCAGCTTAATGGTATGGCGTTTGCTGCTTGTGTGGTTCGTGGTATGGATCCAGCAGTCACCCTGGTGAATACTGCCATGTGTATCAATCCTAAAATAAAATGCAAGGTCTGCTTCACGATAGATGTTAAAGATCTCGTAACATAATTTGCAAGAATGGGCAATTGCGTGCCAGCAACCTAGTCCAAAATTGAAATTAAACACTGCAAAATACTCAAGTGGAAGGTACACAGCAATTCACCCCCTACTCCGTAAAACTGTCAGAAACCCCCTGAAAACGAGTCAAAAGACTCAGTGAGGCTTTCCTGGGTAAAAAAGCGTGATATAAAACGTTTAGTGGTCGGAATGAAACATTGCATCGATTCATACATGATCTCACAAATGATGCATGCTTTAAATTGTGCATGTTAGAATGTATTAATTAGGGTCTATGTAAATGATAAGCAAATTACGGGAATAGCTCTGTTACCCAGACACTTTGCCATCCAGGAATGCTCTATTAACCAACATCTGCCATAGACGGCAATTAAAATCTTCCTTCACGCATGTGGAAAAATTCCGATAGCCATCCGGCATCTTGCCGTGCGCTTCTCATAGATCCACTGCCTACGGAAGCTTCAAGACACTGCCAAGTGGTGTCACTATTGGAAGCCTCAATTGTAAACATCCGCCACTGCGATCGCTTTGTGCTTGTACTGTACCCTTAAGTTATGTTATAAGTGTAGTGTTATAAGTGTGACACTTTAGTGATCTGGGTAAACGCCATGAACTGCCTAACCTAATTTAGTTTCACTGTACTGTACATACAGCACTGTACTACTGTATACTGTACTCTAAACTGCCCCACTGCTTCTTTAACATTATCTTAGAATGCTCTACAATTGACTGGTGACTACCTCCGTAAAAGAACATATTATTTCTCATATCATCGTTAAAACGTAGACTTCATTTCTTTCTTTAAAAATTGTATGTCTAGCCAAATTTTGGTGAACCGTAAGTATAACTCATATAACCGGCATATTCGATTAACCTCCATTCTCCATGGATACTGGATAACCGCGGCTTTTCCTATAAATGCTGGTTAGATTTGGGCGAGCAGAGTTCACAAAATTTACAATAAAGAGAAAATGACGAATAATGCACAAAATATATTCTCGAACCGGTTCTTGTAGGGGCAAACATTTTTCTGAAATCTGGCACTCCCAGAAGGCTGTGCGGCCGATGGGTTGTTAAAACAATTGTACTTTATGTGCATGATCACATGTGAAGAAGAAATATAGTTTGCTTATCTATTTCAATATAAATATCGTTTGCTTATTATATTAATGACGGCACTGCATCGCACGCTTTCGGATGTGCTTCTGCGGCCGTCTGGAACGCTCTTCCCTCCGATATTAGAAAGCCACTGAAGCTATGCACTTTTAAATAATCTAGGTTCAAAACTAATTTCTTTAAAACTGATTTTTGTGTTTAGTTTGTTGTCCTTCCCCCGCACTTCCGATTTGCACGGTTGGCTACGTAAGGTGCAAAAGAAGAGTCAACATTAGCATTATCCTCATTGCTGCTGCTCACCAGGCTCGGAGGTAAAGTTGTCGATGAGGCTCTTCCACGCGGAATAGGCCGCGCTCTTAACCTCCGAGGAGCTGCTACGGAAGCCCAGCTCTGCCAGGTGAAGCACGGCATTGGTGAGCTTCCCTCCTTTGCGCAGCACCTGTGCAGGGCAGCATGGAGTACAGACAACATAGTACGGTGCACACAAAACAAAGTGCATGGCACAAAAAGGAGAAGACACAGAATGTAGTGCAATCCTTGAGACTTGGCACACGAGGCGAAGCAAAGCAGTGCAGTTCAACGTAGAAAAGTGCAGTTTGATGTTCATTGGAGTGTTGGACAAGGAAGTGCTGCAGTGAATGCACAATGCATCAAATCGACCCTCCCGCACCTCCGATTAACACAGTTGGCTACGTACGGTGCATAAGACGTTACACATACATACCGAGTACAAGAGCGTGACGCACAGAGCCCACACGCGCATCACGTGCACCTCGTTCTTGGCAGCGAAAAGCTTCTCCATCTCCTTTAACAGCTTCTGCAAGGCAAAAAAGTCACGTACAAGCAGTCACACATGAGCAGCACAATGTCACACGTGCACGCACTCTATAAACACTGCTCTTGCACCAGCGCTGCGTGCAACAAACGACATGAGATATCCAGGGAGCTGGTGTGTACATACAGAAGTGGAATTATTGTCTCTACCAAACCTATTTACCCAGGAAAGCCTCACCGAGTCTCAAGACTGTTTTCAACAGCAACTTGCACATTATTCGCCTAAGGGTGTGATTGCCATGCATATTTGCAGTAAAATCTGGGCCATGATGATGGCACACAATGGCTCAATTTTACGAATTAAGTCATTTAACGTCAGCTGTAAAGCAGACTGTGCGTAGTATTTTCTTGGTATTCAATCCGTGAACCTTTGCAACGAGCGGCGAAAGCGTTTGTCCTGGGGCCATGTCACCGGGCCAACCTTGTCGTACGTTCGTGCGCATGCGTAATTTCTCTCACTCACGCCTTTGAGCTGAGCCTCAACGACGACGGAGATAGCAGCGGAGTCGGAGGCCGAGAGCTCCGCCGACGAGCCGGGGGTTAGCAGCGGCATCGCCGCCTCCAACACGGACAGGGCCCGCGCACGCACCTTGGCGTTGGAGTGGGCAAGCATAGGCAGCAGCAGCGGAAGCCACGAGGTGGACTTCTGTGTCATCGCACGCGGAACCTGCTGCAACAACCTGTGATCAGGAAGCACAAGCGCACTGTTCATGCCGCCATCCTTCCACGTCAACTCAGTTGTCATTATCATCACATCAATAATGTCACCGTCAATATTCAACAACAACGATCTATCCACTGGAAGATGAAGGTCTATCCAAGCCGGTCAGTATGTTTCTGATTCGCGTTCTCTGATAAATGTATTATTATTTTCCTTTTCTAAGTACAATTCCAAGCATGCACCTCTCCTTGCCTTCAGACATTTTCAGGTTGTTTGTCTTGTCATCGTCCATGTTTCCAATTCAGATAGATTTGAGGTAATACAGTGATTAATACATATTCTATAGGCATAAGGGCAAGTTCACATTCATGATATAATTAATCATTTCAAAAGCACTCCAACTTGCTCTCGCCAGCCTCTTGATTTGATCAATTTAACCATGGTCCATTTTCAATAAATGAATTATTTAACATTTTCAGTAATTCAAGAGATCTGTTGAGAGTGAAATTGTACATGTCCATGAATTAGCTTTTCTTTTCGGCTCGATTTAAAAGTGTAACGTTAAGCAAACTAGCCTCTGACCACTTCCCATGTCGAATTTGTTGAGGAAAGAGAAGCCTCTGACAAACCTTAAAATCAGAATTATCCCCTGCAATAACCAGCATGGCAAAGCATGGTCAAATAACACCCTACGAATGACATGGTGAGGCAAGGTCTTCATTCAGCAGTGGACTAAGAAAGGGTTGTAAATGACTAATACATTTATTTTGTCACAGTTAACCCAAGTGTCATAACTTCACAGTAGTTGCTTCACGGATGCCTTGTGATTTCAGTGCAGGTTGCCTATGTTGTTAGCACAGACAAGTGATGGTGCCCAATGCGATGCTAACCTGCTCAACACTTTGAGAGCCTCATTCTCCACCACAAAGTGAGCCTCCCCTGGCGCCAATAGCTTCTCCAGGAGTGACAGCAGCGAAGACAGCTGTGCAGATGCCACGGCAATGCACGGGTTGATGTCAACCACAATCGCCTCAACCACAATACATCAAGCACACAAAACAGCTGAGAAGATGCCACGGCAATGCACGGGTTGATGTCAACCATAATCGCCTCAAAAACAATACATCAAGCACACACACCACAGGAAAATGTCAACCACAAACTCCACCGCCATAGGCAAAGGCCAACCAAACACACACCACACCATCATAGGCACACATCAGACCCATGCATCTCATTCATATTTATACAAATCAACCACACACACCATTGTCATGTCGACAACCCATAACACACTGTCACAAACAGCCAATGTAAGCAATACATCACATATTGCAAGCCTACCTCACTTGATCAATTAAAACCTTTCATCCTTACTGGATTGCTCCATTCAGGCATGACATCTCCTTTTTTATTTTAATGATTTTCTTAAGCATTAAGAACATTCTTTCCGGTATTCCAGATCGCACCTCAGGTTTGTTTAAAAGACAGGATTGTGTAGGTCACGATTGTCCTGCGAGCAGCACGCCTCATTCTGCAGTGAATCCCTCAGTATTTTAAATACAAACCGTGGAAGCTTAAATAACCTGGCTGTGAAATAAACGCTCCACTATGGCCACTTGTGAGTGCAGTTTGGCAATAGCCCAGTGGTGTAACGTGGTTGGCACGGGCGCAGGAGCAAGGAGTAAAAGGGGGCCCCCCATTCTGCACAGCGCATGCAGACTCAATAGCTACGCCATAGCAAAAGCCTCACTGCTTGTACATCACAACCATGAGATAATTCAATGCGACAAAACACATTAGAACAAAACACAATACAACACGATGCAACGTGGCACAATTCCACGGTTAGGCCGGCAGTGATGGGAGAAAGTTCCTGAACCACTACAAGGTTCCAGAGACAAACCTTTGCCTCCATGAAGGTGGGTGGCAGCAACTGCTGAGAGAGGACCCACAGCACCCTGGTGGAGGTGTTCAGATCACCTGAGCTGTGTGCCACATCCAGCAGCATGCACAGCAGGTGATCGGCAGTGTCATCTGCACACACAGACATGAAAACACAAGCTCGTTAGCAGAGGCACGTGGACGGATCACGAAGCATGTGCGGAGGACCAAGCGGACAGAAAAAAAAAGAGATTCCGCATATAGTTTTGTAGGCCATTGTACTCTTCTGCCAACAGGAGACAATCCTAGCAGACAAGCTCCACACAAATGGCTCCTAAAGAAGCCCCCAGGACACCTCATCCAGGTTGGATTCAAACCAAGGGATCTTCGACTTGCAAATCCAACCACCGGATCGTGCTGCCAACTGACACCACAGAGAAGAACGTCCATCACATGCCAAGAATTGCATCATTACCGGAGAGAGTAGCAACGAGCAAGGGTTGTGCCAGGCAGAAGCCCAGTGTACGCAGGGCAGCATGCTGAATCTCCGCTTGAGGCCCCTGCTGTTCGTCTGTCTGGGAGCTACCCACTCGTGACTGAGAAGATGGATGGAAGATGGAAACAAGAGACAAGGGGGCGTTCGGAGACATTGATTATGGGCATGTACAGTACTGCTGAAACCTCGCTAGATCTCACTGGAGAGATTTTTTCATTTGGACCAACTAGGTTTGGGTTCAGCATGAATATAGGTACAAGTGACATGCACACACCTGCAGTAGTGTGAAGAGGTGTTCCGATTTGGGAACCAGTTCCATAACCACCTCACCAACTGCTTCAGAGCTCAAGTTACTGCACACAGACAGACACGCTCACCGATTTAACTATTTTATATTTTACCAGGTAAACCTACTGAGCTATATAGCTATTTTTTTAAGAAACGATCTGGCCACAAATGATAGCGCAACCAAGTGGTTTATCGTCACGTATCAATTTATAGTAGCCAAATGCTCTAAACGCATGTCTCTAAATGTGGAGGGAAAAACCGGGGGACCTGGAGAAAAATACATACGATCACGGGGAGAACATGCAAACTCCAAATATACAGGCATTAGGGTCGGGATCGAACCCATGACCTCCTGTATACCAGATGAGGTAGTTAACATCTCGCCACACGAGCAGTGCTAGTTGACATTAATACACAAAACGAAATCAATGCTGCATTGCTACGATAATGCCCACCGTGCTTGTGTAATACTCATTTCATTATCACACAGTTACCATGTACTCGTAGGTCATATTTGTGGTGAATGTAGTTATACTACAACTGTCTTCACCATTGGTGCAATTAAACATCACCACAACTTACATTACCAGGTTTGGGCTGCAACAGTGCAGTGATCTTTCCGCATTATTACCACTGCAATTTATGCTACTTGTATAACGGACTGAAAGAGAAATTCAATTATTTTCTGTTGATTGGAAAGGACCGAGGTTACTGCATTACAGATTCAAGTTAGAGAAAACACAATTTATACACACCATCTTTAGCCCTGAACCCTAACCCATAACTCATAATCTCTGATCCCTAATCCTAAACCCCTAACCCTAAACAAAGCAGCATCCCTTCATCTCCTGGCCACCCCTGGCCAGGTGCAACTAGGAACGCAAACTCGGCAGCCCAACAGAAATAGCTAAAGTGCATCTTCACCTGGAGAGGGTGAGCAGCGCATCCACCTGGTCATCCGGGGGACCATCCTGAAGCGTGCGGAGGAGGCCCTCCACGGCCGGGAGCGGCATCGCCTATGCACACACCGACAACACACCACTCAGTGTCACTGCTCAAGACTCATGAGGCTGAGTCCATCTATTGCAGTGGTTCTCAACCGGGGGTACGCGGACCCCTGGGGGTACGTGGCAATGTCCCAGGGGCCCACGTGAGGTAATTAATGTGTGAAATTATATCATAAATGTAGTAATTGGTGAATACTCATGTATAAATCTGCTACTATAAATAACTACGATAACATTTAAATCCTGATAGTAACCTAGAACGATATAAAATACCTTTCTATGCTCATTAATAGTAAACAATATGGTTTCGAAGAGTGATCAGTTTTGTTCACATTATTCGCCTTAACGCAACTTTGGACATCACGTGAATTTATAATAATAAAAAACACAAATCTAGTCTCACAGTGCATTGTAAAACTAATAAGTTATTCAATACATAAATCTAAGTTTCCATTGATGCCTCCTGTGGTACTCGAGCTTGACAGCAAATAATCTGCACAATGCAGTACAATATTAAGTTTCAAACTATCTGCGCAAAGCTTTGAGTGTCACCCCGGTTTCCTTCCACATGCTAAACATTCCTGAACGGAATAAACAAGTTTGTTGGAGAGCTTACACGGGTGAGGTGGCTCTACATTAGCAAATTACACATTACACAGATAACTTCTGAATGGAATGGCAAAACATCCCAATACAAGACCCTCTTGTATATGACTAATAGGAGTATTAAGGCGAAACGAGACTTGCCTAAACAATTTTTATTTTACCAGGTAAGGCCCCACTGAGCTACAAAGCTCTTCACCAGAAGTGACCTGGCCACAAACGACCGTCCAGCGAATTGGCTTATCACGTGTAAATATATAGTAGCAGCCAAATCGGCATGATGTTGATTCTAAACGTGGAGGGAAAAACCGAAGGACCCGGAGAAAAATCCACACAACCACGGGGAGATAGACACGCAGACTTCAAATACACAGCAGGCGTCAGGGTCGGGAACGAACCCACGACCTCCTGTATACCTGGCGAGGTAGTTAACATCTCGCCAACCGTGGAGCCTGGACGAAGGATTGTATTTGTACGCCTGACTGCTAATTACCCGTCTCTACTCATTAAAGCTCCTGCAAGTGCAACACAAGAGGCAGAAAATCTCACCACCTAAGGTAGCAGCCAAACGTTAGTCGTGTACCGACATGTATGCAAGATTGAATTGCTTGACGACCCGATTATCTCGGCAGATTATTAAATGTTTCAGTGGACTTGGCCACATATGGAGAACACTGCACGCTCAAGTAACGTTCACTTCAGGTGGTGCCCACGAGTGAACACATTTGGTTTGGGGCTTATGGCATGAGACGTGTTGCAGAAAAGGGGGTCCCCGATAGACGAGCAGGGAGTTACGGACAGAATGAAGACGAAACGAGACGAGAGTAAACCACGCGGGAGCAAGATAGCGACGGGGAAAAGGGGGTGCCAGGAGGGAACCCAACGACGAGAGAGGGCAGAAGGTAGGGATGGGGCGTGCGTGCGACACGAGGGGGGGACAGTGGACGATGAGGATCTCACAGGAGGCGAGAGAGAGAGACAATAACAACAAGGGAAGCCGACGAAGATGAAATGTGAGAGATTTTAAATTGCTTGCTATACAGAACCGAGTTGTCCCTTTACTACAGTCGCGCTTGTTACCGCTGGATGTTGATGTCGCAGTCGTTGCGGGTTACGCGTTTGCTGCTGCTGCTATTGTCGTCGCTGCCACTGCTGTTGTTTTGAAGCGGCACGGCGATAAGCTCCTAGGGAGACGACGACGATAGAGGAGGAGGAGGAGAACGACGAGAACGGTGGTGGGCGGGAATCTTCGGTCGCCACTTTCGCGGGAAACGCGAGGGCGCTCGCGAGGAGCTTCCGCTTCCAGGTCACAAGGCTCCGCCCCCAAATGGGTCACGAGAAACACTTTTTTTTTTTAAACCCGCGAGAAATTCCCACGACACAACTCTCATAATAGAGGAGGGGGTTCATATTCTTGGTTCTTTCGGTAAAGTCACCACGTAGAAGGGAAACAATAAAATAATAAAAATATAAAACAATACAATTCTCACGACGTTTCGACTGCAACATCAGGTGTGAAAACCACAGCAAGAAAATTTGAAAATTCAGCAAGAAAATTTGAAAATTTTAAAAATTTCTTGCTGTGGTTTTCACACCTGATGATGATTGCTTGTGTTGCAGTCGAAACGTCGTGAGAATTGTATTGGTTTACTGTATATTTTTATTATTTTATTGTTTCCCTTCTACGTGGTGACTTTACCGAAAGAACCAAGAATATGAATCCCTGCAGTCACGAAAGCTTTAAGTCAAGAGGAGAGGGTTATTGTTTTCACTTTGGGTTTTATCGCGTAAATATAAATGCGTCGTTAAAAACCCGCCACCGACCCGACACAGTCAATTAGTAAGGTTTGTCGCGTACAACAGAACGTGTCAATTCGTTACGAGTACAGCACACCGGTTGTACCCCCTACTGTGCCAGGCTAGGTGCAGGAGGTCTCGGGACAGACCCGGCAGGTGACATGGATTGGCTGACTGAGATGACCGGTAGATCCACCTCCATCCGTGCCCCCTATTGTGCCAACTTGCAATGCTTTAGCCGCCCCTCGTTGTTGTGAGCATCGCTCCTCGGCTAAAGGGCGACTGCCTCCGACTTTGCCGTTTTTTTCTTGGATATTTCTGTTGCGTGTCATCACTTTAAAATGTTTTCTTTGTTCATGTTTTTTGTTTGTTGCGGTTGCACCCGAGTCAAGAGCCGCATGGCTCACAGGGCAATACCTAATAAATGCAACTTATAAAACTGAAAATCTTGTGTGTCGGAGAGCAAATGCACAACATTCACAATCTTGAGTGGATAATGCTCTCCCAACACACGGGTGCGCTGGCACGAGTAACGAATTCTCACGTTCTGTTCATGTGCCAAACCCGTACTAATTGGCTGTGTCGGGTCGGTGGCGGGTTTCACGACGCTTTTATATTTACGCGACCAAATCCAAACAAAAATAAAACCTGTATTATGGATGATATTGGTCGCGAAAGCCCTACGTGTAAAACTGACTGCAGTGTTTTCATTTCTTAATTTAACGCGTTGTGTCCTCACGAAGTAACAACGTGCGCGGGAAGCAATCGTTTTAAATCGGACGTGCGAAGTGTTTGTTCGGAACGCTGCAGTGAGACACGGAATCACCGCCGCTCGCAGCAGCCGTGGAAGAGGACCCGGGAATAGTGGAGGAAGATCGCCTCTGGGGTGGTTGTTGATCTCCCACGAGAAGCTCATGGTGAAACCCTAAACCGCATCCACTGCACGGACCGTGGCAGTGGACGCGGTTTGTTATCTCGCTCGACCACCCGAATGTAACATAGAATTGTGTGGCTGTTGCTCTGCATCTAACATCGGCCGTACGGAAGAAGACGAAGAAGAACGGATCAAACGCACTGCTGGATGAAGAACTTGCCAATGCCGTGCGGCTCACGTGGGGTTATTTTGACCAACTTCTTACCATGCTGCTCAGTGTGCGAGATGGGGAAGGTGGAAGGCGGGGGGACGGTACAATACCGTACTAAATTGTCTCAACCGCGTGGCCCCCGCAGCCTGTAACATCCTGTTATCCGCGGTGGTGGTGCCCCGGTTCACGCACACGTGCAGATGTTGAACTTGCGAGAGCTGACGAGATCTGGCGAATTTCCCGGCGATTTGGGCATCGGCCTTGGTGAATTTTTTTGCTCCGCCACCGCAAAGACCAATCCGGACCAGTTTCAGAATTTCGCCCATATTCGGCATCACCATTACAACATTTTCACATTGTCCTGCCATTGTATACATATCCATTTTGTTCCTGGATATTACATTATTATTATTTTACCAGGTCAGGTCCACTGAGCTGTATTGCTCACAGATATCCACGAGGGGCGAGTAAGAACGTTACACCAACAAGCAATACAAAACACGATAGATATGCAAAGTACAGGAAAGACAAACAAATCACCCAAACACATACAAATGCAACTAAACCATCCCCATCCTACCAGGCAAAACCCTGCTGAGGCATTCACTTATTTTTCAGAAGCGACCTGGTCAAACATGGAAATTTATAGCAGCAGCCAAATAGTCTAAACGCGTGATGTTAATTCTAAACGTGGAGGGAAAAACCGGAGGCCCCGGAGAAAATTCCACGCAACCACGGGGCGGAACATGCAAACCCAAAATATACAGGTTGGGATTGAACTCACGACCTGCATACCAGGCGAGGGAGTTAACATCTCGCCATCACAGTGCCTTGAGAGTATGTATCAGTGCAGGGACAGCCCTGCCACCCCTATACATGACCACTACTGGTTTTACCTTCATTCGAGATCATCCGTGAAGCATAGACATATAATGCATCGCCATCGTGTACTGGATTCACTCGTTTCGGATTATCAAGGCAGTACGGTATTGTTTTGCCACTCTGTATATGACCTCTATACTGTATAATGGTTTTGCTATGAATAGCCGGGTCGTGGTGGTGGCTGCTGCCCGTCGTGATTGTGCGCTGTAGAGGCAGCAGCGAAGGTTGGTGGATTATCGCACTGATGGTGTGAAACTCCCTTCTACTACTGGGCGTCAAGGAGTTGCCGTACCCCGGGCTAGCCAGGAGGAGGCGGTATATCGAGTGGACTCATCGCCATCTGTGTCCATCTCTACAGGGATAAAGTGTTGCCCCCTCGCACAAGACGTGAGTTTTCTCCTGGTGCTCTAGTTACCATCCACGTGTATCTCAAATACTGTTTGTTAATTGGCTGAAAACAATTTAACATAAAACCCCAATGTAGAATCAGGACCCTCCTGAAAATAGTCCTATGACTCAGTGTGGCTTTCCTGGATAAATAAGTAAATTACAGTATTATAATTGCACTCAATCATAATTATGTATTATGCATTTTCAGTTCATCATGTGTCCCTGAACACGACTGCAGTACACTGGCTTCACTCTTATTGGGGATCAGCAGTGAATCATACCACTTCCACACTATACATGGTCATTGGGTACTGCACAAGTTTCAGCATTATTAGGACTCTTCAGTGTTGCGTGGCCATGTTCAACTCAACATGACCTGTGGTTCAAAATGTATTAGACATCATCAACATTATAGTCCTGCTACCTTGTGCATATGACAACTCTGTAGTGGTCCCATCGTTATTAGACGTAGTCAGTAGTTACCAGACATAACCAGTGTGAGATGGTTTCACTTTCACTATACATCATCCGTGGTGAACAGCACTGGTACTCACACTGCTGCTTTCGATGGTTGCTGAAAAACCTATATCAATGATATAATTTAAAACTAGGGCTGAACGATTTGGGGAAAATATCTAATTGCGATTTTTCTGACATTGCGATTTCATTTGCAATAAAAATTTGTTTAAGCCAAGCTTCAGTTCAATATTCACTGTGCAATAGATTTAAAACATGTGATGGAGCGTTACCATATGATACCATCAACATATGAACTGCTCTATATATTCTCATGCAAGGATAAAAACTTAAAATATATTCATTGGTTCCAACATGTATTTATTTTAAAAATGTAATTGAAATAGAACAATCAAACATAGAACAATTGTTAAGTTAAATAAAAAAAGATTAAAAAAAATAAAACAATTCCAATAAGAAAGTAATAGGACTTTTCAAATCTAAAAAAATCGCAGCCTTTGCGATTTGCTAATCGTATTGTCTCAAATTGTGATTTCGATTTCAAATCGATTAATCGTTCAGCCCTAATATAAACTACAGTATTGGTTTCCGGGTGTACCGAAAACCGTTAGAACAGGTTTACGGTTCAATGGGTTAAAATGTGTTTTAAAAGTTCGGATTCGGTGAAACGTTTGAAAAAACACAGTTGAACTTTTCATATTGGCTGAGTAAAAAAAAAACCTCACGTATACTGTAGCTTAAATTGAAGGCTACACCGGAGGTTTTTGTTAAAATGATCCCCAGTACAGCATTAACGAACGTGGAACGTTAATTGCACGCGGTATTTGCCTCCCCTGAGGGGCGGGGGGAGTGGGGGGGCCTCATTCGCACGTCCGTGATTGGCTCCCGGCGCGCCCCCCCCCCACCGCGCGAGTGACGTCAGGGAAAGCGCTCCGACCATAAAAGGGAATCCGCGCGCGAATTCTCGACAGTCGCCGCTCCACGCACGCAGCACGCACGCAGCAAGCACGCAGCAAGCACGCAGTACGCAGCACGCACGCACGCACGCTTTGTCTCGTAGAGCGAGACGTCAACATCGTATCTGGGAGCTCCAGAAAAAATACCTCGCGGCGGTCATGATCGGACGGGCGCAGTTATTGGCGGGAATCGGTCGCTGGGCGCGACCCCCCTCGTGGTCTCCGGGCGCCTCAGCGCGCTGGGCGAGCGCCGGGGAGGCGGCCGGAGGCGCTGCCGAGGGCACCGCCAAAGCTGCTGCCGCTGCCGCCGCCGGGGCAGATTCTCCCGGGGGGGAACAGGCGGCGCCCGTCGCCTTCAAGCCGTTTCGCCTGGAGGGTAAACCCGGCAAGAGGCACTTGTGGTGCGCTTGTGGCTTCAGTGGCAACCAGGTACGGCGGGGTTGTGTGTGTGTGTGGGGGAGGGCTGGGATCGCACGGGCGGGAACTTTTTGCAAGGGGTCAACCAACGTGGCCGGGCCCTAGGTGGTGTGGGACAATGGGCGACCCCCGCGTGAATGTTCGTGCCCTCCCTCCTTAGGACGCCAAATCCTCGTATCGTGTCAGGAACGGATACTGAAAGGTGTGTGCGTCAAAAAAATTTAGATAACTTGTTCGATCGTATGTTAACCTTTTACAAATGTTCGCGTCGATGAGCGTGTACGTAGGAATAGCCACCAAGTGTGTTTAACATGTTCCCCAACATCCCACTAACGTAACATTTTGCTTTATAACCAAAGAAAAAGGGGGGGGGGGGATAATTATTTCGGGTACATTGAGACACCAAAAAAAACACAATTGTATAGCACTGAATTTTGATTTAAAACTTTCGTGACTGCAGGGATTCATATTCTTGGTTCATTCGGTGACTTTACCGAAAGAGTTTAACACGTAGGCTTTCGCGACCAATATTATTCATAATAAAGGTTTTTGGGTTAGATCGCGTTTATTTATAAATGTGTCGTAACCCTCCACCACCCGACACGGCCAATCAGCAAAAAAGTGTCACGTTGACAAAAGACAAATAATTCACTACTTCAGCCCACCGGTGTGTTGAAGAGTTAATCCATATTTACAGTTTGAGTACGACGTTTCGCTGGTAAATACATCCAGCATCATCAAGCAATTCGCCAGAATTGAAAGAACCAAGAATATGTATAGCACTGCTTTGGAAAATTTCGCAATCGCCTAAACAGTGTGACCGGGGCGTCGTATGGGGGGGGGGGGGCAAAGTTGAGAGTTCGAACTCGCCCACATTTCGCCCTCATTTCGCCCTCAAGTCCGAGCTTCCAGACTCTTCGCAACTAACAATACAACACACACACACACACGTTTAGCTTTGTGTTCATAAAAAAAAAACACATGGGCTTTTTTGGCCTGAAGAAGAAGAACACAAGGTGTCCACTTAATTTTGTTTTAATGCACAGTCAGTCCTTGCGCGGCTGTTCCACGTTGTTCCATGCATACGTACGGCGACTTTTCAAGGTCACAGTGGCTTCTTGAAGAGTCGAGAGCGTGCAACACCGCAGTTGCTGTACTCGCCGCCCGCACCTCCCACGATCACGGAGGGTTAACGTAGGGTGCGATAAAAAGTCCAACGTAGGACAGCGCCTGCAGTGTTTCCACACTGCTCTTCGCCGACTGCAACTCCTCAAAAAACTGTGTAAGTTTGGGATTTTCAAATTAAAACCTCCACCGCAGTCGCGACACACCGACGCTTTCCGAGAGTTGAAGCGCTTCTTGTGTTTGCAGTGCAAAGTTCGACACGTGTTTATTTAGGTAATGATCCTTTTCCGTTTGTCCAAGGCGACCCAACGGAGCGCCTCGAAAGCGCCGTGCAGTAGTAACATGTATCACACACATTTATAAATAACGCGATCTAACCCAAAAACATTTATTATGAGGAATGTTGGTCGCGAAAGCCTACATGTTAAACATCAATTTACCTTGAACATCCTAGGAAAGAAGTTGGTCAGTTTAACAAGTAGGCTTTCGTGACCGATATAATTCATAAGACAGGTCTAACCCTTTATTATGAATTGGATCTAACCCAAAAATATATATTTACGCGATCTAACCCAAAAAAACCTGTTATGTAAATATTTCTTTAAATTTCTAAATGGGAGAAACTGCAGACAGTTTTTTTGGGTTAGATCGTGTAAATGTGTCGTTAAAACCCGCCACCACCTGACACAGCCAACTAGTAAGGATTGTCACGTAAACAGAACGTGCCCAATTCGTCACTAGTACAGCACACCGGTGTGTTGGAGAGCCAAGCCACAGCATTTACAAACCGAGTACGACGTTTCGCCAGTAATCACAACTAGCTTCATCAGGCGACAGCCAGATTTGTGAAGTCCACCTTGTTTCGTTCCTTATATATAGGCGTAGATGTGGTGATCACACTTCTGCGTTGCGCAAAGTGGGGGGGGGGGGGAATATTTACGTGATCTAACGTAAAATAAAACCTCGTATGGATATTGGTCGCGAAAGCCTACGTGTTAAACTGAGGCAGTTCTACAGGTTAAGAGAATTCCAAATCTGAGGACCAAGGACCGAAAAAGGCCAAGCTCCGGAACGTTTTTTGCCGAAAGCATGGCTGACGAGAGGAGCATGGTGCGTGATGACCTCAAACTCCTTACAAGGGTTTTAAAGCTGCACAGTTTACCGGTCAAGTGTTGAGGCTATTGCTGAAAGATGGCTTTGTAAATTAGGAACGATAATTTGAATCGTGCACAGAGCTCAATTGGAAGCAAGTGTAGGTCCAGTAAAGTTTAGGAGGTTGGGTCCCAACAAGAAGGATGGGTCAAACGTTGCACAGAGGCGTTCAGAATGCCCTGGAGTCGTCTTATCTCGACACCGTTGAAGACTCACGTACAGGGCATTGCCAGTCAAGACGTTATAAAGGGAAGTCGGAACGATAGCACGATCTCAGTCCGAGAGGAATGGTTTGATATTTTTTTTTATTTTCTATAAGTGGAGCAGAAACAGCAGTAGATTGATTATTATCCAACACCAAGCCACTCGAGTCCTATATACGAGTTGGGGTGTCATTCAATTGACAGTTAAAGATGCCGTCATGAGGCACGTTAACAAGTTTAGACTCCTGTCCAACCAGCAAATATTGCTTTGTCCGGGTTTCAGCCACTTGTCAGACATCCAACTGTCGATATCCAACAGACAAGCGGGAAGGGTAGTAAAGTCCTGCTTGTACCAGATTTAAAGTGTCATAAGCACATTGGTGAACAGAAAGTCCATGTCCTTTGATCAGATCTTTCCGTGGCGTAATGTAAATGTTGAACAAACGTGATAATACCGATCCCTGTGGAACTTAACGTGACTGGCTGGGCTGAATAAAAATTAGAAACCCATGATGATTTTTGGGGAACGGTTGGTCGAGAATGACCTTAATCCTTTGACAGCAGTCCCACAGATTCCCACATTCCACTTACAAATCGCAGTTGCCTGCATGCATCATTGTGGTATGAGTATCACATGTTGCCGGAAAGGCATTTGAAACCTTGCTCTTTATTCAAGGTAGTATCACGTGTATCCATTCCCATGAATCAGTGTTGGTGCTAGGCATATGCAAACGAAACAAAGGCATCGTGCACCTCACAGCGGCAGTTTATTAATCTTCTCCATTCACGTGTCAAATGATTAAGTTGATTTACCGCCTATGTCGGTGATTGTCAAAAGGTGAACATTTAGGCATAAACACCTGGGTCCTAGACTCGCGGCAAAACCCATTTCTTGTTGCATATGACTTTTGCTTTTTTCTCTTCATGTATCTGACTTATCAAGTTCTAACGTTTGCTGTAGTTACTTTCCAATGGACATGACAATGCCTTCTGGTCCGCGAATCTAAGACCGTTAATGTTTTCTAGGTGTCAACCACCAGTCGCAGCAAACCATGGACTTTTGCCATTACTCACATTAATTATATCTGTTAAACTGAATGCATATCTACGTGATGTATTTACATGTACAGCCCTTTTCTCAATCCACTGCTGGATGAGGCCCCCACCACTGGGCAGATCGTCAGCGTTATTTGACCGTATTTCACGTGCGTTGGGGGAGGTGGAGTGGGACCAGTTCAGATATCACTCACCCCCGGTGATAGCCAAAGCTGGAAATTGAACTGGGTCGCTCGGCTCCGAGATAATCACTGCTGTACCCTTTCTGCATGGAGTAAAAGACTAACAAGCATGTAGGTGTGCAACCCACCTCAACGCAGCGAGGAATAGACGGAGTTTTATGAATCATAAAAAATATATATATTTGTGAGGGGCATTACATCAGTCGATCCCTTAGCCGATATGGTCAAGGGGTCACCACTGATGCCTTGGCTTCTGCACAACACTGGTGATTTAGTTTGTGCCAATTTGCATAATTTGTATCACTGGTTTTAAGATGCAAAGTCAAGCTTGTTTTCATGGAAGGGTTTTAATACCTCACCGAATATTTTCTGGGTGATTGGGAGCAAAAAAAAATCTGGGAGGGATCACGTGACAAGTAGCCACAGCAAGACAGGTACTGCATGTGTGCCAAGCAGGGAAATATCTTGGTCGCTGACCCAGCCGAGTCTAACTTTCACGTTTTCTGACTCTCCCTTCTCCCCCATCCCAAAGCCGTTCTGCGATGGCTCTCACTTCAAGGCCCGATGGAAGGGGGAATCCAAGAAGTGGCCCGTGCTCTTCAAGGTTCCAGAGAGTGGCATCGCGTGGCTCTGTCTGTGCAAGCAGACAGGCAAGCCACCCTTCTGTGATGGTTCGCACAAAAAGATCGGCACGGCGCCATCCGAGAGTCCTCCCTTGCAATGAGACAGGCTTCTGGGTGGCGCATGCTGCTCCTGTCAGCTGCACAGGGGGCACAAGAGCCTCGCCGACAACAGGGCCCTCAAGTGCCACCTGGTGGTTATGCCATTGTCCATCACCTGCTGTGACACTGACACGGCCCAAACAACACCCAGTGGTGGATCCTCATTTAGAGCCAGTGGGGGCTGGGGCTCGCTACTGAAAAAGCAGCGTAATACCTCGATGATACTTTCCTGCTCAGATTATAAACTGCATACACCCCCCTTCCCCAGGCTTCCATGACTCAATGTCCACCAGCTGCCACTTCTGACACAAAATCGTTATGTTAATGCAAATGTAAAAAAAAAACTCACCAAACTCACCTCAAAATTAAAACCTCAGTCTAGTCAAATGTGCTCACTCTGGACCCATTTGTCCATTGTGATAGTATTATTTTATCCTGTCTTGGCACATTAAATAATCATTTACTTGATTTGTGTGAATGTTGTTTATAGAAGTCACAATAAAAATCTTCAATGGAAGTGTGGGTAGTGTCTGTGGGACAACAATGGGATGCATGGACGCAAGCTGTGCATTTTCACTGATTAAACGACTAATCAACACGGAGCCCATGTGACCTCTGTACCATATCGCCATGGAGACTGACAAAAACCAGTGGTCTGCAACAGCTGTATTACTCCAGACCATGAAACACTGGGAAATTAAGGCATGACCAAAGATAATATGGCACAGCAGTGGTGAAGTGGAGTTATAACTCACCAAGGTGTTAAACCTTGTACTAATTTTACTTGTGATCTAATTGGAAGTTTCCATGCAATTTGCCCTCTACGACAGGCGAACCTGCTACCCGTGGTCTCGACTTAATTTCATATGGCCCACAGCCACGTGAGCCCTACCACAATATCCACTGGAGGTATTTCTGCATCCCTAATTCAATACTAGATGAGCATACTGTTGGAAACGTTAACTTTAGTGCACTGAATCACTTGTGTCACTTGCAAGAGCCTCGTGTTCAGAGATGTGATCAAGGTGTGTATATGGTAATGTGGTGCGCCGACCCAAGATATTCCCCGAGTCCTGTTTGATCTGCAGTAAGGAATGCACCCCACCCTTGTTCTAGAGTGGAAGGGAAGTAATTGGCTTTTTCCAAATTTGGGAAGCAATATTTTGCACCATGAAATATCACATTGCCAGTGATATGACTACCCTAAAATTTACCCACACCTTGTCAAAACGCCACATGCCTAACTTTCACAAATTTAAGCACGATGCATAAAACTTGAAACGTATCAAGCAGGAATTCACAGGAGAATCTCGATTGTAAATGGACAACTGTGTGCACATGAACGCCTTCTCACATGTGAAATTGAACAAGCTTGTACATATGCAGGCTTGAAGGCAGAGCAGTGAATCGGCTTGGGGAAGTTGCATTGAGAGAATGGAATGCAGGGCTTGGTGTCACATTGCAGGGTTGATGATGTCCACGTCCTTGCTGGTGACACTGCGTTTAATCAATTCAAGTGAAGCTGCCCCCCCCCCTCCATCAGCTGGGTTGTCAGGAGGGATTGTGCAAAGGCAGGTTTTGGGACTCTGCCCAGCAGCAACAACCAACCCTATCGTTTCAGACGGCGCAAAAACAGTATTTGTTGCTGCAAGACATCTTATGCAAACTGATCGGACACTATCTGGAGAACCACTTTCAAAGTTGGTTAAACTGCTAATTTTAGTGCAGTCACTTATTGCAAGTGACAGAGGTGTGTAATGTGTGCCTTTCCAGAGGTGGGGAAAGTTTCCCCAACTCTGCTGTAGGAAGTGTTGGACAAAGCATTCCCTTCCTAGACAGTCGTTATCGGTTTATAATTATTAATGTCTAATTGAGTTCTCAAATTCTAGTCACCACTTGATAGCATATCCACACTTCATATTTACACATCTTGTCATTGACAAATCGAGTTTTGCACACAATGCACTGGGGTGGAGCCTGGTTGCTGGAAACACTGGATGTAAGTGTTGGCCATGAACTCGCATTGTAAACAAAGAATGTGGTCCACCCAAATTAAGTGGTGTGGTGGTGCATTCCTTAAGGCAAGAACCATGTAGATTAGCGAAACTCCCAAAGCTCGGAGTGCAATTCAACCACATGATGGTACAGCAGGAAGGTTCATGAACCATTCTGTTGTCCTCATACAAGTGGGGTTTGTTTAAGCACTAGTTTACAATTTTAGGAACTTCCTCAAAAGTATTTATTGACAAGGCTTTCCTGGATAAATCCAATGATCCATCCACTAGAGGTTGAAGACCTCTCCAATCTATTCCCCGATTGTAAATAAATTGAGCAATTACAAGATACCTGTAAATCCTCAATACCAGCTGATACAGCCCCAGGTAAATAGCCAGTTACGGTTGGACAGAGCAAACCTAGATCCTACAGGCACAAGCACAGACAGTTTAGTGCAGTGTCCAGGCGAGTTTAAAACCTCACGAGGTTCATTCAGACGGGCGCCATCCTCGCAAGCCGGAATTCATTGCTGATGTCATTTTTACAACTTTCATGTCATTTAATTCTTCAAAAAATTTGATTAGCACAAAAATATGTAAAAAAATATTAAACTGCAAAAGACATTTAATTACCCATTTACACTTTAGGAAGTATCAGGTACAAATTTGTACAAAAATTGTACACATTATTACGCAACTGGGAAGAAAAATCACCCACTGTACATCCTACAAACCAGACTGTTTCACAGGAAAACGTGTAGAAATAAATTAGAAATACAAACACATCTGCCGGGCCTCTTCAACGTACAAAATGAAATGAAAACGTGAGTTAATATGCAGAACCCCATTGCGTGTTGAGCAGGAGGCAGGCGTGCCACCATCGTGCCCCCCACTCCTTCCCCATCGCGACATGCACGGGCTAAGACCAGGGGCCGGGCCAGTGCTCAGCAAACCCCCTACAGGAATATTTTCAACTGCGTAGCGCTACAACACAACATGCCCATTACTCATGTTGGCGCGACATGACACGTGCACGACGTTGACGTTTCGCTCTTTCGCCACGGAGATGATCGACCTTTCGAACAGAGTCGCTGCGTAAAGAAGAGCCTCGAAGAGAATGGAGGAGCTTCCAGAAGCGGTCGCACCAACGGCCTTTTGGAGGCCCCTCACCAAAGAGTGGCATGGAAGATGCATCGTGGAGGAATCTTCGTGAACAAAACCCTAATCAAAATAAAATGAAGAGGGCATCACGAAGTTTTCTGGAGGAGCCCGCACAAAAGTACTGAATGTAAGATCGATTGTGGAGACGTCTCAAGGAGCCCGCCACAATGCGACCCTTTCATTGCGCGCATTTCAAGTTCGATGGCCATGCTTGTCATTGCTAGTGCATACGTGTGTAGTGCTTCAGTGTTGGTAAGGCAACGGGCTAAACGGTGCCCCGATGGCACAGCGGCACGTATGGACACGGGCACGTCCACATGCGTTTCGCTCGCGTCCCTGAGCAGAACGTTTCAGAGGCTCGTAGGAACATGCCACCGAGCTGCCTCCCCGAAGAACTATTATTCCCACAGTACAGTTCTGATAAAAACCCATGCAAGTTTGTGCGCAGGGCGGCTAAAGGCCTGTGCTCTTTTTTGTATTATGGGGCGGAGGAAGCAGTTGAGAGCGTGGCCTTTGTTGGGCAGTTTGCAGAGCGCCCCAAGTGAGATGTGGCCAGTGCATTTAAATGTACAAAGATAACACAACAGATTTAAATAATTTCCTGACATGGGCAGTGAAAATCCTGGAGATAGTCGGAGAATGGGGTATGGGCTGGTTCATGATGTTCTCAGGCTAATTTCCCATCCGGATAATTTGTTTGAAAGTAGCTATGTTGTTGCTCATTTCTGAACCAAAATGTGTTGAATAACTGTATGGGTGTTTGTCGCTACACTGGCTGTTGTAAATTTCTTAAGTGGTTCATACAAGATCACGGATTGTTTTTTTTGCGTTACACCAGTTTGATGGCAAATGCAAATCAGTCTCCAACAAAATCAGTCCGAAACACACGAGTCATCACGAGGTACGGAGAACCATTTTCAGCATGTAACAAGAAAGCAAATTTTGCTCCAGCAATAACCCAGTTCCTCCAGGATATTAAGGAGCCAAGATATTCATTATGGTTGTCAGATCTTGAGGCAGAAATTTAAAGAACTTAATTTTCACCACCTCAGCACTAATTTTTCTCCCAATTGTGCACGTTTGTTCATTTCATAGGTAGAAATATTTGCTATTAATTTCATTCAAGTTGCACGAATTGTAAATAACCAATTCTCAAATGACAAATTGATGCATGCACCGCAAGCATAAGAATCAGTTCTATTCCATGAATGTTATGCACCGACTATCAAATATTGGCTATCACTAACTGTGAATGCATTTTCCACATACAGTTAAAATTAGAGATGGGGTTGAATTTACGTGTTAAAAGATCGATGTGCAATCCCCAGGACGACAGCTGGAACAATGGCCAATCATTTTAGCTCCGTCGCCAAAATCTGCAGATGGAGAAGCCAGGGTGCAAAACTGCCCACCGCCAGCTTCGACTGCACATCATGTCCATACTGTAAACAGGTGGTGGTAGTTACACGTGCAATCACGCGTAGTTTCGTGCATTAGAAAAAAGGTATACATACAATAACGTATACATTACTGGCACCACAAATTAATCACTCATGAAATAGTTCTTTCAAGAATAGCAAAAGGTGGATATTAAAAAAAAAAACAAGTATCCTAGGCATGGAGATCCCATGCTGGGCGAGCTCCTGCCATAATAACATCAATGGCAGACGGAGTTTATAGAGTTCAAGAGCCAACGTCTTGGGTTGAATGAGAGAGGCACCTGGGTCAGCTGACGAGGCCCTCACGATACGGGCAAGATCTAATGCACCCCCCCCCCCCCCGCCTTTACACTTTGAGGAAAACAAAAATAGTGTAAACATGGAAACATTTCATAAAAACAATACCTGAAGATGAACGCGTCTGTCTGTGGAGACCTCGGGGAGATCATTGCTGGGCAAAAATGGGTAAAAAGTGACACCATCAAACCTCAGCCGCAATGATCAACGTTGAGGCCCAAAGCACATGGGGAGGGGCCCTCGATCCCCAAACGGCCACTCGTGCCTTCACCGCACCGCACGCAACGCAGGGCCTCGAGGTTTAAGGCGCGTGTCGGCTAGCACCCCACCTTCTCTCTTCACACACCCCCATTGCGTTTGCAATAATCTCATTTTTTAATACGTATAATTTAGCTTTCTTTATAAAAGATCTAGTAGTGCTAAAAACCTGATTTTCTGCGAGGCACAACTATAAGGTATTTGCTACCATTGGTCTAAAACTGTCGCGCGCGAGGGCGGGGGGCGAGCGGCTTCGAAGACGAGCAGCGATGCAGGCGCAAAACGGGCACGGGTGGTGGCAGCAACGTCATTCGGGTCGGAGTTTTACAAAATGAAGAGGAGAGAAACAAGGCCAGGCATGTGGGTCCCTGCACTTTTAACTTTCCCCTCGCACCTTTTCGCTTGTGACGACTCCTGTGGCCACATCCAGTGTTTGTGCACAGTGCACAGACTTCAGTTAATGCTACACGGCATGCAAGCAGCCTCTCAGGGACAAAGAGAGAGGCCTGGGAACGTGCATGGGGGCTCGACTCGGGCTTGCTCATGAGCGACCGTCGTGCGTGTGGCAGCAAGAGTTCACTCACTGCGAATGCGCACGGCTTGGAAACTCGGTCGTGGTGTTCGCGACAGGCAAAAACCACTGCCCGAGAGCGCCGTATGCCAACAGCCTGGCCGCCAATTTCAACGCGGTGCAGAATTGGCAATGCGGCCCAGGTTTGGGAACGGCGCAGTTCTGCTTCAACGAATACCGCGTCTCGTGGCTTGACCCACATGTCCAGATTGCGGCGACCACGCTCTCTGCTGCTGGGGACAGATGCTGCCCCCCAAGTCCAGCAACTGCTGGCAGCGTGAACCCCAACGGCACAAACTCGCCATGACCAGGACTCGCAAATTGTGGCATTGTGCCTGGCGTGAAGGGAACCTGTGCCTGCACACAAATTACCGTAGTAGCAGCTTCTCGGCCGATTTAATTGTCTGCTTCCAGGACCGAATACATCCCTGTACGGCTCGGTCAAGATGATGCGTGCAAGGGAGGTGTCGATGTGCATCAGGGGCCACAATACGCTGGCCTCTCATTGGTGAATTGTGCAGTGGATATAGGGAGGGGGGTGGGGGGGCACTGGCAGGGATGATTCTCCTGGGTTTGAGTCCTTGTCCATAAATTTCTGTGACTTAAGATCTACAACACAGTAGCCCCCCCCCCCCTCGTGACGGATAGACCATTTGCAAAATAAAATGCCAATGTGGGCCCCCAAAGCACACACGTGTCCATTTCAATACGAAGAACATAAATAAAATTATCAAGTTCATAAAAACAAATAAACTTTACTTTTTCTATAAACGTGGTCTCGTCAGCTCCGCCATATCCTAGGCCAAGACGGGCGAATGCTAGTCCTACTATCCACAATCCTTTTTTGCAAAAATCCAAGCAATTTTCCCACATTAAGTTAAACCTAGTGGGCACTCGCTAAATATTTATACATTCTGGGAATTGTAAAAAATATATATAATACCACTCAAAAGCTTGCCTCCCACTCATCCTCACGCACCATAAGAGCAGTGAAAAAGTGGAGCGGCAGGCGTGCAGAGCAGCCGTTGCCGAGACCGTGCCAGAGGAGGTAGGTACATTTTTGGTGTCTTGTCGATGCCGCTCGGTGTGCTCCCCCAATTGAGTTCAGTTTCTCCAGGCTCAGCTCAAGTAATCAGTGATCTCAACGGCCGTGCGACGAGGGCAAGCCGCCACCGCCGCCATCTCCATGCCAGCATAGCACGACATCCCCCACCCCTGCCCCGTCTTCTTCCTCTTCTCCTCAACCCCCTGCACTGCTCACGCTAGCTGCCCTGCGCAAACTCTGCACGTCCGGCCCTGCGTTGACGACCCTTCAGCTTCCATCGCCGCTGCCGGGGGTGCCTCTCTCGCTGCGCTTCTGTGGTGGACGAGAAAGTGCAGAGCGCAGAAGAGTCAGGGGGCGGTCATGGGCCAAATATGCACCGTCGGGCTTTTACAAACATTTAAAGAAAAAAAATCTATATTTCAGCCAGGTGATATCGTACATGTGAAGGAGAAACTTCAAGAGTTTAAATATTTGCATCTTCAAACCAAACCCAGCCAATATTAGCTCAGTGTGCCACTGTCCACGTTGTTACTGTATACCATATCGAGACAAAGTCAAGCCACATCTGCCAGTGCATGAAACTAGCTTTACTACCCGGCTTCGCCCGAGACTTGGATTCTTGTCTTGGATTAATACACGGCCTACGCGGAGCAGGCACACTGCATGACGGTGCCGTATGTGGGTGACATCACAGATGTGACGTCACCACTCACTTGTCGTGCAAAATATATCCATTATTGCGCCCCCCCCCTCCCAAAATACAAAAGTCTATTTTTATACTTTTTGCAGTGTACAGTCTGGAAGCTACCCACATGCCAAATAGTTTGTTGCATGTCGGGAAGTATGCTAAACATTTCGAACAGACACACATTCACAAATTTCCCTTTTATATAGATATCAGCAAGATGTCAATGCATGTACACTGCCATCACTGGGCCACATCGAAGCCCAGGAGGTTTGGCATTTCAGTGTACAAGATTAAATCAGCTCGATCGCCCAACCCCGCCACCAAAGTGGTTTGGTTTGCAGGCGTGCGCCGCCACCACGCCGCCACCACCTAGTTTACAGCCCAAATCAAAGGAGAAGAGCAAAGCAGCAGCAGCAGCAGCAGCTTGTGCAGACGGCTTCACCTTCAGAGCAGCCTGGTCAGAATGAAGACTCAGGAAGGGGTTTGCCTGGCCGGGAGCAGAGACGGGCACAGGGGTGCCGCCCAGGGGGGGCAGCGTGCACGATGGGCCCACTGCCAGGTGCTGCTCGTGAGAGGCGGCGTTGCTGGGGCCCTGCTGCTGGTGCTGTTGCTGCTGCTGTTGCTGCTGCTGCTGCATGAGGTGGTACATCAGTTGCTGAGGATCCTGTCCAGTGGCCATGCAGGATGGGAGACTCAAATCAGTAATTGTTACTTCTATGCTCCTGTTATCTATTCAAGCAACCTTCACCAATTGACACAGACCAGCGTAGTTAAGGATAGTCAAATAACCCCCATGTCCCGCGTGATGTAGGGAGGCCCTTATCTATCAACGGGTTGACAAACGGGCTTTACCTGGACAGATTCATTCCATCCTTGCGCATGGCAATATATTCAGGGCTTCAGGAGAGAGTTAGTGCAGTTTTGCTATCCTTCCTCCGTCGAAGGAGCACAGACTAGTGGTTTATTATATGGTCCGTAATTTGGGTTGCATGGGCTCAATTGCACTGTGGCTAGTATTTAATTTTCCAATTATGAAGGTGGTGTGTGCATTGACCTATTGTTCTGATGCAATTGACAGTACACATGTTAATTATTACACTCATGGTCCACTCTATATCGCATCCGCACAAACCATGGCAGATGCGTATACCTGATGCACAAATGGAACATTTTAAATTCTCCAGTAGTGTGCGATTGGTCATCCAGAATAGAGGCCGTACAACCATATAATGACGCAATGCCCCATCCACAAATACCAAGGAGACATTACAGCGATCGATACACTCCGCTGCTCCTGATGCGGTTATCTGGCTTGACCACCTGAATGTGAAATTGTAGTTGTTGCTCTGCATCTACGTCAGCCATACGAAAGAAGAAAATTACGCTGCAATACACACAGTCCATGGTGGAGGAGGGGGGCTTGAGGGGCCCTGTGTAAAATCATTACACGTAGAAAGATTAAACTTTTGTTTGACGACTGCTTCAGAAATGGCACGGGGTAAATATGCAAACAGAAAAAAAATACACTTGGGGACGAAAATTCCCTTAAATGTTAAGGCACAAGCGCCGTGGTGATGTCACGGCTACTTTTTGGCGAATGGCGGTTATTGTTGTTGTGGCCTCAAGGGCGAGTGTAACAATGTTAATGATTCACTGTGAATAACCCAACCAAGAGTAGATATCCATTGTAAGTAATATGAATACATTAGGTGAAAAACCTATTCTTATATTTTGGTACTGGCAAAGGAGGTCTAATGATGTAGATGCTCACCCCGAGCCCTCATTACTTTGATAGTGCATTGTCTTTGAGCTGTACGCATTTTGGCGTCCTCTGGTCGAGCACCAATTGGGTTGAGGCTCAAAAGAAAGCTGTACCTTGGTGTGGACCAATCAGTTTCAAGGACAATGCATATACTATCATAGTATGTTTTTTGTTTGCATTTTGACTGCAAGTATTGTGGTTAATGCAGACATTAATCCTTGCAATAAGCTTTCAGTTTTGTTGCCAGAAAAAAGGGGAAAAACCCTATTATTATATATTTGATCGACAAATCGTTGCATCCACCAAGCGAATCAACAATAGGCGAACGCTACTGGTGCCTGCACCTCTGACAGCCCAAGAAGTCTGACCTGCGTGAAGAGCTGGTCTCCTAGGAGCTGGTGGAAGGATTGCTGTTGGTGCATCAAAATCTGGCGCTGCTGATCTTGCAGCAGGGCGAGCCCAGAGATGCTGCAAACACACGAGAGAGTCAAAGACGTGCGCCAGCGGAAATAAACACGCACGCGGGACAATTCTGCAGCAGGAAGCCACACGAGCATGTCGATATTTGGCAGAGGATGAAAACGAAAGTCGGCAGCAAACAACTCTGGAAGTGAAAGCACACATATTCTTAGCTCTTTCGGTAAAGTCACGTTGAAGGGAAAAAATAATAAATCAAATATATAAAACAATTGTTTTATATATATTGTATTATTTTATTGTTTCCCTTCAACGTGACTTTACTGAAAGAGCTAAGAATATGAATTACTGCAGTCACGAAAGCTTTAAATCAAAATTTGAAAGCACACAGTAAAGTGGCCCAATTAATGACGTGTTTTTTTTCCGAGGCCATTGTGGCCAGCTGTTACATAAATGAATGTTTCTTTTCACCTAGGTTTCGTCCTTTAAAAATCTTGCTCCTCACTTGAAATCTCTCTATCTGGCTGCATTGCGCAATGGGCCAAGGGCCTGAGAGTCATATCAGATGAATATTAAAAAAGTGACGATAATTAGAATACACTTTTTTTATAAAAGATAGCTTGGATCATAAAATAAGACCAGATGTCATTAGATGTGGCCGGGAGGAAGGGGGGTCGGTAAGCGCCCTCATTCGGCACTGCTGAGATTCTGGGTTTGAATCCATGCAGCCACCTGTGATTACATCAGGTTCTCAAGTGTAACTAGTTGATGGTCTCAGCTTGCTTAACAATGACTGTAAAAAAGGAAAAACATTAAAGTGGGTTTGGGATTTAATTTGATGAAAACTTTTCTTCTTAGAAATTCTAAATTTCAACATTATATTCTCAGAAGCAGAAATTGGTGGGAAAGTGCTGCCCCCCCTACTGGGTGGACGGAGAGGTCACTTGATGGGCTTTCAGAGGTAGCTCTGTGAATTTACCTTGAGCGCAGCGTGCCTTTTTAAACTCAGTGTTTGAAGCAACTGCTCTGTGAGAAACCCCAAAAGGTTCTGATATCGTGATGATGCAGAGAGCAAAATTAGGTTAAAATTGAAGACAAAAGCCAGACAAGTGAAAATAAACAATAAGTGAGCGGGCGCATGTGGACGTTGGCAGCGGGCGGGTTCATCTCCACACCTGTTGCCGAGACTGCTGGGCATCGAGAGGCCCAGCGTGGGGTGGTTGGGGCTCGAGTTTTGCCCCATTGGCGCTGCCGCTGGCGTCTGCACGACGCTGTTGAGTGCCCCCACGAGTCCGTTGATTGAGATCTGGCTGCCGGGGAGGCCGCTTAACATCCTGCCGGCGCCGCCTTGCATCGCGCCGACACCAGCTGCCACCTGCTGCTGCACACCCGTCAGTCCGGCACCCTGATGCTGCTGCTGCTGCTGGTGCTGCACGCTCATCGACGGCATCGACGGCAGCCCAACGGTGCTGTGCTGCAAGCCGAGCGGCTGCTGCATCCCCAGGCCCTGTTGCTGCTGCTGTGGCAACTGCTGCACCACCAGACTTGGTATGGAATTGCTGTTGCCAGGGCCCTGAGGGTGCACGAGCATTCCCGTGGGCACGCACGCCACCCCTTGAGCTGGCGTCAGGGTGGGCATGGCTGCTCCTTTCTGCTGCTGCATACCGAGCATGCCGGAGGCGCCAGGCAGCGAGTGCTGCTGCGAGTGCAGGACGCCAGCCACTCCGGCCGGGGTGAGGGATGCGCCCGGGAGGAGAGGGGAGCTGCTTGGCACGGACAGCGGGGTGCCCGAGCCCGACTCCTGTTGACCGCGGGCATAAGCAAACGAATCTGAGCGGCTCATCTCACTGCCACATTCACAACATGGCGATTAGTCTGCGGATGGATTTGAACTTTAAAACGAGACTTAAGAAGTTGTAAAACCGTCCTAACTACCAGCAAACAGCAAAGCCAACACGTGGCTGCAGCGATCCATTTAAGAGCGAGGCCTTCACCACTGTACCTTAGTTTGCTTAAGAAAAACATACCCTCAGACATAACTACAGTAACTGTACCATACAATTACCTTTGATAAGCATGGTTGGCTACATACTATGCTAAAGAAGTTCAGATACATACCACAAAGTACTTTTTATTTTTTTATATGTACACTAATACACACATACCCAACACAGTTTGTACTACATATACTGGATAGCTTATTTGTGTGTGTAATACACATACACATGTGCATTGTGTTTTTTTAATATATATTTTTATTGAAATCACGGCTAACCCCCGCATTTTCAGCTGGCCGGACCAGGGTTCCCCCACCGAATCGGTTGAGCAGTGAGGAATAATAATGCAGAAGAAGGAGGGGGGGAAGGGGGGGGGGAGACGACTCACAGCGGCAGACATGGTGAGCGCCCCGTCCATGTGAAACCCGGCACCACCCGGTGGAGTCTTCCTGCTGCACTGCTGATCTGTGGCAATAAACCCAAGGCGCCAAGCGGTTTGACAAGAGGAACGCGCTCCGGTGGAGCATTCAAATCCCAAAGTGAAAAAAAAACTGAGTCGTTAGGAAATCCACCACGGGACATTGTTTTGTGTGCTTGTAAAAGTTGAGGGCTGTTTTTCCCAGAGTGGCCAACCCTGGGCGGCAACACCCTGCGGTTCAATGTGACCATCTCGTAAGAACTTTTTATTGATTCTCTCTTTGGTTCGTTTTCATTGCTTTATCATTTAAATGTAACATTGCCACATCACTTGCAAATAATTAATGATTCGTGAGTGCAAGAATTTGTTTAAATCAGGCATCGTTTCACATCAGATCGGTGGGAGGTGGTGAAAGTAAGAGGGGAGTGTGCGATGTTGGTGAAAGAGCAATGGCTGTGCTGTAATTACAAAAGTGTAACTATGCGTGAGATTTATGGATAAACACGTAATGCGAGAGAGACACTGTTGATCTAAATAGAATAATATAATACTGCACGAATGCCAGCTCTCATGCTGTACTGTCAATTAGGACTGTAATGATTCAGTCCCCCATGACTGATTTAATTGTCAAGATTTGAGCTCATGATCCCATTGGGGGATTGATAATTATTTGTCTAGTTCGCATGTGTTCTATCGTGGTCAGTATCACTTCTTCCATTACTTGGACGACCTCCTCTTCCTCCACCACCAACTCAGTTATGACTTCTGACTTGCACTTCTGTATGGAACTCAGAGGCTAAGTCTGCTCAGGGGCCATAACTGGTAAAGATCAGTAGTCTTGTGGTATTTCTTTGTATTTTGGTAGATTCATCTTATTTACATGATACACAATTAATACCGTCCAAACGCATCCCTTGTGTGTGCTTGCTCCATTGATAGACGATATGATACCAATATTTGCTGATGCCTGCAGATAAACTATCTCTACTTACAACCAGGTAACCAGGTAAGAACGCGCTGACAGCACAGGTTTGTTTTTCACGGGTAATTTAATTTGTTAAATAATTGCCATGCCCACCTAATATATTCAACACTGCACCCACATGGGGCCTCCAGTTTAACTCGAGTTCCGTCCTCCAGTTGTGACGATCAATGAAGCGGTGCTACATCCTGCATGGTGTGCCACACTGCCTCGCTTTCGCCACACCGATTAGCGCCCACCGGTACCCGCCAGTGCCAGCCTGTGTCTGTTAATGCCTTTTAATTCCTGCTTATGTCCGCCCATGCCCCTTAGTGCTTACCAGTGTCTGCCAGCATCCGCTAGTGCCTGCCAGTACTTGCCCGCTACCACCAATGCCCGCCCATAATTACAAATGCCCGCCAGCGCCCACCCATGTCGAGCAGCACCGTACCAGCGTGCCCCAGGGGCAGAGCGAGCTGGCTGCTGAGCAGCATGAGGCGTTCGCGTCGCGCCGTCAGCATGCGGATCTGCTCCTCGAGACGACGGTTCTCCGTCTGCAGCCGGTGCAGGCCCCGCAAGTAGCCTATGACTGCACGCGCAGTCGGACAGGATGGGCGGGGGGTTTGGTACAGAATGTGGGTCGCCGTGCGTGTCACCGTGTGTTGTGTGGGTCAGAGTGACCCGAATATGTGGGACACGTAGCGGTGGTGAGATGTTAACTACCTCGCCTGGTATACAGGTCGTGGGTTCGATCCTGACCTTGACACCTATATATTTGGAGTTTTACTGGTAGGAACGAAGTTGTAAACTGAGTGTACCAGCCTGCAATAGAATAATGTGTCCGTCCGTCCTTCCCCTTTCAATACTTTAACGAAGTGAAATCTCGTGCTGTTGGGTGTAAAATCAGCAATAGACAGCGCAGAGACTTGTCCTACCAGCCCACCCTGCAGGGACCTGTTTATGTTCTCCCCTTGGTCGTGTGGATTTTTGTCCGGGTCCTCCGGTTTTCCCCTCCGCATTTAGAAACATGCATTTAGAGTATTTGGCTGATATAAATTTCCACGTGATAAGCCACTTCATTGGGCTATCATTTATGGCCAGGTCGCTTCTGAAAAATAGCTATATAACACAGTGGGCCTTACTTGGTAAAATAAAAAATAGTTTAGTTTTAAATAGTTTTAGTTTAGTGAATGACAGCAAGCTGGAACGCACCATCAGGCGGGGCGGCTTGCTCAATCAGGAAGTGCTGCCCCTCGTTCAGCTGCCGCTCCAAGAGCTGCTCGATGCTGGTGGGTGTTGATTGCTGGGCAGCCTCCAGCCCAGCAGGGCCAGGGCCCATGCCCGTGCCTGCCTGGCCCAGGTCAAAGCGGCTCGGCGTGTTTCCCAGGGCCTGGTCGAAGCGGCCCGTCCCGGGCCCCAGGTGGCCCGGCTCGTAGCGCACAGACAGGCCAGGCTGCGGGACATCGTAGCGCCCGGAGGGAGCGCTCGGAGCGGCGTCGAAGCGCACTTGCATGTCGGACGTCTGCAGACTGCACGCACCGGGCATGGTCTCGCACGTTCAGGCAATAGCGTGTGGGCGCACACCAAACTAGACAAATGTTTTTAATTTGACCAAGGCCCACTGATCTGTGTAGCTCTTTTTCACACTGCAGTCGGTGCAATTCATCAAGAGTCAAGGGAGCTCTGGGGGCAGCCCTCATTCCCATTGATAACTCACACCATCCATGGCTGGGCCAGCTTCTGCATGGGATGATCACAATGTTGACGTTCCACAAAGTTGTGCTTTACTCCTCTACCATGAGCAACTTTGGCAACTTCTATAAAGTGACAGTTATTTCTGGCCAATGAATACGGAGTTCTTTTTTTTTTAACTGTATTTGATGAACGCTAATAGGTCGACAGAGCACACAACCTTGGATTGTCATGTGATCTCTGTTCTGATTGAAAGTTGTCATCCCAGTTGTCAACGACGGGGATGATCCAATATTTGGAGATGGAGGCAACTCGTTTTTTTACCACAAAGAATGGTGGTGGCAACCAGCAGCAGAGATAATTTCTGGCACCAACTTGTTTTAAAATTGCCCCGACTTGATAATCGCCTCAACTCACGATTGTGCATGGCAGACACACGCCAGCCGGAAGGTGTTCTCGTGTGGATACTCACAAAGATGGGGCACTGTTGTGTGACGCGACGCTCTTTTTATGTAGCCTCGAGTCAGAGCTGTCCACTGCCTTGTCTACAAATGCACGTGCACCATCACACATAAACCTCAGCGAGATTCAACTGCTAGTGCAAAAATTTGACAAAATGTCGGTGTTTGCAGCGTGTACACGCATCGTTAATCGTAAACTTGGCATGTGCAAGAGCAATCGATGTAAAAAAATTGAATGATGTAAAATGAATACTGCACATATAGAATGATTGTATACATCTTCAAATGTTCTGAAAATGACGACAGTAGTGATAAAAGTTATTGCGATGAAGACGACGACGACGATGATGGTAACGATATGAAGACGACAGTGGTGACGGCGCAAGTAGTTTTGCCGATGGCTGCGCTGGCGACACCGACTGCGTTCGAGGAGCTGACTCGCACCGTCCAGGGCGCTTGTTTCGGCGGCGGGCGTAATGGCGGGCAGGGCGGCTATGTTGTTGGCCGTACTGAGGGGACTCCCGTACAGATGAGCCGGTGCCAGACCATGGGGAGACCGCAGACATCCTCCACTCTGCGCACACGTGCACACACAAACACGCAAGTAACCTTGTGTAACCTACATATGCTGTTAGTGAACACCTATGAAGACTGGCATGGCGCACAAGGGTGCGGCGTGGTTAGTACTACGCCTGGCCGCCTCTCTCTCTCTCTTCAGCGCTGACCTATACACACCGTGCCATGTACTAATTCAAAGCCGAGTCGACCGAGGGGAGACCAAGGGCCGGTTGAGATATCGCTTGCCACCGGTGTGAGCATCAGTGGCAAGTGACCAAATTAATCAGCCTCTCTCGTGTTCGAACAGAACACGATCGTGACGGATAACAGTGCCAAGTTCGACACCGCGTGTGCAAGTTGCCCGCTGCTCACTTGAGCAGCTCAGTCGGCTGGGTTGTACCATTCTGGGGTCAAGGAACGGCATCGTCTTCAATAAGAGGAGGCGGTGACGGGGTGGGGCTCAAAAGATGCAGGCGCAGACATACGGGGGAGGGAGGTAGGAACGTAGGGAGGGAGGTAGGGAGGTCAACCGCACCTGTGTGGAGAGCGTTGGCGGGAAAGCGGGTGAGGAAAACTGCAATGGGGGCAGCGTGGGCAGGTGCGGCTGGGCCAGCGCCGACGGAAACAGAGGAGAGGGCCCCCCTGAGCTCTGCAGGGACGGTGGCGCGTCCCCACTCAGGAAACCACCTGAACGCGCCCATAAGTGCACAGCCCGCACACATCGCACGCTCTGCTTGGGAATATGCACCACATGCATCACCAGCACCATACGGACCACAATGACGGTACACACCGCACGCAGAGAATTCACCACACACAAGCATCGCTTACGAAGACAAAGATCCCCCGTATAGCCTTTACAGACTGTTGGGGCAAGTGCTGTTAGCAAGCACCTATGAAGGCCGGCACACGGCACAAGAGGGGGTGGGGGATGGCCAACACCACGCCCGGCCTCCGTCTCGCTAGTAGTGATGCTTACACACCGCACCGGGTACAAATTTGAGGCCAAGTCGACCTAGGGGAGGCCCAGAACCGGTTCAGATAAACGTCACTCGTGTTGGCCGTGAGTGGGAATCGAACTTTGGTTGCCGGGTTCGTAGCGCATCATGCTAACCGCTACTCCCGCTCCACGTGCACAACACACACTGCCATATAAACCAACATACACCATCGTGCATCTCTTGAACGATAGCGATGACAACGACAAGGAAGATAACGTTGATGATGATGGCGACGATGGTGACACGCGTACCCGAGGCGGGCAGGCCAGGCGGAGGCGGGCTGTGAGAACACGAGCCGGGAGGGGAGGCGCTCGCTGCCCTCATGCTGTGGAAGCTGCCGTTGCGCTGCGACGACGGCGACTTGGCGCTCGAACCGCACGCGCTGCTCGTCGACGACGCCACCGAAGACGCCGATGACGAGTTGGAGGAGCTCGATAGGCGCGAGGACGTGGGCAAGGCGTCGGGCCGCCCTGCGCCACCAGCCCTTCCTCCCCCACCACCGCCGCCACCTCCACCACCTGTTGCCAGCCCGTCCAGCGCAGGGGGCCCCGCCGCGCCTCCTGCAACGGCGCCGCCTCCGGGGCACGTCGCGGCACTAGCGATTGACGAGGCGGCGGCAGCGGCGGCGGCGGGTGGTGGCGCCCCCCCGGGACCACCGACCGACGCAGCTGCGGCCCTGGCGAGGCCCACCGAAGGCTTGGCCTTCTTGCTTGCCTTGCGCTTGTTCTCCCAGCCGGGGCCCGACTCGTCTTTTCCGGACGAGCAGGGGTGCGAACGCTTTCCACCCACGGTGCTGAAGCCACTCATCACGTACTCCTCATAGGCCTTCTCGTATAGTTTGGGGGGCGACGAGTGCTCGTAGGCCTTCTCGTAGAGCCTCGGTGGTGATGCGGTGGGGGCCGGCGCGCACAACGACGGGGGCGGCGGAGGCAGCGGCGGCGGCGGAGGCGGAGCGGCCGAGCCGCCGACCGCGGCCTTGCTCGGGACCGCCGTGGGGTCCTGGCAGGCCCCATCCATGGCCTTGGGGCCGTCGCGAGTGGCGCCGGAGCCCTGGCCGGATCCTTTGAGGCCGCCCGCCGGCGCGTAACCGTCCTTGTGCGTGTTGAGGTCCACGTAGCCCAGCAGCTCCTGGGCTGACTGCACGAGGCTTACCGACTTGACAGCGCCACTGCCGCCTGTGGCACGCACGTACGATTGTGAGATGTTGCGTCTTAGTCAAGTGGGAAGGGAAGGGGCCATGTGTGGAAACTAAAGTATCAACGGCCGCATGCAGTGACTCAACTACCAAGGTCACCAATATATATACCGAAGTTTTAACTAATTTAAGTCAAACACGTTATTCAATACTAGTACAGCAAATGTAAGAATGGATTTTAACGTATTTAATGTATCAAACGGTGAATCTTTACATGCCCTATTACTATTGTTACCACAACAAATCTTCAAATCAGCATTTCGTCCAAATGAACACACCGCACGCGTTTTGGCGTGTGGCCCTGGACGATAATGAAATCACAACTTTGACAAAAAAACTCCCCACACCCACCTTTCTTTCCCTTCTGCCCCGAGCCATGGGGCAGTTTCTTCTTCTTGCCATCCTGACCTTTGCCCTCGGAGCCCTCACTGCCAGTGCCAGAGTGCACCGGCACCTCCTTGAAGTTGGCATGGGTGAATCGAGCAGTCGGGTCGTCTAGGCGCTTGAGCGACGCGTTCAGGAAGGCGCCACTCGGGCTGGTGTACGTCTGTACCACGCGGCATCCGACGGACATCGCTGCTGTTAATTTATGTAAAGGCAAGCTTTACTCGCATCACTACACATGCCTAAGGCCGACTATCACCACTTGCCAGTCTTGATAAGCACCGGACATTCACTACTCGCCACTCACCAGACACGCGCCAAGCTTGGTGATAACGGACCGACACTGAGGAGCATCAAATAAACTAATTTACATTTTCCACTTCACGTAGGCAGTATTTTAACCTATAGATATTTGTTATATCACTCCAGAGAACGTAAGTACAACCAGAGCGCCAAATGCAGCACAAGGATGAGAAATAATAGGTTTTACCCTTTCTGGCAATAAAATAGGTGTGTTAAGATGTTCAAACACCAAATAGATAGATACCACCTATTGCAAGGAATCAAGTCTGCATTAATCACACATGCTTGTGGTAAGCATGCAAACAACATGCTTTGATGTTTGCCACAAGCACGTTTTGCCACAAGTATGTATGGTTAATGCAGACTTGATTCCTTGAAAAAGTTATCTATGTTTTATTGCCAAAAATGTTAAAAACCTATTGTTATTTTTCATACTTTGATACTGGTAAAAGAATGTCCCATAGGATGAGAAATATACCAATTATCCAGAGGAAGATCCCCACCCCCCTGCCAAAGAACCAAGTTTGATTTTTAAGAGGGCCACACCCTGCCCTGGAGTGCCAGGAGAAAAAAATGTTTGACGAAGAGAACAGTTCCGGAGAGAACTACCTGCTCGGCATGTACCGCCTCTTCCATATGCGAGTTGGCAAAGTAATGGATAACGAGCGAATATCAGAGAAGTACGTATTTGGTCACTCCAATTAATCCCCCATCTTTTACGACGATCACAACACCCGTGGTGAGACACCACCATTAGGCACTACGGAAGCAAGTCATTTTACGCGAGAACACTTACCTCACCCTTTAACGTTCTAATTTTTTTCCCGACCAAAAAAAAAACACGGAAGCCCTCTCCCGAAGTAAATTACCCAAAAGCATATGTAAATTATATATATATGATGCAGCTTACCAAATGGTTAGTTATTTCTTGGAAAGTAAACGAAAATAAACGGACTACACCTCGTCAAGCGTGCACGGGAACAAAACGTCTCGGGTGTTTAATGCGACGCAAACCCTCCCCGAAGATGGCACAACAAAGGGACCTCTGGGAAAAATAAGACAATTACGGACATCGATGGCATGACCTCTGACCTTCTCAGTGGTGACGGTGAGGGAAGGCAGTAGGGGGCTCGGCTCCCCCACTCGTTTATGCCTCTTTTGCTTTTCCTTTTCTCGATTCTTCTGCAAACACGGAACGGGTAATGAGCCGGGCTGGGATCCGGATTGACCCAACGTGCCTCCCTGTGTTTTTGCACAGTGCGCACATCGCAACTCGTCAGTCGTGTCACATCAAGCGCTTTACCACAACTTGCAAATTTTTCCCCGAACAATTCGCACGAAGACTCAATGCCACGCCCACAAACGGAATTCCATAAAACCCGTTTGGGCACGTCAGGACAACCGGGACAAATCTAACACAAAAATGTGAAGTTCTCTGCAGGCGTCCGACACAAGCCACTGGAACTCGAAGCCATTGGGAGACCGTACTACGTACGGTGCGAAAGAAGTTCAACATTCACACACACACAACCGAGCTTTGGAGCCAGTTTGCCATGGTATTTTTGGAATTATAGGAAGGGAAAGAACCTCAAACACCCAGAGCCCACCTCCCACCCTCCCCTCTCCATTGGTCGTGGCAAAGTAGACAGCCATCAGTCCCTACCCCCCGCCTTCATAACTCCCTCGGTCATGCATACGCAGTTGGGCAAACCGATACGAAGGCATACACAGACACTAAGACACATGCAGAGACACACAGAGACCAAGCAGACTGTTGTATTGAAGGATACAAGTATTCACAGGAACCCATCAGTACAGACTGGTACAGTACAGATTGCATCCCTGTAGTACTGACAATGATCTAGCAGTATTTACTGGGATGTATTAATACTGATGGAGGTTTATTATCCTAAATCAAGGTTCTTCAACTTTCAGAGGGGGTTCACTGTCGCCGATAAGACATTGTCAGTATGAGAGCAACCACACATTTGAAACCATTTGGTTTGACAGCACGATGATGGGGGGTGTTTTCACATTTATATATTGTCGGGGGCTGCACGTCAAAGGCCGCACTAAAGGCCACCAGTGGCCCGCGGGCCTTGCAATGAAGAACACTGGCCTCAATAGACTCCAACTTTACTAACCCAATACCCATCAGTCCTGACGGATACTCAGTAGCACCGAGACTCATGAGTAATGATCAAAAACCAGTTGCGACTGAGACTCATTGGTACCCAATGAATCCCAGGAGCACTGAGACTCATTTGTACTGACTGGGAGCCCAGCAGCACTGACCCGAGCCCCATCAGGACTGAGCGCATCCCGTTTGCACGGACATGGACGCAGCGTGGCCAGCGGTACAAACGAACCTTCTTGTCGCGCTCGTGTTTGTCCTGAGAGTGCGACGGAGCCTCGCCTAGCCCGGCGTCAAACGCACTCCGTCCGGCCGGGCGCCCCTTCTGTTGGACAACACCGTGAGCGTTACAGTGGTGGCAGCAGCGGCAATCACAACATCACCGCTAATATCAACCCTGCACTAGCAGTGCCAACTACCTACGTAAGCAGCAATGTCCTGATACTATAAAATTAAACTATTTTTTTTATTTTACCAGGTAAGGTCCACTGAGCTATATAGCTCTCTTTCAGAAACGACCTGGCCACAAATGATAAATAAACGCGGTGACTTATCACGTGGAAATTTATAGCAGCCAAATACAGTCGAACTCTCGATTATCCGCATGCGGTTTATCCGATTTGTTTTAGCAAGCAACTGCAATGAAGAGTGAGATAGGAACGTCACAAACTCCATGACACGTGCTATTTACCATCTTGCTGTAGTGGTACTTGCAGTAGCCACAGTACTTGACATTGTCGGCCCCCACTCCCTCCTCCTCGCACAGCAGGCCGGCCATCTGCGCGCTGTGAAGGCACACACTGGCATCACACCGTGCAGCAGGCATCGCACTGAACTATAATAACTTTTTTTTTAATTTACCAGGGTAATGCCCACTGAGCTATATAGCTCTTTTTCAGAAGCGGCCTGGCCACACAAATGATAGATCGATGAAGTGGCCTATCACCACGTGGAAATGTATAGCAGTAGCCAAATACTCTAAACGCGTGATGTTCATTCTAAGTGTGGAGGAGAAAAACCGGAGGACCAAGAGAAAAAAAAAAACACAACCACGGGGACAGACAGGCAAACTCCAAATATACAGCAGGCGTCAGAGCCAAGATCGAACTCACAACCTCCTGCATACCAGGCGAGGTAGTTAACATCTCGCCACCATGCCGCACCACACGTGTAGGTGCGCGGCCACACTGAAGCAAGCACATACGTACTCCCCCCCTTAGGATACCAACACCAGGGCATGTTACGGCCATTGCTGCTGGCAACTGACCCTGGTAATAGTTGCTCCAGTTTTCCAACGTAAAGGAAATGCAGTTTCCCAAATCTGAATGTCATCGGTGCTTCCCCCTGATGGGCTATTGGAAAGGCAATTTCCAACCAGATCACAGAAGTCACATGACAACCCCCAGAGTTGTGTGTATGCTCTCAACCAATAATTGTTATTAAAATACACCTAAATAAACTGTCCTCGTTGGCCAGAAAAACTCCGTCACTCTATGCCATCATACAATTAAAACAGGTCCGTTAGCGTACACATGTGGGAGAGTACCATCGTATAAACTCTGTATGGGAAATTCTTCCTTACCGAGGGTCATATAAGACTTTCAAATACCTTTGTGGGCCACACATAAACACACACTTGAGAAACACTTCTGTTAATGCAAGATGCCCTTGTCGCGAACAAAATGACCGAATGCATTAACATTAAAAGTACAACACTGTCCTTTCATGCCAAATCAGTGAGGCCAAATCCTTTGCAACGACGGATTTCGTTTTTGTGCCATTTTCAAGTGGAGTATCTTAAATGATGCCTCGGGCCATAGGATCTTCACCCCTGCTGATACAAACCAACACAATTATAAACTACTGACGTCCCTCGGTTAACAGTGACATCGTTGAACGTTTTTTTGCTTAACATTTCGCCTCCCATAGGACCGCATCGTTTCGACTAATGTTAAAATGTTGATTAACGGTGTTTAAAAAATACTTTCTAAAGAAAATGTTGATTAACGATATGTTTGCGTTATGCATGCAATGGCGCCAATTTCGGCCAATCCGAGTGCTCGTAAGAGGGCAGAGCGTGCACTCAGCCAATCAGCGATGCTCATTTGAGCGTTTAGCCCACGATTGGCTTTGTTTCTATTTTGGGAGTGGAAACAGCTCTCTTGCAAACTCAGTGATTTTTTAAGACTTATTTTTTTTTATTATAAGTTAATTCAATCAACAGTTATTTTGGTTAACAGTAGTTTTCGCGGAACGGATAAAACAAAGTTTAACCGAGGGACTAAATGTGTATTGTTTTGTGTATGTATGCATCTGTGCATGCACGGGCGCTCATTGTACCATGTGACATGAAAAGCCTGCCGGCACCCATGCTTGTTGCAGGTCATGCAGGCGCCTGTGGCCGCCTTGCTCTCGCGCCCTTGCTCTTCGCACAGGTAGCACGTCTGCGTGCGGCAACGCGGCGACAACGATGCGGCACTCCTCAGCTCAGCCGAAACGGAAAAGTGCTACGCGACATGGCTCGGCAAAGAATGGCGCCTCTTTGGCAGAGGCGGCGATGGCTCCGACGGAAAGTGGAGCGGGGAGGCGGGCGGCACTCACCTTATTGTAGCGATCGTGAGGCACGTACTGGAGTACTATGGGCTCCATGGTGGACACATTGGCAAACTGAACCTCGGGAATATATAGCGCGCACACCACGTGTGCCCAGCCTGCATGCCCAAGGTGAGAAAACAATTGCCGTCAGCGTGCACCTATGAAGAGACTAGCTCGATGCACACGCTAACGACTACGTCGCCACCCTCCACATGCGTATATACAAAGATGCCTCGTAACCTTACGGACAATTGGTACAAATGTTTGTAGCGAGAACTGAATTAGGCTGACCTGGCATACAAAGGGGGGGTCAAGTGACCAGTACTGTTTTGCAGTTTTTAATCGACGACTTTTGGATTCAATGTACCACGCATTAAACGCGCGCAGACATTCAAAGATGTGGCAATGCAAACCAGTGGCAGATTACAGAACTGATGGGAACGAGGAAGGCCAAGTTACCCACTTCCTTTCTGGACGTTTCATCTCATCAGGCTCATTGGGCCATGAGATCCGCTTTCACGAGTGGGCATGTGAGAAGGATAGCCTGGGCTCGTCTCTGGTGGAAGCCCACCGATCCGAACAGCATGCCACACAAGCTCGCCCTTCCCGTCTGTGGATGTAACCATTTTCCCTGATGGCCAGTCAGTTACCTCCGTTATCCGTCCTCTTCAATGCTCCATCCTTATGTGGACAAAGCTCACATCTCTGTGGGAACATCAATCAGCGTTGCGTGCGTTAACATCGAGCAGCAGGTGACGATGGATCAGAGGGTTTCAATGCACTGTAGGGATCTACATCCAAAGTGCGCCGTCTGCCGCGACACATTCGTTTAAAAAACTCACGAAGGCGCATTCTGAAAGCAGGCCCATTTGCCACACACTTGAACAAGTCGGCATCTTTCCCATTGAAGCCATGCGATCAATCAAACCAACGTGTGCATGTAAATAGTTCACAAATTACTATTGACAATGGTGACCCTTGCAGGAAGGTAATGAGTAAAAAAGGACACACCCTGGGTTTTTTTTAAGAGCAATCTGACAAGCCGCTGCCCGTTGACCCAACACCCAGCATGTGCCAATTGTGTTTGCGCCCCTAACGTGCAACAAAAAAGCATTTTGAGCCTCTATTAAAATTATAAAACCAAAAGATGTGGTTTATCTAGGACAACGCCCGCCACAGACAACCAAACTGGAATTAAGATAACGAACAAATATTAATGTAAAACATCGCTTTGCTGCGTTAACATTTCGAACCGAGGTCTGTTCAACAAAAACATTAAACTAATGTACATATACAGCCCTTTTGAAGGCCTCCGAAGCCATATGGGTCACCATGCTGGTCAACAATGCGGGTTTGCGAATGTGAGCGTGATATGGGAGCACATAAGCAGAATACAAGAGTGGATATTTCTGCACTGCCAAATGCTGGCCCTGACTTAGCTCTACAATAACAATACTCTTAATGTACAAAGTATAAATGGGGAATTTTAACAGATAGGCTTTCACAACCAATATTATTCATGATGAAGTTTTTTTCGGTTAGAGCGCGTAAATGTACATTTGTCATACACCTAACTTCACCAGCCACAGCAAATTAGTAAGGTTGTCACATGAACAGAACCAGCAAAATGTCACTCAATTGGTAATGTTGTAGGTGTGTTCCACCACACCGGTGTGGTGGAGCAATACATGCCAGGTCAACCTTACTAATGGTCTGTGTTGGGTGGAGGTGGGCATACGACACAATTACGCAAACTAACCCAACAAACTTTATCATGAATCAAAGGGGCATCTCAAAGACTGTACCAAAAAAAAACCTTGAATAAGTTGCATGGAGGGACGTGGAATGCAGCAGTGCATGGGAGCGTTAACATCCATCGTGGCGAGCGGGGAAGAATCTGACTCGCGCACCCATTCTAAGCAGGAGGGGCTCTTGTCGGAGGCTGTCATCGCCTGCTGTCACCCATTGAAAACGCCTCCACGCGGCCGGTCACACAGACACAATGGTGTCTTCAGTGGCTATTTATGCACGCAGAATGCAGAGCGCACTACACAGCAAGTCAAAGATTAAAGTGTGGTGTCGCAAGTTGCTATTGTGACCTGAAGAAAAACCAACGGTTCGAATTCCATTTTGGCAAAAAAGAAAAATCTTTCCTGAAATCTCTAAAGTTTTTTAAGCACAAAGTACACCTTCCTTCAGAAGGATGGTATTAATTTCCCTTTCTAAGACTGGGCAAAGATAACAAGTGGCTATTAAATTGTTTTCCTCTTCAAAAGTATTGCAGCTCAGTTACTTAACCAAGCAAATAACCTATCTACCTGTTAATTTGTTAAAATGTATTTCTCACACTCGTGATAGACACCAAAATGTTCATGCAATAATCAGTCATTGATCTCTATGCAAATAAGATGCACATATGCTGTTGTATTTATGCTAATGTTTTAAAGTTGTACAAATGACACAGAATACCTAAGAAAACAAACAATACAGTAGAAAAAAATGGGACAATAAGAATTGATTTAATGGGGGGGGGGGGGGGGGGGGGGGTTGATTTTGAATCGTTACATGCCAATAGCCTTACTTATAGCAATGCTAAAGTATCGCAAAAGATTAATAAGCATTCTGAGGTCCTAGGCCACTACTAATGTATGTAGGTGGACAGGCGTGAATGCATACGGAGCAATCATGCACATGTGCAGGGTGAGCATGCATGCATGTGTGAAAGTGTCCAGGACCATTTGCACCACTCACCACTCGCGCTGCTCGCTCCTGCGACTCACACTTTCGGCAGAACCACGGCCCCGTGGGGACATGCACTATCCCGTAACAAGCTGCGAACGACAGAAGCACGCGCATAATGCAACAGGGAGGGCCATTCGCGCGCACACATGCGCACACCAGCCAGATAATACGACACTGCCTGGTTATACAACTACGGTGCACAGAGTCCATTAAAACATCGATGAAGTTTTACTGATTTAATTACACGTTTTAATCTCAGTTTAAACGTGTAGTGAATTAACTATTAATTGCGATTATATCATTGGGCAATCGTTCAATTTGAGCAGTTGGACAAGAATGTGTTAACAAGCATGGGATCTAACAACCAAGTCACAGTCAATAATCAAGTGAATTTCCACATCTGTCCAATACACTTTGTGTTAAGTCTTCTGAAGGTGTATTTTACTTTATACTTATTAACAAATTCCAACAACACTTGTGATAAAAGCTGTGAAAGTGATATTGAAAGAGAAATTATTTCAGGAAGAAATCACATGAACTTGTGAAAAATATATATTGATAGGTAGCCTTCATGTCACCAGTTAAATTAACAAAGAAAAGTATGTAGACTGATGTTTTTTTATGCAAATGTTTTAAGTGGAAGGATGAACCACAGCCTGTTTTAAAAAATATATATATAAAACTCTTCATCAAGTCTTGGTCCTCAGTTTGTAAATGTTGTGGCTTCCAACACACCCGTGTGCTGTACGAGTGACAAACTGGCATGTTCTGTTTACATGACAACCCTTACTAGTTGGCTGTGTCGGGTGGTGGCGGGTCTTAACAACACATTTATATATTTACGCGATCTAACCCAAAAAGCTCTATTATGCTTGGTACTGTTAACTTCTAAACAATCCAGAAATCATCTATAAACACAGAAAACTCTAAGGCAAGAGGCCTCCTGGGTTATGTTTGCAAGTAAACAGTGGTGTTAGGACTAAGGCTGGTGTCAAGGATTATGGGTGATCTCTGATTATCTCTTGAGCAGCTTGAAAGAGCAATTGAGTTGCACGTCTTGTTGTTCTATTTTGATTTAAAGCTTTCGTGACTGCAGTAATTCATATTCTTAGCTCTTTCGGTAAAGTCACGTTGAAGGGAAACAATAAAATAATAAAATATATATAAAACAATAAAAATATCAACCACGGCCTCGTAAGATGCATCATCCTCAGTGCTGGAACTGTAAATACGAAGTTCCATGTACACGGAGGCTGACAATGGAGATGTCAGGCAAGTCTAGATTTGAAGCTTTCGTGACTGCAAGGATCCATACTCTTTGGTTCTATTCGGTAAAGTCACATAGGTAAAAAAACGTCGTGATTTTTGTTGTTTTATTTTTTTACCTACGTGACTTTACCGAATAGAACCAAAGAGTATATCAGGCAAGATTGAGCCAGTGAATCGTATTGCAAATGTACACACATGAGCGTTATTTAATACTAGGTGAGAATCCATTGATACAAAACTATATTACGCAAATTATACATGTACAATTTCACTACTACATTAATGACAGCATGCCACAGTAATGAATAAGTTTATGTGCGAAAGGTCCACTACCCACAGAAATTCCATACTTAAGAATGGAACATTCAAGTCCACAAAGAGGGTTCTTGAGCCAAATTTACATCCTGTCATTTCCTGGTCATCTTGCAGCCCAGAGGGTTTGGGAGTTTAATAAACATATCAACGAGCCAAAGACCCTTGCCTCTAAATTTCTGGACCATAGTGGTGTGCGCCAGTATGTCGTGCCCATCAGTCGCTAATTTGTCGAACGGTAGTAGTCTATATCGAATGAAGATAGTGTTACACAAACTGCATTTGACTGTATGTCTGCACAGTAATTTTATATCACAAAGATTGTTGTAGCACACTACTGGTACAAAACCGTGGTATTTGGTGATTAGTCCTGACCACAGTGTTGTATAGTTTACACAGTGTCAGTTCTACACTCAACACTGAATGCACTTCTCACATTCACTACAACTCGGCAGGCACAGGCCCGGTGTCCTTTGACAAACATGATTTAGTCTACGGCAGAAGCTACTGTTAATAATCCAGTGTTTGTGTCCACAATTTGGCAGAGGCAGGGCCCTACTGATCCGAGTGTCTAGCGGGCAGTTGCCCCCCCCCCCTCTACCGCCTCTCATTTCCATGGGAGTGTGAGTTAGCTGGCAATTCTGGCACTGTCCCCCATGTCTCTCCTCTGGGGCTGCCCTGAATTCTATGTCACTATTCTGGCCAAAATGGAGTACATTACCAAATGTGAATAAAAATGAAAATTTAATTTTACATACTACGCAAGTGACCTGACTAACTCTTGTGACAACTTGAGTAACTTGAGAAAAATCAGTGAAACTCCATGTTATCAACACAACTTGAGTTGTCATTCAAGTACCGGGGGAAATCAGGCCAACTTGAGTACACTCAACTTCACTTGAGTTGGTGGCCAATGACAACAAGGTGAAAGTGGAATTTTCCACAGATTCTCACGTCACTCAATGTACAAAAGTTACTGGCCAATGATTGTTAGCCGTAAATATAGCAGACAAGCCTCTCGGCAGGGTCTCTACACTACCTGTATAGAGGTGAGGTCTATCATGTCACCTGACATCGTGCAAGAAATACCTGCGTTAAAGGATTATGGTTTTTAACTCGTCTGATACGAGCCGTAAGAGTCGAGGACGACACCACCCACAGGGATAATCATATAAAAGTCGCGCCAAATACAGAATATAAATCGATGCCGTCCATTGGTCTATGGGCATTTCATACAAATGTTTTTCAGCAGCATAAAACTGGGCCAGTTGTATCTTCTCGGTCTCATCAACAAACACAAATGAATTACATAATCCACTTTTGTCTGGTGGTTGTAATGACGCCTGTACATTTGGAGTTTTCCTATTCTCCCCGTGGTCGCGTGGATTTTTCTCCGGGTCCTCGGGTTTTTCCCTCCACATTTAGAAACATGCATTTATATTATTTGGCCGCGATAAATTTCCACATGATAAGCCACTCGATTAGAAATCATTTGTGCCCAGGTCACTTCTGAAAAAGAGCTACATAGTTCCGTGGGCCTTACCTTTAAAAATAAAAAAAATAGTTTAACACGTAGGCTTTCACGACCAATATCATCCATAATACAGGTTTTTTTTGGGTTAGATCTCGTAAATATAAATGTGTCGTTATACCCACCACAAATCTGGCTGCCGCCTGATGCCGGTTGTAATTACTGGCGAAACGTCGTACTCAGATTGTAAATGTTATAGATTTGCTCTCCAACACATCGGTGGGCTGTACTAGTAACGAATTGGCCACGTTCTGTTTACGTGACAAACCTTACTAATTGGCTGTCGGGTGGTGGCGGGTTTAACGACACATTCATATTTACGCGATAAAACCCCAAAAAGCTTTATGATGGAAAATATTTAAGTTTTGAATAGACAGCATGGACTATTCTCACGAATGAACCTTTAACTCACACCGTAACCACAAGCCAACATCACAGCAATGAAGACATCTGGTGGCAGTGAAAGCATGCACACCCCACACGTGGCCCGGTTCGAAAATCCTCCGCTGCAGAGAACGAGAGAACCTCATTACGGGGATGAGGGCAGGCGAAGCGCGGCACCGACGCGGCCATCCTCACCTTGATGCACGGCCACGCTGCAGCCGTGTCCATCGCAATACACGAGCGGGTTCTCTGCCCAACCTCGCTCGTCAGAGCACACACAGCACCCGCCGACCATCTCCTTCATCGCGCTCGGGCCCAATCAGCCAAGCGCGGGCCCCGTCCAGACGCCACCGCCACCACCAGCGCCGCCTGCGCCGCCAGCGCAACTGTCGTGTCCGCCTCCTCCGCCTCCGCCTCCTCCCGCCGCCGCCGCGTCCGTGCCGGCGCGGTCCAACCGCTAAGAGGCACGAGAAGAGACGCACGGAGCACAACAACAACAGTGTCAACGCTGCAGACGCAGGCAGTCACACACGCACGCGCGCGCGCAGATTAAAAAAAAAACAAGACTGGACATTGACAACGTCACACGCACATGGCAATGCGGAGGAGAGGCATACACGGCGGAACGCAGAAAAACAGTTACACACGGTCGCACGCAGTGAAGGCACACACACACACACACGCGCAGGGAGGGAGCACACTCACGTAGCCACACAGACGCGTGTTGAAAGAAACGCACCGAAACACGGAAGCAGAAAAATAAGACGCAGAAAAAAGTCGAGAGGAGCGCATCGAGACGGCGCCGGGTAAAACGAACGCAGCAACACGCGGGGAAGTCTCACTCGGGAGCCACGAACACATCGACCGCATCGACCTACACAGACGTAGAGACACCCAGAGACAGAGAGGTGCGGGTGGAGTTTAAACCCTCGCTGCCGCCGCCGCCGCCACGCAGGGCGAGAGGCCGCGCCGGCATTGCCCCGACAATGGTGACGGTGGCCTCTTGGGCCAGGCGGGCACGTGGGGGGCGGGCGGGCGGGGGGGGTGGGAGCTCAACTCGCCCTCGCCTTTACCGCACTCCCATCGCCCTGCCTTGTTGTTGTTATCGCTCGACGGGTCGCGATCGCTACGGCGCTCGTCGCGGTGGTTACGGTGGTCGTGGTTGGCGGCGGGAGTTGTGCTCGGATGGGTGGGTAGGGGAGGGGGGCTAGTGAGGCCTAGTGATCAGGCCACCCCGGGTGACCCCTCCGGCGGCAGGAGAACTAGGAAACGCGGGGCTCCCTCCGCGACCCCGAGCGCGCGCGCGCGCGCGGCCTCTTACCGACGGCGAAGGGCGCGCGGGTCACGTGGCCCAAGCCTCGTGACGTCACCCGGCTTAAGGGGGGGGTATCAGGAGGGGAGATGGGGTAACAGTCACGTGGTACGAAGTCTGCGCGCGCGCGCGGCCCTCGTGACATCACGCGGAGTTGGGAGGGGCTATCGCGGGTGGGGGTGGTCTCGGTCGTCACGTGACGCAGCCGCTTCAAATAGTGTGACGTCACGGTGGCCTGCAAGATGTTGACTGTCGCCTGGCGCGCAGTTTCACATTTTAGTTTCATTTATTTGGTATAGCCCTGTACGGGTGCAACCGCAACAAACAAAAAACTAAAACATGAACAAGAAAACATCTTAAAGTGACTATGTGACTGTGCAAACAGAAAACCCAGAAAAAACATCAAAATATTCCTGAAAAAAGCGTCGTACACCAACGCTGTGTGCAAAAATCCCAGTGGGATGCAAGTCAAACAACAACCACAAGACAACTAAGATTAAGGCCGTCAGTCTAACTCCGTACTACAATAAACAAAAACATGGCCAAAACAAAAAAAAACGCTTTCGAAATCACCAAAATAAAAGCCATAAATGCAATGTAACAGTGATCATAGGGACTGTGACCGAATTTTTTACAATAAACTACATAAATAAATTATAACACCAAAATCTAGAGCCATATTTTAGGCCACTGAATAGCAGTGGCAGCTAGGGGTGTACAACTCCTCTAGAGCAGTTTTGAGTGAAGATCTCATAGGTAGTGATTCAAGTTGCAGTTTATTGGCAATAGCATTCCAGACCCTGGGGGCATCAATAGCAAAGGCCCTTCCGGTTTTTGTACGGCAATAGGGAATGTGAAGCTGGTAGATGAGCGAAGACCTGAGGCCAAATTTGTTCTTTAAAACAGAGAGGAGATCCAGTAGGTAGTCTGCGGATTTTTTTGTAAGTACATCGTGAATAAATAAGATCTGGTGTACAAGCCGTCGAACATTAAGAGATGTTAAGTTTGACCCAATGTAGAGATCACAGTGGTGAGTCCTATATGGGCAGTTCAATGCAAATCTTAAGGCCGAGTGATAGATGGAATCAAGCTTCTTCAATACAGTACTTGCGGCTGATTTATACACGATGTCACAGTAGTCAAGTAGAGGCAGTATGGTAGCTTTTATCAATTCCAAACGGAACATAGGGGGGAAGCAGTGCTTGTGTCGATACAGAAAACCAATTTTTATTTTTGTCTTTTTACCAACATAATCAATGTGATCTTCAAAATTAAGTTTTGAATCCAGGATGACCCCAAGATACTTATAGATCTTGACTTGCTCTATTTGATAATTATTCAAACAATAACAACAACCACAAGACAACTTAGATTAAGGCCATCAGTCTAACTCCGTACTACAACAAACAAACATGGTCAAACCAAAAAACGCAGGAGGTCTCTCTTTCATCTCATCGTCATCACGGTGGCTAGGAGATGTTAACTCCCGCGCCTGGTATGCAGGAGGTCGTGGGTTCGATCCCGACGCTGATGCCTACTGCTGTATATTTGGAGTTTGCGTGTCTCTCTCCCAGTGGTCCCGTGGATTTTTGTCCTGGTCCTCCGGTTTTCCCCTCCACGTTTAGAATCAACATCAACTTCGTCGAGCTATGGGGCCGTCCATAAATGACGTCACGCGATTTTTGACAATTTTTGACCCGCCCCCCCTCGTCACACGGCGTCACAAAAAGTCAGACCCCCCCCTCAAATATGACGTCACAAAGCTCTGCCCCCCCCAAAAAAATCAAACATGCTTTAAATCGCTTTAAACTATTGTCATTGTAGTGCGTATTTAATATGGCGCTGCACTTTGATGTTGTAGGAGAAAACATTTATTTAAAAAAAGTCTATTTAATTAAGTAGAACGTGTTGTCAATATTTATTTAAAGTTGCGCATTTTGATGTGACGTCACATGTCTCACCCCCCCCCCTTCACACATCGTCACAAATGTCTGACCCCCCCCATCCCAGGTGCGTGACGTCATTTATGGACGGCCCCTATCATTTGTGATAGGTCGCTTCTGAAACAAATTGCTATAAAGCTCAGTGGGCCTTACCTGGTAACATAAAAAAAATTGTTCATAGTTTTGTTATACAGTACTTTAAAAGTAAAATTTTGATTTAAAGCTTTCGTGACTGCAGTAATTCATATTCTTAGTTCTTTCGGTAAAGTCACGTTGAAGGGAAAGAATAAAATAATAAAATATAAAAAAACATTTTTTTATTGTTTTATATGTATTTTATTACTTTATTGTTTCCCTTCAACGTGACTTTACCGAAAGAGCTAAGAATATACTTTAAAAGTAATTAACTTCATTTCAAATGTGGGGACGACGTCATAAATCAGCTCCGAACGGGACTTCAAGTGGCGATGGTTGCGTGCAGATCCCCCAACAGGGCCCGCCGGGTGGCGCTGTGAGCCCGTGCAGAACCACCCAGACCCATCTTCTTTGGTTCTTTCGGTAAAGTCACGTAGAATGAGAATAAAATAATAAATTGATAACATAAAATAACACAATAATATTCTCACGAAATTCACCCAGACCCCAATAATTATAATCAGAATATTGTATTTCTTCTGCAGGAGGAATCCGATGAGCTATAAAGCTTTCTTTTTTCACACATGTCCAGTAGGGGCATGTCAGAATGTTACCACAACAACAACAAAAAACACGCGATAGGAGTTCAAAGTATAGGAAAGGTAAATCACTTATAAAATATATACACACAAATAAAACTAAACAATATTTTCTTATCTTATCATGGAAAACCCACTGAGCTATAACTTATATTTTAGCCAGCGGGTACCTAAGAAGGCTGGAGGGGATGACACAACCACTCCCGGCCGCCTTTGTCTCTCCAGTGATGTTTATACACCATCAGGTACTTATTTTATGGTAGGACGCAGGACCGGTTCACATATTCGCCACTTATGTTAGCCGTGGCCGGGAATCGAACCCAGGTAGCGCAATGTGCTCACCAATATTCCCACCTTGTGTCACGTACAACCGAAGACAAAGATCCCCCGTATATCCTAAACAGACTTGGGGCAAGTGCTGTTCGCGAGCACCTATGCAGGCCGGCACGGCACACAAGGGGGTGGGTGGCCAACACCACGCCCGACCGCCTTTGTCTCCCCAGTGGCTATATTTACACACCGCACCAGGTACTCATTTGAGGCTGAGTCAACCTAGGGGAGTCCCAGGACCGGTTCAGATAATAATCGTCACTGGTGTTGGCCGTGAGCGGGAATCGAACCCGGTTGTTCAGGTTCGCAGCGCAGCACGCTACCCACTGCACATACACACGCCTAGGTGCACATTGGAGGAATTACACGTGTTCCGTGTTCAATATGTGTTGTCACTGGACACGTGTAGTCGTTGCTTGTTGTCAATGTGACAACTATTCAAGTTTAAATTTTGATTTAAAGCTTTCGTGACTGCAGTAATTCATATTCTTAGCTCTTTCGGTAAAGTCACGTCGAAGGGAAACAATAAAATAATAAAAAAAATATATAACTGACACTTCTTTCAAATGTTTCTTGCCGTTGCTTTTCACACCTGATGACGACCGTTTGTGTTATGGTCGAAACGTCGTGAGAATTTTTATTGTTTAATATATATTTTATTATTTTATTGTTTCCCTTCAACGTGACTTTACCGAAAGAGCTAAGAATATAACTATTCAAGCTGTGAGTCCGTGTGCAATTCCCATTAGCACGGTTAGCTATGTACGGCGCGAAAGAAGTTCAAGGTGCTGGCCACCCAACCCCTCCTGTGCCGTGCCCACCACCTTTGTAGGTGCTGATCGCCTACAGCACTTGCCCCAACAGTCTGTGGAGGCTATACGGGGGATCTTTGTGCGTAGTGGTCACCCGCCCATGAATGAACGTATTCACTATAAGGAAGTATTATAGAACGCAAACGGAACGATAACACTATGTAACACAATTTTTGTTCCTGGGTAGTAAGTGTTATTTCCTAATTGCTTATGCCTAAAAATATAGAAAATGGCTATTATTCCTCACAAACGTTGCTTTTGTAACCAGGGCAGTGATATTTTGAAATATACATATTTTCAATGAGAAAACGGGCGAATTTGTGTCTTTTCGTTCACAAAGTCAGAAAAAAACATATGAATCAACATTAACATGTATTTATACTAAAGTAATGCAAAATTTACTACAAAAGATTTAGAAGTGAATAGTTTTTCGAGATTTACGATTATACTGTAAATCACTTTCACGAATCAGCCCCAAAATGTAGTCTCCCATCATGTTCTCGTTATACTGTCCTTGGTAGCAGCGTTCAAAGTCCAGTATATCCTGGTGGAAGCGCTCGCCTTGCTCCTCCGAGTATGCTCCCATGTTCCCCTTGAATTTATCAAGATGAGCATCAACATATGGACTTTGAGGGACATCCTGCAACCCATTGTGCCGTAGTTCTTCACCAGAGTTTCAACCAGCTCCACATAGTTTTCGACCTTGTGATTGCCCAGGAAGCCACGAACTACTGTGACAAAGCTGCTCCAAGCCACTTTCTCCTGGCTAGTGAGTTTCTTGGGGAATTAATTACACTCCAGGATCTTCTTTATCTGTGGTCCAACGAAGACACCGGCTTTGACCTTTGACTCAGCTTAAGAAAGAAGTCTTGAAGGTACTTGAAGGTTGCCGACTCCTTTTCTACAGCTCTTGACAAATTGTTTTATAAGGCCCAATTTGATGTGCAGTGGTGGCATCAGCACCTTCCGGTGGTCGACCAGTGGCTCCCACTTGACGTTGTTCCTCCCCACAGAGAACTCGGTCCGCTGTGGCCAGTCCTGCCTGTGGTAGTGCGCCTTGGTGTCCCTGCTGTCCCAAAGGCTAAGATAGCAGGGAAAGTTGGTAAAACCGCCTTGGAGACCCATCAAGAATGCCACCATTTTGAAGTCTCTGATAACCTCCCAGCTGTACTCATCATACTTCAAGGCATCCAGCAAGGTCTTG